AAGAGTTTTTCAGCTCTGGCAAGAGCTTCCACATGTCACTTGGTGGTCTGTTTGTCTGTCTGTCTGTCTTTATTGTATGTCTGGCCGGAAAATTGACCAAAAGTATGGTGTTCCGTAAGTGCCATCGGCGTCGCTGATTGCCTACTCGCACTTGTTTCTTTAGCGAAACGGGATGCAGCAAAAAGGTATCACTTCATAATTTGCGGAGGAAGAAATTTCCTACATGTACTTCCTTTCTTATTTACAAATAAAATGCTAAAAAAAATTGTAAGCGTGTCTGTAAAATGTGTCAGTAAAGCGTGTCAAAACTTCGACCATATGTGCCACTTTTCGTCCTTGATGTTGATGAACTGACAAATTAAATTCGCCCGCTGCACTTGTCCTTTCCGTGATGGGGCATACACGTATCACTCTCGACATTTCCTGCCGCGTCTTTCAAACAATCTATCATAAACGTGAGAGCGCTCACTAATTTGACCTTCCCATCCTTCTTTCCTCAGATTGGTTTTGATTGTGTCATTCTTCCAGTCATCGGGCTTTTTTTCTTCCAACACGCACGGCCTACGTGCTTCGAAAAGGAGCAATGCAATTAGTTACCAATGCCATACCTTAAAAATTGACCCCCTCAAAAGCAATTCAGCAATTTTAATTTTTGTTTTATGTATTGCCCCACTGCTTTCTATTCATTTTGTTCGGGCCCTACTTTTTAACCCAAAATTGCTCCTCTCCTGTTCTGTGTGATCGCAGTTGATAAGGTCATACAAAGTGACCAAATCGTATAGGGGAAATCTTCGCATTTGGCTTTATGTGTTTGTCAAACAATGTGCATGATCGGTTGAAAGTATAGCAAACGAAAAAAAAAATTCATCACTTTAGAATTAGTACGAGGTCACTTAATCAGTTTTAACCACGCCTACCGCACAGTAAATAGTGTCATTGGAACCAGAAGTTAACGCAACTTCAGTGTTTATCCAATGGGTGTTGGTAATCAGTGGTGCGCGCGCGTGTATGACGAAGTCTTTAACGAATCGGTAACTTTGAGGTTTTCTTGCATGCCCACACGCGCTACCTAGTGTGGACATTCCTTTATTTAAACAAAACTCATCACTCAAACCGTGAAAACTGTATCAGCCATTTTTTTTTCTAAGATTCCCTTGCATGTGTCCCTTCATTTTGCGACGGATAAACCTAACCCAAAAATGCATTTAATCCTGTTTTCCAGAGAGGGGAAACCTTGTGTGGACGTGGGCAAGTCCACACATCGTATCTGAAAACTGGTTTATGTGGACCTCTTTTGTTTAAAGGTCCACACAGTGAATGTAATGTTTGTACACATTATACGCAGTGTCCAAAACATTTCATTATACCAAAGGGTACTACCCTATTAAAATCCATTTATATTGGTTTTGCTTTAAAGGGTTATCGTTTTGTAAACCATATCCGATAAATGATTGACCTCGCATCCAGTGTTTACCCCCATTGCTTATTTTCATATTTCGATATTGCCGTCTTTATTTCTAGAGCATGGCCGCATTCCTGTACGGTCCGAATTTTCAAACAGTTCCATTTACGACCTTTACTCCCTCTGGGATGATATTTTCCTTTAATGGACTACTTCGCTTATCTTCTATTTTTTGGTTTCAAATCGTTCGTTTCTTTTGAAAGAGCCGCCAAGAGCCAAAATCCTTTGCCAGAAACACAAATACTCGTTGCTATAGAAAGAACCTCGTGGAAAGACACCAATTTTAAGGGAGCAGTCACAAGAAAAGGACGCTTCGGTAAATGCGATTTTAGAAAAGGTTTTCCGCATCTATGCAAACAAACAAAAACTGACGAATGGCTTAGGCAAGCAACTTAAGTACCTCTAAAAGCAAGCTCTTCAAACCCAAGACCAATTTAGGTTTTCTGAGCGGTCATTATTTTGAACGCTATAGCCCGCCTAAGAATGTCCATACTGCCCATGTGAAATTATGGCACGGCAGATAGGTGATGGGATTTGCCTTTGATGATACTGGCATGGCATTTGGCTTTTGGGCCATTGCAGATTTGTCCTTTGAAAAAATATAGGTAGAATAACAAGCAGTGGCAGCCATTTTGAAAATTTTAAACTTGCATGTTATTCTTCCTATTTTTTTTTTTCAAAGGACAAATCTGCGATGGCCCTTTAGCCAAATCTTTCTCATGGCATTCAAGTGTCATGTTTTAAACGAAATGATGTTAATTAAAAAGAGCATTAGTTTGCTCTCAACCAGAAGTTTGAAACTGGATGAGATTACAATCTAAACCATAACAATCTCGGCGATTTCAGGACGTTATGCCGTTTTAACGGGCAATTCTGGCTTAGCGCACTCTGCACTATACGACAGTTCACACAGACTGGCGATCACATGCGCATAAATCCATGGTTACAAATGTCATAAAATTTTGCCCGGCAGGGAACCAGTCACAAGTTAATACAGATTTCCACATAACATTTTGACTGGTAACCTGCTTCTGATAAGCAAAAGTTAGCGTTGCTCCGCAACTGCCCCTGGATAATAATAATAAACCACTCAATAAGACCCCATGCGCTGTACAGGCATGATAACATACAGATGTACAATTAGAGTAAATCTTTAACTACAAATTATATACTAAAACACGGCATATGTAAACAAAAAACCAACACATATTGTTTGATGGATCCCGAGAATAATTAGCTCTACTTGACCAATTTTTTGGTATATTTATAATACCAATCCTTCCCTGTGACATATAATCCCTTTATTTATTAATTGGTTCGTGTTTTGCATCGCTATAATCCCCCTCCAAAGTCCTGTATGGCATGCATAATGAAATAGATCTAAAGAAATGATATTGTAGAACACTGTTTCGGCATATTTTGCCTTTATGTGACTCCTATACTAATGGTATGGAAATGTTATTGGAGTATTTTTGTCTCTCCATAGATTTTTTTCCTTCTAAATTCGATCTCAAATTAAATGCTGATCCTTAATGCTCATAATATACTAGCTCAGCATTGTCTCCCTTCTGCTGCAGATGGCAGCATTAAAAGACAATTTCATATCAATATATACAATTTTGGTTCACCAAACTTTTTTTTCTAAATGCTGGAATGTGTAATGTGTCAGTATTATCGATTTGTGTAATTACTTAACTGTTATGCCAACAGTAACCTGGCAGAATAATCGATATTCTATACAGTGGAACCATAAAGGCAACCAAAGGTATCCAGATGTGAATTTTTTTCCACTTGTTTGCAATTACGTTCCAATAAATTTGGCATTGGTGGTATTTTCGTTGATGGTACAGTTCGAGCATTTTGCCCCAAAAGATTGAGAGAAAATTGGTGTAATTTTTTCTAGCATGTGGCAAACCCATCTGGTATGTTTGTGTGCAGTAAACAGTCAAATGGTTTCAATTTCAGCCACCTACAAATAACAAAGTGTGACTTTTGCTTTGCAATCCTGTAGATCTAACAAGAGTAGGTCATGAATTGTTTAAATCGTGTGCTCGTACAGCACGCTCCTCACGTTCACGACCTCTAGGTCCGGTAACAGTACCAGCGCATGATCCAACATGGTCAGTGGAATAGTCGTATAAATTGAAAGGATCCGGAACAGGATGCAGTTTCCGGGAATCAAATTCAGGCGTGCGCGCGTGACTTTGATGTTAAGACAAAATTGCCCAGTAGCGCTTGATAGCAATGCTAAATAGACACATTAGAAGGAAATATGACTGTCGTGATTCCACCATTGCAATTAGATCTGGCTCATTTAGTTGATAATGGTCTTTTCCGGTTGATTGCAATGTATACTTGATGACTGCCTGAACTACTTAAAACAAGTGGAATTGCCTTGTAAACTGAGGATTAAACTGCAAAAAATGCAACTGTAGTTTTCTGCTTGACATTCAGTCTCTTTGCTTTGGTGTACCAGGAATACCGGCAACATTTGCATTTCAAGGGTAGACCGTAGTATGCGGATGGACCACTGTCACGTGGCGTCTCTACAGCCAATCACTGAGCGACGATACACTGAGAACCTACGTGCCAGAATGCAGGTATAGTCTGGGGACCAGCTCGGAAGTTTGCCGTGTCACTGCTGTTTTACAAACTGCTAGACGTAGAACTGTATTCCTGGTTTTGTGAAGACTCCTGGCCCATCGATGTCAAGGACTTTTGTGGATGTAGTAAGACACTTTTCAGCTAAAAGCCAGCACCATTGTACGTTCTTTGCACGTCAACTACCACTGCGATTTTCAGGAGAGATACTTTTCATTGAGTCATCCTATTATGCAATTTGATGTCATAGACAGATCGGCATTCATTTTGCAACACTCGTCTTTTTTGTAGGTGTTAAAATGTGTGTGTATCCTTGCTAGCATTCATGTTGAAAAGGTATAGAATTAATTAGACATTGAGGGAGCGAGTGCTGCACAGGAACTGGGTTTCAATTCCTAGCAAGCACGTTGTCACCGTCTCGCTTGCATAAAACAAGTCTACATAATTACATCGTCTCTACTGTGATTGAAAGGACAAGGGAAGTAAACTCGAGGAAAAACAAATAGGTCCGAATAATCTAATCAGTGGAATGTTTGGTGCAGACAAGATGCAGTGTGTACGCTGCGAGAGATGATAGTTTTCTGTGTGATTGAGAAACATCATCGGTCAGGTTCGAGTTCATACTGCAGTCCATCTGTTTGCCCACTTGAATGGAGAGAGCCCTGATGGATCAAACCCCGTTGTTAGATGTAGAGCAAATTCACACGGGGATATCGCACTAAGCATCTGTATTTGTTAACCTCGAGGACGAATAATATACACCATTACTGGTGTGGACAGCTGTCGCACTGGAGTGCACTTGTCCGCTGGCTTTCTGTAAATACATGTATCGCAAGCTTCATATCTGGCCGTTTGGACGAGCTGAGGAAACCATGATAATAACACTTGAACGAGAACAAGTTCAAAGTGCCGCTCTGAGACAAGCACTGTGTCTCTCGATTCCGAATACAGCAACCGAATACAGAACTTCATTATTCAAGTTATATTGAGGACGCAGTTGTCTGTGTGGCGAGTATCGATACCAGGAATCGAGGCGCACTCATCATACCATCCATCGAGGCGAACCCGTACGTCAGTGTAGCCTTTAATATATCGTTCTGCATCACTGCGACAACTGTCATATCGCCTTTGTGCAATCCTGCGGGATGACGTTTTGTTCATCAGCTAACAAATGGTAGTTGGGTGTGAGGGAAAACATGGCGTCAGCTTTAGTCATCGTTTTGGTTGTTCTCGTGGTGCCGTTTTTCATCCTGGGCGTTCTGGGAAATATCGGGGTGCTATTATGCGTGGTGTTCACTCCCTCCCTCCGGACTCGTGCCAACGCCATTATCGTTAGTCTCACCACCAGTTGCCTGGCTTTCCTGGTCACGGTGGTCCCGTTTACGCTGGATTCCTTCATCCACACCGACTGGAGGTTCGCTGTCTGGTACTGCCACGCCACAGCCTACCTCAGCTTCGCTTTCATCGGTATAACGGTCTTCAACATCGCCGCTCTGTCCCTGTACCGGTACTTCTGCGTGGTGCACCCCACGCGGATGCTCCTTCGAAGCAAAGCCAACCTGATCCTCCTGATTGCCATCTCCTGGCTGGTCCCCCTCACAACGCAGACTCTAATCTCCTCGTTCCACATCGCGCGCACCGAGTACATCCCCATGTACGCACGCTGCGTCTTCGTTAAAGTGGGTGAGCACTCCACCTTGTACAACATACTCGTTCTAGGCGGTTTTCTACCGACTCTTGGGCTGACCCTCTACAGTTACGCGGGGATTTACGTCACAGTTCGCCTGAGCGCCAGAAGACTCCGTCAGCAGGCGGAGATTAGCTCCAGACCGAACCTCCGAGTCGAGGCAACTGAAAATGAAGGCCTGTCTGCCGGAGCAGGCTCTACGAACAGCACTCAACACCCTGTTGTTCGCAACACCAGAAGGACCTCAAAAGCTCCTCGTGGTCCAAATAGGGATAAACACTGTCTCACGAAGATCTGTGTGGTTGTTTTCGTGTTGTTCATGGTCTGCTACGGCCCCATCGTCACACTGACTGCCATCTACGCCCACGATGATTTCCCGGCCGCGGCCTACATGATCTGCACGGTGGTCTACTGGCTCGGGAGCTGTCTACACCCACTGGTCTACGCCATCTTGCAGCCCCAGATACGGCGTTCGTTTCTCCGGCTGGCTGGCTGCTGCTGCAAGTCGGCAAACTTTTCCACCAATGAGTCCTCCGTTGGTGCGACCACAACAGGACAAGAATCTTAAAATACAAGCATATTAACCCTTACCATTCCCAAATCCGCCAAAATCCTCTTTGCAAGTGGGAAGAATTTGCAGGATTGAGGCTACACGGCAAAAGTGTGTTGCTGATTTCGGAGGACGCACTGTGTCAAGGTCTTGGGCCGGACCTTGAGTTGTTTATGCTCACCCGTACCCGTGCATTAATTTAGGCCTTGATAACACTTGAAATCCTCCGTACTGCTCCAGGATGTCACTGGCTCTTCCTCAACATATTGACAGTGACTGCCGAGGGATTTTGCAGGATTCAGGCAGTGGTCACTCCTCCAAGTACCATACTCAAGAAATAACGGATGAATTTGCAGGATTGAGGCTTTATGCCATTTTTACATGGAGGCCGTTGGAGGATTTTGAAGGATTGAAGTTGCATCCTAGCACAACTCTTTGTGTCATGGGCATTGCTTGCCTAATATCAATGTTGCAATTAAGGCCATCACAAATTCGGTCAACAATTAAGCAAGATAGGCAATGACGGATGCATGCTTTTAATTTTGTCACATTTCCATTTGATACCAAGTGATTTGACTCTGGAAGTAATTACTTGTGACAGACTTGTTTGAACATGATGTGATGTTCTCGACTACAGCACTGCTAAATTTGGGTAACGTTCTGCTTCAGGGCCTCAAATCCTATACAGTGTGGTGCAAAAAGAAGGAAGCCCACTTTTGACAGGAATTGTAACCCTACTTACTAATAATGTAGTAAAGGATAGCTGTTTTAGATACAAGTCACCAAATTCACCGTTGTCCACGTGTAAGTCTCGTGTAGTGTTTTTTTGTCTTCAAATCAAGCTCCGGAGCTCAGTCTAGCGGATGGAATAAAGACGTCCGTGGAAAACCAGGTTTTGGCACATGACATTTTTTAACTATAATATCTCATCCAAAACAAAAAGTGCATTTGCAATCATTTTCTTGTCTCTTATGTTTAAAGATTGATGTTTTAATACCATTAAATTGAATCTTTGATATAGGCGCAACAAGTAGGTGACAATTGCTGTCAAAACTGGGTTTCCTTCTTTTTGAACCACCCTGTAGGACGAGGCCAGATACTAGAGTGTTTCCGTGTGCTTTGAGGATTAAAAGATTACGATTCTGAAGCAGGGGTTGAGGCCGAAGTGAAGTCGGAAACGAATCCGAAGATTCACAACCCACACAAAAATCTAATAAATAGGTAACAAGAGTGAAGGGCTGATATTAGAAATAGTTCCTCGCAAACTATGCACCGGACCATGAACATTTACTTTATTTCTCGTGACAGACAGTAAAACTAAGACAACAAATTTAAAGGACAACAACAGAAAACAAAAAGACCCTAACAGTTCCTGAAGGATTGCCCAAAAGAGACAAAGTCTCTGTCGAGGGGCTCTCCTGAACGTAGACTAGGCCATATTTATTACAAACTTAGCTTTAACAATTACCAAAGATTTGGTATTGTATATAATGCAAAGCTCGTCACTATATAATCAAAGTGCCACTTTTATGTGCGCAATCGGCGTTTTCAGCATTATATTGACTAATGCAAGAAAGATGATGTAATACTATTTAAATGTTGTCAATAGAGTTGATTTTTTAATGTTTGAACTTTTTACACAGTCTTAAGCGGAACGGAAAGGAGAACATAAATACAGATAGTTTAAACATTTTGTGCATTTCCTTTCTTAATTGGGGATTGAACTGTTGCCTAGTGATTAGATAGCTCAAGTCGATCAAAGTATTAGGCGTTTGAATAAAGCTGCTGGCGGGCTGATTTAATATCACTGACTCCAAATATAACGTTTATGGAACAAATGTAATTTTCCTGTTGCGCAGAAATAGTCATTGCGTTTAAATGTTTTTAAATGACAGGGTTGCAACCTTGAAATCTGATCTTGGATTAGTGTTTCATCATACCTTGAAATTATAGTTTGTTTTATTTTTGAGATAAGCTTGTAGTTAGAATTTACCCTGTATCTAGTATCGTTATTAGAAAAATGGAATACAGACTTTTAGTAATAGACACTGAGGTCATGTGGGTTTATCAAGTTGATTTATACCAGCAATTTCTAATAGCCGGTCTGATAACATTTTCAAGTGTTTCGAAATGAAGTGCTTATGTTTGTTTTGTACAATTGCCACTGCGCCGACATATGATTCTCAATACCAGCAACAAAATGTGTCATTCGTTCATGGAAAGTTTGCAAATTTTGAAAAGCTGTGTTTTGGTGGTCAAGGCTTTTACAAATATTATTGTAACCTTGAGGATCAGATCATTTTCCGAATTTGATTTTTGCGATAAAAGTTAGTGTGCCGTCAACGTATTGTAGACATGAAGCTATAGGCCTACTGCTTAGTTTTGGATGCGGAATGTCGAAAATAACTTATTTTTTTCCCCAAACCGTTTCCTAAGGAATTAGTTTTCAAAAGGACATCCAACAAACATAAACCAACATTGAGTGGCAGTAATAGTGCGTTATCAACTTCAAGTTTTGAATTAGAAAATATATTTTTATCACTTTTTGTCACCAAAATTTGGAAAACGAGGTTCGTTGGAATATTAATTTTCTCTAAATCTCCCCCCCCCCCAAAAAAAAATAAATAAATAAATAAATTGAGACTAGACATTTTAGTGAAAATAACTTAAGTCCAAGCTGGAGTGAAAACTCGATCTTTTCGATTAAATGAAACGGGCTAATAACCAATTTGACATTTTGAATTTTCACTCGATAGAGGACAGACACATAGAAGCAGAACAAAAGATCCTTTCAGCCATCGAGCGTTGGGCCTTTTGTTGAAAACAGTCCTCGATCGTATACGGTTATCTGCTTAGTCCATTAGAGAGTGTTATATTGCAGGGAATGACAAAGAGAAACACAATGCATTGTCCTCGGGAGTATAGAAATTTACTTATCGTTAGTAATCCGGTTGGAGGCCTATTATTATTATTATTTTTGCAGAAAAAAAATGAAAAAAACAATTGATACACAGAATTAATGAAGTATGTCTTAAAAGAGCATGTTCGTCCGCTCATCTGCAAAAAAAGAATTCTTAAAATTGATCCTTGCCATTAGAAGTTATGCATTTTTTTACTAAACGAACCCATTTGTATAGCTGTCCATGGAATGCCATTGGAAGCTATTGAGCTATAAATGAGAATTACAGATTACACGCAGGCATTTAAATACAAATGAGATTTGAATACTTGAGATCAAGACTGAAACATTATTTTTACTGTCAGATTTTGTGTTAGGAATATGAGCAACTGGTCCACTTTTTATCTCTGAAATACTGATGGCGATTTTGACCTTTTGTCCTCCTCAAGTTCCTTTAATAAAGGATTACGGAAAACAATCATGTTTCATTGAATTTAATGGGTATTCATCAGTTCGTAGAACGGTAAATGATCAGTGGTGGAAAGCTGATTTTTTTTGTGATCTTCATAATTATCATACGTAACTTGGGAATAGAGTACTGGTCAATGACATGTACTTATTTTCTTTTTGTGTAATGGAATGGAGCAAGCCTCATATTTTATAGATTGTTTTTTAATTTGTTTTTCACTTTCATTTTGACTCACCCTATACATGTATACTTAAAAAAAATGGCCATTGAATCTGTATTAAATGAACAGGTAATTTACAAGAATGATCAATGAAGTCTTCTTTCAAAGGATGAGTTTTGCCGCCCAATTGTAATTTCAGGGCCATCGTTCTTGGAGCAGCTATTGTTCTTTTAATTGAGGCGCGTTTGCAATTACCGATCATTGCTCCTAGCGATCATACAGTAACCTCGTTGATCTTCATGTGAAAAAAGTCTTGATAGCCGCTGTACAAACAATTGAAGCTACGCGCATGCTTCTTAATCCCCCTCGTGGAATGCCATACAGAAACCATTGTATAACCTAAAATAGAGAATAAAATAAACTAGAGATAGTGTTAAGTATGCCAGTCATGAGTGTCGCGAGAAGGGGGGGGGGGGCAAGAAGGAGCTCCTCCCCCCCCCTTTGAAAAGCCACTCAAAAAAAAAACAGGAGGGGGGAAAAAAAGGGGTATGAAGTCATATTTGCTATTAATTTAATACACATTTAACAAAAATGGGCGCAGAGGTGTCAATGGGGGTGGGGTAGGCAAATGTCCGCCCTGCCCACCCCCGACAAAAAAATGATAAATTGAGAATAATGCTAGAGAAAGTACAAGGATTTGGGGGATGTGCTTTGCCCCCCCCCCCACCCACCCCCTTAGGAAAAAAATCCTGGCGACGCCCATGATCCCAGTTTTGAATTGTCTTGATCTAAAACATAAAGACATAAAAAATATAAATAAAATCTGACTTGTTATTTTATTTATTTATTCATTTATTTATTCTTTTTTTTGCGAACAGCAATATATTCGATGGGACTGGGTATTTTATGCATGCACGTCAAGTGATTTTTCTTTGTGCTTGGTAGCATTTTAGGAGAGCCACCGGATAGTGATTTTAGTTCGCTTTTGGCAATCCTTCAATGGTGTTATCCATATTGTGTTTTTGTTTTATTTTTTAGTCTTTGTCACCCTGGCCTGCTACCCAACATTTTGTATTTTATTTTGTGTCGGTATACGTACGTGTTCTTACCTGAGAAATAATAAATAAGATGAAAGTAAGTCACACAATTATCATTTTAAAAGAAATCTGGTTAACAATATTCTGGCGGTTACAATTGTTTTTATAATTGAAAAAATGAATAAATTCTGTCACAAAGGTATACATGGCAGTTAAATTACAATATATTTGTGAACAATTCCATTGTTTAGGGAGCGGTAATATGGCAAAAACATTGTGCAAAAAAAAATTGTATCTCAGGTCCTCATTAAGGACAGGGATTGTATCTTGTAATTGCATTATTGATTTTGAGCTCATGAAGAGGTTTTGGTTCTCAAGGGCCGAACTGTAGTATTAGCAAGGAATAAGAAGGACTACTTGATCGCAAAGCTTTATTGTGCATAATTTGTTGGGGTCGATTTTTTCCCAGGAAATTAATATTTGTAAATTAATATCGGTACCCTACTTACGAAACGATGGAAGGTCAAACTCGACTTATTGACCTTTCGTTTGCATTATGCGAAAGACATTAGCTTAAATTCATAGCGCTTTTCTGTTTTCACGGGAAAAGAGAAAGGGCACATCACATATTTACGTTTGAACGAGCAGACATAATATTATCCATAGTTTTTAATGCCACGCGAGACGTAGTTTGGGTACAAGAGCCAAACCTTTTCCCAGTTAGAAGGTTGACCATTTTGTTTGTCACAGAGATCCTGAGTCGTTTGTCATGTTTTGTTTACACTGACACCAATGATATTTTTTGTTCAAAGACTTGATGTTCTTCCTTGTAGGCTGCTGTCATTCAAAATCAAAAGTAAGGCCAGTTCCAGCAAGATGATCGCTGAGTAGCGTGTCGAAACGTTGGCTCTGCGCCTCCGTCAAAGTCTCTTTCCAACTTCCGACTTTACCTGATTAAACAGACGGAACATAATTATCCCAAAAGTAATAATCAATGAATACATTTGTAACTTCAAAGTTTCAAAAGTTAATACCACAATTTTATGAAGTCTTGAATACAAAAAAAACGGAATAGTATGTGGGACGCCATTTGTTAAAAGGCAGATGAAAATAAAAAATCACCTTTTCTGACGAACTCTCCTTTTGATTGGTCCATGATCACTGACACCGCCTGTGATGCCGTCTTGAATGTCGTGCGCATGCTCGGGACGGAACACTGCCTTGAGATATTTGCGATCTCGTCTGCGTCGAGATCACGGCCGAGAAAAGTCGCAATTTCACCGATCACAGCATTCTCATCCTGAGAGTCCAAAAAGAGAAAATTAGGAGTGAGACCCGTCTGTTTATTAATCAGGAGCTAAGCAGAAATTGAAAAACAATATCATTATTGAAGCAAATTCCATGTACCTTTTTTAGATCCTCGTATTTGATGAAAAGTAAATTACTTTTGTCTTTCATCTCCCAATACTGCTTGACATGGGTGAAGTAGGATCCATAAACAACTGTTATATAGGGGAAATGAATTTTATATTAAATGGTAGGGGAAATGAATTTTATATTAAATGATAGGGAAAATGAATTTTATATTAAATGATAGGGAACATGAATTTTACATTAAATGATAGGGGAAATGAATTTTATATTAAATGATATGGTGAGTGAATTTTATATTAAATGATGTCTGCCAAGAAAAATACGCGAATGTGGGAATGTTAATTTCAAACGAATAACCCTTTAAAAGTTGCGTCTCATTATTATACCTCCGATTCAGTCTTGCGAAACGTTTAGGAACAGTGCAGTAATTACAGTGGGACAATTATTAAGCCAACCGTCTAGCATTCCGCTGAAACATTTTCCATTTTTGTTCCTCTACCGTAGAAAGAAACTTATTCACACTACACCGGCACAGCTGAGTTCTGCGCCACTTACGCAGTATGTGCGATGCGCACGCCAATCTCTGTGTATACGGAGTTGTTTATGATTTCTCGTGAGGCGACCATACCATGGCATAGCAAGAGGGGTGTTTTGAAAAACATGAAGTGAACTTTTTGAACTTTATTTGAGGCAGCCAATTTGACTTAAAGACATAGTCCATCATTTGTAATTTGTGAATTTTGTTCGTTTGAAGCGACAAAAGTGTTCAAAATCTGATGAAGGATACTGAACAACTAACCTGATCAAGTTTCAGCTCAGCTTCAGCTGTATATTCCGAGAAAACAGCATTCTAGGATCTCAATTTCAAATCAAAAGTTGCTAAATCATGTTTTGAATTGTTTTGAATTGCAGCTTTACGCAATGTCGCGCACTGATCCGACGAATTATAGCAACTGCGCGCGCCTGTGCGTCGTGCCAATGCTTGTGCGTGCTGCGCCGAATAACAAAACGAACTACTAATTTAAATGTTCCTACGGTGCTTCTTAAGACGCACCGTTGGAAATGCCTTCTTTCGTTGATTTCTTCAAAATGAGACCTTGCCAGAAAGAATAATTTCACAGGGAGTTTAGTCCCCTTACTATCCTTCAACCAGTATGTTTTTCAACAATAATTACGCCAGTTACTTTTTTGGATAGCTGCAAATGATGGAATCGGGCTTTAAACATTAGAAATTTAGATATTTAAACATTCCGAACCTTCCCCCTGCATAAATTGTTGAATATACACGTCCAGTGAAGGAGCTTGCACTTTGGACCGCAGAGTCTTCCGGAAATAATAGTAGGAGACTGACACATCTTTGGGGTTGCGACAAATATACACAACCTGTTGGCGAAACGAATATCGATAATATATCAGACAACTTGAACCATTTGGTAAAATCCAAAGGTGAGAATTTAGTTGTGAAGAACAAGATTAACATTTACGAGGTTTTTGTGGAAACAATGACAAACGGTTTATAAATATTCGACTGTGAAAACTGACCTCTCCGAGACAAGCCCTTGGTGGCGCGCTTCATAATCGCTTATAATTCAGTGATATGGATACGGTTATAGTGATGCGTTAATGATGAAAGGGGTGGCGGTTGTGATATATGAGGAGGTTGTTGATAGTCGGGTACCTTGGCGCCTCTCTCGCTCAGATGAGAAGGCAGAAGGTGCGGCATCAGATGGGTAAACATCACCCTGGGGGAAGTCCAGGATTGCACGATCTTGAACACTGGGGGCGCTGCCTCGATCTCCTGCTGTGACGTACCACTGCTCATGCTCATTTCGAGCGGCAGACTCATATTGTTCTGGTCCTCTGGGCATTTTAGCATGCAGTTAATGATGGCTCGGAGCCAGTTGGTGCCTGCATGGAAATTACAAGTACGCCAATGTAATAATCTTCCTCCGTCTGTTTCCTTACATATATCTATGTACACGTGGAAGGCTCTGCGTCTTTTTATTCGCCTCGTACTGCGCCTCCTACCCAGCGGCGTAGCCAATGGGGGGGGGGGGGCGTTGGAGGCGCAGCCCTATCCCCTACCCCCAAAAATCTCGTCCATCTTGTCTCCCACTGGAAATATGTACGTGACCATGTTTAACGGCTTTAACAGAAATTGGGAGCCCCACTCGCCCCGCCCCCTCCCCCACCCCCGTGAAAACCCTGGCTACGCCGCTGCTCTTACTGCGCCACGCGCTGCGCCCTTTGATGCGCCTCTTGTTGGGCAGCGTACTGTATGTACTGCACCTCGCGCAAGCCTTTTGAAGTACAAATGCGCATTTTCATGCACCTCAAAAATTGCTTGCCACTGCGCCTTTCAATGCACTTTTTAATGCGCCTCGTACTGCGCCTTGCGCATGCGTCGTTTGCTGTGCTAGACGCATGTTGTGCCACGCGCTGGGTAGTTGTCATGCAGTTAAAGTGATTGACATAAACCATATCAAACGTGACACATGACCTCTCCAGACCGATGAAACTACAGTGTCCTTATAGGCATAAACGACTTAACATGATAAAACACGTTATGAGGGACTTGATATCTGCCTCACACATGCGTGTGTGTGTTATCTCATGGTGTTGAACACTGGAACCGGTGTCACATGAAAATCCGACTCCTATGAAAATCGGACCCCTTTTTCCCTATTATTGGTTAATCCCTCGCACGTGACAGTTCACTCTCCCGAAACGATCCTAAAAACAGCATAGTATCGTACTCACGCGTGCGCAATACTACCAATGAGTCCACATTTCATGGAGTCGGATATTCACGCTACACCGGCGTAGTGCAGTCAACGGCTTCTCATTTCATGGAGATCAAATGTGACACGACACTGGGAGCCGGATGCCGGTGTAGCGTGAATTAATACACGAGTCCGTGAAATGTGGACTCATTGGTAATATTGTGCATGTGTAAGTACAAGAATGTGCTATTTTTTAGGATTGCATACGGTACGGGAGAGTGACCTGTCACGTGCGAGGGATTAATCAATAATAGGGAAAAGGGTTCCGATTTTCATAGGAGTCGGATTTTCATATGACACCGGGTTGGTTCACGTGATATGATACAAGTGCCCCATTGATTTTTATAGACTACAAATTGCATGGCAAATCGGAGAAAATACACTATAAAACTGCTGGGTCAGCTTGAACCAGCACTGAATCCGGATTTACACTACCCTTATCCGGGTCAAAAATGATACTTTTCCGGGTCAAAGTGACGTTTTCCGGGTCATTTTGACCAGGAAAGTGTCGGGTTTTTGCTTACCCGGAAAAAAGGTAGAGCAAATCCGGATTCAAGCGCTGGGTCAATCTGACCCAGCAGTTTTTACAGCATATAGGTCTGATTCTGAAGCATGTTGTACCTGCTTTAGGGTAAGACACAACGAAGACATCGTTTTCTCGCACCTCCATGTCTAAAACCCCCTGCAAGTTGGCATCTAAGACACGGTAGGGTAGAGGCTGCCCGCGGAGAACGTGCTCCCATTTCCTTTCGCAAAAAAATGGGAAAAAAATCTCACTTTTTTCAATGACTTTATATTTAAAAACATGCGAGGTGATGCTTTGTTAAGGCAAAGGTACAAAGGATTTTCTGAGCCGCAACAAAAAGAATGATAAAAAGATGATCAGCAGCCTCTTTGCTCATGAGCAGCTCCACAGTTTTGGTTCAGAGCATCTGTCGCAGGTACAGTTTTTGACAACACTACAACTGATAATCTAAACACAGATCTTTTCTCAGTTCACGGTTGATATAACTTCTAGCCAATTACTCTTTTTTCTTACAGGTGTCGCCTGACTTGCTTATCCATCCTTCATTGCCAACATTGAACCTCCTTTCTCCTCAACCTCTCTTGGGAAGAAAGTACAAAAAAGGTAAGAAATAGGGGAGGACCAATATTTAAAATGACTTTTCTTCAGAAGTATTCATCGACCTACCTTACATTTGACTCGGTCATGTTGTCCACTGCCATACAAATTACTGTCTGCTGTCGTAGAGGATTCAACAAGTTTATTTGACCAAAGTTCAACAAATGTTTAACTACAAACATCAAACATCAAACACATGTTCTAAAAGGTGGCTTCAATTTATATCTTGTTTTATCGATGGGGTTGAAAGTCTATTTCATAAAAAGGATGCTGGTAGTCGATGTCGGTAAGTAAACACGGGAAGCGATAATTGTATTGTTATCGTTATAACTTCAAATGGGAAAAGTTAAACTTGAATAGATATTAAACCGAATAACTGGTGATAGAGCTTTAGAAACGTGCATGCGAGGACAGCAGGTTTTGTACGGTTTTACAAATGAGTTGCAATTACTCCGCAAATGTCAATATTGTCTTCAGTTGAATTCTGCAGATGCTGTAGGAACAGTAGAACTGCCAAAGTGCCTGTGGTTTTTGGATCTTTCAGTTTGAACTTCCACTCTATAAATAAGGGAATAAATGTATGCTTGGCCGGTTTTAAACACTATTTTTGAGACCGGTTGGAGTAAGGATGCTGATAATGACCCGAGCCCAATGTGCGTGATGTGGCGCAGAACCTAGCTGTGCCGGTGTAGTGTGAATTTAGGACTATGAAGTACTGACTCACTGGTAGTATTGCGCATGCCTACTTCAGGATTGTGAACGTTCAACCAATGAAACGGAACTGGCACCTGAGTTCATAGGAGTCCAAATTTCATGTGACACTGAAAAAGTGTTTAAGACCAGCCAGCCGATCTTTATCAACCGGGCTCTCGGAAAGTAGAAATGGGAAAACTTAGGTATTTATGAGTGCTAATTTAAAATGCTAGAATCAATCACATGGATTATTCTGTGGTTTATTCTGGACATTTAGCTTTGAAGAATGAACTGTAGGCTACATAACATAATGATCAATGGCAAGGTCTACATAACAAATATAAGCAGCTGCTTTCTATTAAACTATACAAAAAAGTGCTTCTTTACAACAGATTCACTTTTTTTCATGAAATAATCGCAAATTCATTATGCTGTTCAAAGAACCGGAATACTGTTATTTACAGATTGATAAATGCCTTTTCAAGGCCTATCTGCGATATTAAACATAAATATATTTGCAGGTACACAATCGTAAGCAAAATAATCGATATTCAAACTAAGGTTCTCAGCTTCGTTTTAGCTTACGTTTTGAGGTTCATGAATTAAAGTGCAAAGTTCGAGGCTGACGTTCTGTAGACTACATCTGGCTACCACAATTGGTTGCCAACACCTCGGTGGCGCCACACTTCAATATGTGCACATCCCTAGTCTTGGCCCCAAACGCTAGTGATCAATAATGGATAGTGCATTTTGTTTTGCATTCATTGACAGTAGTGCGCCATCTTTGGGTACCTAGAAAATACCACCAGGGAACTAGCCACAAGCAGTTTGCGCAACGTGCCATTTTAGCTGGTAACCAGTTATAGACTTATAGTTTAAGCAAATACTGTCTGTGTTTAGCAACAGTTAGTTACTTGAAAGCTTCATGAATTGATCACCTGCACGCGAGCCTTGCTTAACCTCAGTAACACCTTCTTTTTGTGGTCACCAGATTAATCTTAAATTGCCCGATTGTTAAGCTTTTTTGAAGTTTGTTCTCAGAGCATCTCTAGAAATTCTCCATGGAAACTTTCTCAGCAGCTTCATGTGCATCCTTGTTGGTATCCTCACTATAGCCTCCCCGTTGGCTGACCACTGCTCTGAGCCGATCCAGTGACCTTAAACATCTCCACGTTCTTAGAATCTGCAGGAATAATGACAAAGAAGTAAGGAATTCATTTCGACGAAATTTAAAAACAGGTACATGTAATAGGTTCGAGTCCCGTCGCATGATGAAGCTATGACCCGGGCTCCAACTGTCAAAGTGACAGTCCCTGCCCGATCTAGTGGTTTCTCGCGAAAGTATTCTCGGGGTTCTCCAACTCCTACCGTATACCTCTGAATCTGAACACTGTTTCAATGTTCCTCTCCCAAAGTTTCTTCAGGCTTTAAACAACAGATCTGAACTGCGACTTGGGTTCAATTCCCGACTAAGCCAACAGGTGAATTGGATTTTCAGTGCCTGCTTTCTTCCAAGGGTTACGTCGCAGGTTCCCTTGCAATTCTGTGTGGGTTTTCCTTCCACTTCTAACCAACACTTATTAATGTTAATGTTTCCTCTTTGTTTCAATGATTCTGTGTTATTCTGAGGAAGACTTGGTCTTCTTGACCAAAACAGATCTGAAACCTGTCTGCCCGGGTTCGAGTCCCATCCGACCCAATTTTGATTTAATCTCTCCCTGGTTTCTTGGGTTTCCCCTTGAAACCATTTCATAGTTCATGCCATCTCTAAAACGGCTCTTTTTTTACTGTCTCCCTCTCGCTCTGTCTAGGTATCTCAAGGCTTTTCAGCAATTTTTGAGCAACCCTTGCTTCCATTACCAAAATAATTAAACTAGTTAACCTTTGCCGCCTGATGACTTGGATGATCCGTGAATCTCCTCGTGTTCCTGCCGAAGCCACTTCAACCACCGTTTGCGGATGGAAGGTTTGAGGAGGCACTGGAACACGAAGATGTTGAACCCCTGGGCGCTGTTGAAGATGGCGAAGAGGTAACTGAAGGCCAGGCGGGCCTCCCCGATCCCAAACAGGGCGAAGGCCCAGGTCAATCCAAACAAGAAAGTGATGCTGGCCGACGCCTTGAACTGGGCTGCGAGGTCAAATTTGCGCCGCGATTGGCTGATGTTGCGCCGGCGCATCTTGCAGAGCTGCCACGTGACCGCCACGAAGACGACCATGTTGAATAAGAGGACGGCGCAGACTGGAGCAAGGAATGAGGCCAGGAATGGGATCCGGGCGAGCCAGCAACTGAAAGATGACACCAAACAAAATGGTTCTTAGATGGTTTGAAGGAGTCAGAAATCCTAACAAAATGAGACTCTTTATGCAACCCATTGTGTCTTTAGCCAGGACTGGAGTATTATAATATGACGCGATTGGTCACGATTCCTTCGATTGTATCTGCTGTCTTAGCCTCTTGTCTGATTACGGGTTGGTTGAGGTTGACTGCTCCGTTTGGCAGCGTGGCAGTATACTGGTGATAAATTACCCTCCTCTCTGACTCCTTTAGCTATTTTGAGTGTAGGATATAATTTTGTTAATAAACTCAGCCGAAAGGTGATGTCACAAGAAATTACCACAGTGCAGTTAAGCTGTTTTGGATTGAAGCTGGATCATTTGTGTTGTTCTGCCAGGACTGGCTTCCTAGTAGCACGAGTAAATATTTTGTGTTCGTTAAAAAGCCTACGTAAACTTTCAATTTTTGTTGTTTGTTTTAATTTTGCAATTTCGTCTGTATTTGAAACAGGTTTAAGTCCGTGTCTATCTCATGGAATTGTGGATGGAAGGCACGCCAACCGATTTGGGTTAGTGAACTAAAGGTAAGACTTACATGCCGTTAATCAGCCCATAGTTGTTGGGGAAATTTATGGAGAAGGTTATGGCGACGACGATAAGAGGAGCACCTGAAGGAAAGACGATCAGAAATAGAAAAAAAGAACTAGAGTGCAATAGTAAAAGACAAATATCTTCAGTCTCGGTTTTGTTTTGTGCTTTGACCACAAAACCATTTGGCTTCCTATGCACAAAATGAGAAGACTCCAAACTTTTGGCTTCGAATTGTATAATCTGATGTGTCTGTAGTACAAAGGGATCCATGTCAACCCATATTAAACCCCATCAAATCAGTTACATAAAGCAGGAAACTTAAGCTCGAAGCCTCAGGCACAAAACCGGCGTCTGAAGAAACGGTTTTGGGTTTGGGGTCAATTGTTCACTTTAAACGCGCGCCCTCTATCGACATGATTTACGTATCGATTGGTATAATCTCTGTCATGCAGTATTGATAACTTTGGATGTGTACTTCTTTTTATGACCTACCCCATCCGAACAGGCACATCTTCAGCATGAACCGCGAGTAGTACTTATCAAAGACCAGCACCAGTGCCAAGTACATGTTGAAGGCCTCCAGGGCCATCCAGGCCATAGCCGCCAGCAGACTGTAGTGAGTTGCTACGGCTGTGCCCAGGCAGGCGTCCCGGCCGAATTCCAGCTCCACTGCCACCGTGTTTAGCAAGAAGGATGCATCGGCTAGGATCAGCCCCACCGACAGGTGCACGAGGATGCCGGTGTGACGGTCGGCCCGAGCTTTGCCGTTGTTGCCGGTGTTGAGTGAACCGCTGCAAACGCGGATCAAAACAAAAAGGTGAGTGTGTTATCCGTCTCTTCGGCAGACTTTAATTTTTAACTTGGGGTAATTCTCAAAAACTATTCCCTACACTGTTTCGGTTGTGTACTATATGAACCTAGCAACCAGTTGTGTAATATGTGTAATATTTTACACAAGTTGTGTAATATTTTACACAAGTTGTGTAATATTTTACACAAGTTGTGTAATATTTTACACAAGTTGTGTAAACAACAGTTTACACAACAGGTTGCTAGGTTCATATAGTACACAACCGTCTGATTTTTACACAACCGAAATAACAGTGTAAGCTTTACTTGATAGAACTTTTATAAGGCACGAACAGTGAAATCGTGTTTCTGTAAAGGTTCTTGAAATAGTTTAGAAAGTACGAAAGAAGTTGAAAAACATTTACTTATATATGTATTATTGTTTTGTGTGATTGGCAATGAAGCGTCAATAGAATTAAATATTTCGAACTTGAATAGTCAAGAAAATTCGTCGTACCTTCCTGTGACTCGGTACTTCGGATCCTCTCTGGAATCAAAAGAAAATAATAAAAAAGGACGGAGAAATTAATTGATTCGGTCAACGACGAGTGATGACATGATGACAGATATCTTACTGGATTAATCGATATTGTATTGGTGTAATCGATTGAGAAGCGATAGGGGTTGATAAATTCATATCATTGTTAGTGTGTCTTGGATTAAAGGGAATCTGTTGAAAATAAATGAAATGTTTTTGAATAGTGACTGATTAAAATCCCTGAACAAGCAAAACAAAATTTACAACTTGATCACCGATGAATTAGTTAAGAATTTCAAAGATCAATTGGTAAGTTTATGTCTTACAAATCCTTTAAAATGACGGACGACTTACTTGCAACATCCCAACGTTATTATGGCCAACGTAAGCGCCAAGATCGAAAGACTGCAGCCAATGTAAGAAATGATGGCAAGAATCTTCGAGTGGACTGGATCCAGCTCGCCCATATTATAGACATCCTAAACAAATAAAATGGATTTTGATATATAATCTTTGATAATTATGATTTAGATACCAGAAGTTTGTTTGTCAAATAAGTCAATCATATTCACCATCAACATTGCGAAGTTGGTGAGGTGGTTGCACTCGCAGACAACAGTCGTCGAGTCCGAGAGTTCGAAGTTCACTGCGCAGCCTTTTGCCGACCAGCCACCTTGCTTATCTGTAAAGAATATATGATTGCAGAGAACAAAATTAGGGATCCGTCAGCTTTGATGGTTAAAGATGGTAAAAACAGGCATTTTTTTAAAAGAATTTTAACGTTTCCGTTTAACCGTCTAGAGTTTCACTCGTTCGTTCGTGTGTTTGTCTGTTAGTTTGTCTGTTGTGCACATATTTTTAGCTGAAACTTAAATTTGAACAATTATAGATATTCTGGAATTCTGTGCAACTTTCTGAACAACTTACCGTTCGCCTCTGTATCCCAAAAGACACATTGTGGATTGGTGGCGTTCTGAGGAAAAATAGAAGAATCGAGAAAAGTGAAAATGTTAGAAGAACTATTGAATTTATCAAAGAAACTTCAATTCATTTTCGTGCAACGTCATGACACTTGGGAAACAGTTTTTATCCAACACGAGCCGCAAGATCGGCCTACGTGGACTCTATTCATGAAGGGATAATCATTTAGCATGGCTAGCTGGCACCTGCGATACATTCCGTCCATTGACATAAAATATGATTGTTATACGAAACAAATTGAGAAATCTCCACCCCTTACTGCGGTTTGAGACTTCTGGAGTCGTATCAGGACCGGCTCTTGCAGATCAGCAATAGACAGGTTACCAACTGATGCCGATATAACGGCACTGCTAAGCACCGTAACGGCGCCTCCCGTTGGCGGTGTCAGATCGCCATACGGTTTTGCCACAGATGACGTAATCACCTGCATACAACAGAAAAAGGACAAGTAGAGAACAGAATTAGTTCACTATATCCAAAAACGAAAATCGTACTCTAAAAATATAAAGACCGACCTTTACTTTGACTTTTTGTGTCAATTAATTTAGCCGTCCTTTCAAAATTAGAAAGCTTTGAGGAGGTATTAAACCTCACGTTCAACTAAACTGGTTGGACCTGTTCCTTGGTCAGTTATAACCATTCTGTTGACTCTACACTTGTTTATAAATCTCATATATCGACCCTACAGTATAGTGCGCCCCGGTTGTTATTCTCGAAGAGATGTCGATTTTTTTCGCACACCAGAAAGGCTTCTCTCAACTCCTTGGTGGCGCTCTTTACTATAAACCGCTCCTATTTAAATGGACACCATTTACTCACGTTGAAATATGTCGTGCTTTGGTACAATAGGAACTGCGTTCGGCTCAGCTGGTCTCCCAGTTTGTTTAAAAGACTTGATGGCAGTTTCACAGAACCCACAATATCTGTCAGGTTTTCTGGTGAACTTCCATTCAAGACAACGAACGGCTGAAAGATATGTAAAACAAATTTTAACTTTGTAGAGCATTTGCAAGAATATGTACATTTTTAGACCTGCACTTGTTTTGAAAACGGAAAATGGCTACTTCATGTTGACCAGCAGCCACTTACGAAGCGGGCAGTGCTGATATTTAATGTAAACACAAATATGACGGTAATACAGGCGGCAGCTTGTTGATGATAATGATGATAATGAAAATGGTTGAAAGACAGTGAAGAATTAGTACTGGAGCTGTTGGTTAATGTATGCCCAATTATAACGGTAATAAAGTAAACTATGCCGATGGATACGACAAAAATCAGATGATAAGGACGAAACTGTCGAAGGACTACAACTTTATAAAGCAAGAAAGTCAAAGTCAACTTCTTCTCAAGAGAGATGTCCTCTTGCTCACCTTAACATCGTCAACTCCCATTGAACCGCCAAAAAGCAGGTCATTTATATGTCGATCGGCCACATCTAGAGTGATGACGTCAATGGCACGTGACTCCCACGTCAGCTTTGAGGCGTTCAGGAAGGGGACGTGAATGGCGAAGTCGTCGATCAGTTGCAAAAGCCTAAAGGAGATCAATGGTGTGCCTGGTTATAAATATGGGTAATGGTGTCAAGTTCATCCTTGTTCAGGGGTTCCTAATAATCAATGTGGATCTGAGCAATAGGCTTGGTTCAAGTCGTTAATCATTATTGGAGCACGGTACTTAATCAACCGACAGAGGGATAGTTTGAATACTACGTATTCGATTGAAGTAAATCGAGCTGAACATAGAATCGATTCCTTCTTGAGATTAACTCGAGCATGACATAACGTAAAGAATCAATACCCGCTGACAGTAAATTGAATAGAACATAATGTTAACGATCGATTCTGAATTATTTGAAATGCAAAAAAGAACATCTATACTTACCGGCTCGTTGTTCGGTTTATCTTCTGACCCTCCACCAGCTCCTCGAACTTCACTGACGTCATCTGCCCAGCCGTTGCCATGGCATCCTTGAAGATCTCCTGCCCTTTCTCCGGGTACCGGATGAGGGCGTCAAGCAGTCTCTTGAGGGCGTCCACTGCGCTGGTGACGTCATCAGCTGTCAGTGTCTCAGGGTATGAAGTCACAATGGTGAGTTGACTAGAAACGGCCAGGGCATTACCTAAGGTTGAAGTAGGAATGGGCATGAGGCAAATGATGTAAAGGAAAAGGTGTGAAGACAGTAACATCATTTTTTTTTTACTATATCCGTAATCCTGCACCCACTCTTGTCCCGACGTCTAATTCAATTCTGTATTGGCGGCTATATAGCAAAACTGTCGACCGTGCTCGGCAACAGTTTCTGCCCCAAAACGACCATTAGACGTCCTCTGTGTTTAAGGGGGAGTTGCACGTAGGCTACTTCACATTTAGTTGTAGGTAGTGTCTGTTGATTGTTTGTAAAATGTAAAACAATTATGTAAAATTCTTCAGGCTTTGTTCTGCAATGAAGGCGCCCATGTGTAAACCAGCGGTGGCAAAACTACGGCTGCAGCTCATCATCATTATCATATCGCCGAGAGCTGCAGCTGCAGCTGTGGCGTGCTAAAAGAAAACTTGTTCATTTTGTAATGATTATGAGGACATTAAACATCAGCTTAAACATAGAGAAAAACATCCTTACTCTCTGTGATTTCAATCTTGGCGAGCTCCTCTAAGACTCCCGATGCAGTGGGACATTCGCTCATGTCTGGCTTCCCCCAAAATGCCTTCTTGCTGGTGGCGTCCCACAAACTGCATCAAATCAAAAATGGGGGAAAAATCAATCCTGGATTTTAGAGCCCCAGGCAAAGTTTTTACACCGGTTGAAGACCCTGTAAATTTTTATCTATTAGTATTTTCGGAACAAAGTGGATATTTATCAACAGAGCTGCGATAATATTCAAAGCTGGATAATAATTATTATGATGAAGGAAAGCTCAGGTTTTGGAGGTGGGAGGAAGCTTAACTTGGATGATATTCAAGGGAAATCAACGGAATTTGACAAGGAAGAAAACCAAATGTCCAAGTAGGTCTAGGTTTGATTTGAAGCGTAGTCGCCTTGTTGGGAGTACCACTGCATCAGCCTGACCCCATGTTTCTCTGATGGAAACATGTTACAGTTTATCAGATTCTACGAATGTATCTAGAGTTGTGTCTAGTCTGGATTCGAACGCGTCCCACTGAACCAACATGTCTCCGTGTTATGAAACAAATAACATTATTTACCAGGTTCTACGAGCGCGTCTAGAAGCCTCCGGGTCCACAAGGGTCTTGTACGGGCACGGTACCACGGCAGTCCGGTTGGCGATCACCGCCGGCCAAGTGATGGATCCCCACTCGCCCTCCGTTGTCTCGATCAGGCACCAACGATTTGGAGGAACCTGGTCACAAGGAGACGTCGCGTCACGCTCCGTGGTTGGACGCGTCGTGGACAGGGAAGGTGTTGTGGTTGCCTTGGTTTCTTGAGGCCTCTCTGAGGTTCCTCGGTAGGGTGTTCTAGAGGTTTGTACACTGTCCGTCTGTCGAGTTTGGCTCGCGGAAAAGTAGCCGGTGGACTGCGATCCACTGTCTGAAAAGGCAAAGTGAATGTATTGTGAGGTTTGGGACTGTTAGTGGTTCAAATTTTGTCTGCCAGGTCTCAGTTCAAGGGAGTACCGTTGGTAATAGCAACACATTGCCTGTAAAAAAAAAAAAGAGTGGCTGATAAGTTAAATGACGGTGCGAGGTTCGTTGTTAGTCAGTCGCTTCTCGGATTTACACGTTTCTGTTGGTAACAGCCATTCATTCACTGTCTGCACACGTAACATCATTGTGTTGGAAATTGGGAACATGCGTTTTGTGGTATCTGTCTGTCGATCGGCTCTCAGTTTCAGTGAAGGGTTATGTTGGCACGGCCCGACCTTTCGCTGTCTGTAAACCCAAAATGTATGTCTATGGAGCTTGGCAACGTTGTTTGAGGTAGCCTTCAGTACCTCTAGGGGTGACCAATATTTCACTAATGATCGCCCCTAGAGGTATTCATGAATATGTTTGTTTGTGTCGTAATAAGGACCTCTAGGGGCTACCATTATTGCAATAATGATCAACCTTACGGGTAGTCTTCAGTGCCTGTTTGGGGCGACCTTTTTTGCACTAATGTTCGCCCCTAGAGGTATAGTAATGTACAGTTGAACATGCTTGTGTCTGTCGTCATCAGTGCCTCTAGAGGGGCGACCGTTATATCATCAGCCTTGAAGGTGACGTGCATTACTTGTCGAAGGGTTTTAAAGTCTCTGGGAGGCTCTCCAGGAGTGTCAGATTTTAAGAGGGAAAAAAGCTATATTTGGTGGATGACGTCCACCTTGCCCTGTGTCTTTTTGATGTATGTATCATGCTCTGTGTGTTAGAAGATTCTCTTTTTATAGAAGGAACTGATGTCTGGGATCCAGTACCTGTGTATGATGATTGACTTGTGGAGGAGGAATGTGAAGTCTGCACCATGCTGTCTGTCCGTGTAGGGACCGTCTTTGAGAAAGCTCCAGTCGTCTGGGATCCAGTACCTGTGTGTGATGATTCGGTGGTTGAGAATGAATTTGATGTTTGCACCATGCTGTCCGTAAATGTAGGCATGTGATTGGTTTCTGAAAAGGGTGATGTCGGGTATCCAGTACCTGTGTACGGCGATTCACTGGTTGAAATGGATTCCGATGTAGGGATGGTTTCTTGAGAGGATACAGACGTCTGGAATCCAGCACTCTGGTATGACGATTCACTGGTTGAAAAGGATTCTGATGTCTGTACCAGGCTGTCTGTCCGTGTAGGGGCGATTTCTGTGAAGGTTTCAGCCGTCTGGGATCCCGTACCAGTGTATGACAATTCGCTTGTTGAGGAGGGAGGTAAAGTCTGAACCGTGCTGCCCGTCCGTGTAGGGACGGTTTCTCGAAAGGATACGGACGATTGGGAGGACGATTGGTATGACGATTCACTAGTTGAGAAGGATGACGATGATTGCACCGTGCCGTCTGTCCGTAAAGAGATGGTTTCAAGTAGAGGTGTCCGAGTCATTTCTGTGGTTAATGTCTGCGTAGCTCCTCGGCCACTAGTAGTCTGTGTTTCAGACGTGGTAGCTGGTTTCTCCGGTGTACTCGCTAAGTATGATGTCAGTTGAAAATCGGTGGTAAAGTGACTTGTTTCTATGTGTAAAGAGTAAACAAGTCGAATGTTTCGTTTCGATTGCAGGGCAAAATGGCACCAACCACCAGTCTTGTAGTCGAGTCCATCACAAGTCCGATCTCACAAGTCCAGTTACAAGTCATGTCACGACAGAGGACTGACAAAGGAATGCTTTTGTTACAGTTCATTTGAACAGCTAGTGACTGGACTTGCGACTGAAGGTCTTGTGATGGACTTGTGAAGCTATTGTGATGGACCCAACTACAACACTACCTACCACATCGTATAGTGGAGATTACAGTTAACCTATATTGGAGTTTACACCTCAAACAAATGCCTAAATAATAAAATAAACTTTTGTTTTGTTCAAATAAGAAAAGAAATGTTAATATCATTTTCAGATACCTGTTGGAGTGGGTGCTGCTGTTGTGGCTGCAAGCGGCCTCCGGAATGGGAACACGTACGTGTCTAAAAGAGCATGCAATAGGTAAGGTTTTTATGCATATTTTAAATACACCATTGGGTTGTCATCAGATGTTCTTTCAACTTCGTTTAAATCGTTCATCGTGGTTTTGCGGAACGGAAATAAAGTAACTGATCCCAGGTTTTGAATTACATATCAATTTCTTGCATACTTAATTAATTATAATACTTATCAATTTATAGTAAAGTTCTGTAGCGTAACAAAGTCTGACCGTATCGCACGTATATCCAGTTCAACTGTCATGAAATGTCGCACCAAGTTGAGTAATTCATAAATGTATAAAATCTGCTGTTGAAAGTAGAAGTAATGCCTTAACAAAGTCGGATGTTGTGATTTTTATAGCATTGGTCGATTAACAAAAAGTTGGCGCACTGTTTAATCTCCTGAAATGTCAGCAAGTTTACCGTTGATTGTGTTGAGTTCTTCGTTGCAATTGTCCCCCTGGCAGCAGTAGACGCACCGCATGGTGGCGCCGTCCGTCTGTCGACACACGGCCTCGTTCACCGTCGAGGCTGCTTGTCGACAGTCGGCAATAAACACGCAGGATTTCGTCATCAAGACACTCCCATCGGCTGCGTAGCTCAAGTCATTCTTGCAGGCATTACCATTGCTCTGAGAGAAACGGAGAAATGATCCAGCAGAGGATTCAATGGAGAAAATATTGCTCAACAAGTTTTCTTGCTCAGAAAAGATCAGCTGGGAACCAGTTACAACAAATATACATTGCATGACATTTTAGCTGGTAACCTGGTGTTGGTAAGCAAAAACGTATTGTAGGCCTACTTATCAAATTAAAACCATTCATGGAGCTATTAAAAACACCGGACGTCGGTTGCTGTTGCTGCTGCTGCTGCTGCTGCTGCTGCTGCTGCTGCTGCTGTTGTTGTTGTTGTTGTTGTTGCTGTTGCTGCTGTTGGTTGCGCTGCTGCTGCTGCTGCTGCTGCTGCTGCTGCTGCTGCTGCTGTTGCTGTTGTTGTTGCTGTTGCTGCTGTCGGTTGCTGCTGCTGCTGCTGTTGTTGCTGCTGCTACTGGTGGTTGTGGTCAAAATGTCATGTTTATACTATAGGTGACTGGTTTCCAGCTATTTGCTTAGCACTTAAAATTGGTGAGCAACACTTTCTGCTGAACTGTCTAACTTGACCCTACGTGTGTCAAAATAAAGACGTCACCGTGACCTTTCATGATAAAAAGGGGAGAGGTCTCTTTTTTCTTTTTCGAGTGATACATACCGATCATTGACATTTATTTCAACTTACGGGAAAGCATAATTGTGAAGAGCATGCACTCCCGTCAACAACATTGGTACACGACTGGTAACACAGAAGATCTACGAAGAAAATGACCGTATAATAAATAATCATCAAAGAAAATTTATCCACAATGAATATTTCTTTCTATTTCATTTTAGCGGCCAGATTTTGATTCTGAGCCAGCCTGACTTCATAACTATGTTTGGTTGGTTGAAGTGTGTCTTCAGCAATGTGCCTAAATGTGGAATTGTCTCTCCAGTTTCTAATCACTTTGCACACATTCAGCATACTCGTACCAAAGCGAGGCTCCACATTCAAAACAACGACTCTTTGGCAATGTCGCTGAACCTAATACGTGATAATTCGTAAAAGTAGGCAAACCTGCCTCTCTTTAAACCCAAGGTTCCTTCAATCACGTTACACAACACTTACTGTCAAAGCAGAAAAATGCATCGACCACATTAGTGCCGCCGTGGGTGGCGTCACCGCAAACAGCGCCCTCCACCAACTGGGCTGTCGAGCTCGCGCTCTGGAGGTTAATGACCCAGCTTTTGAAATCCGTCAAGGCGCAGTCGCATACAAGCGGATTTCCTGTAAGCTCTCTGAAGTAACGTGTGACAGGGAAAATGATGACAAAAAGGGAACAGACTTTTGCGATAAACAACGATTCCAATAATGTAAGGATTAATATCGTTCTAATAAACTTAGGAAGAAATTATGCTGGTAAGTCAACACTTTTGTACCATATTTCATCATTTGAAATCGTCTATTTTGTGGTGGAGGCTTCTACACAAACCATTCCGAGAAGTAGGAATATTTTTTTTATATAATGGATCCTTTATCATAACATTTTAATATGAGTAGATAACGGACAAAATAAGTAAAAAAATCTGGGAGGTTTCTGAATATCAACCAAAAGAAGTTACAAGATGGGTTTTAAGCCAAAATAATGCATATCTCGGACTCACCATTGAGTGGGTATTAAACAGAACTCAAAACACTAAAGTTATACTTGCAATTTTTGTAGTGTATCCAGACGCTTGAAATCCCGCACTTGGATCACCTGGATGTTGTTATTGGTCAGAACTCTGGAAGAAAAATTATGATCACCGTTTAAACTCTTGTGGTTGATCGTTAAATCAGAGCTTTTCGAGTAATAAATGGTGTGTACATGACAAGGGCGGATTCAGGGGGGGGGCCAAAGGGGGCCATGGCGCCCCTCCCCCAAAAAAAAAACACGAAATCAACTTTTTTTTATGTGACGTCGCAATAAAGGCAGGCAATGAGTACACCACCATCTTTTCCTCAAAAAAACATTGGTTAAAGTGGTCAGAAATTGCCTCAGATCGCACCACAGAGCATCTAGAATCCAAAAAATTTTCGGGGCCTTAGGCGGGCCCCGAACCCCACGCCGTAATTTTTTGACCCACTTTTTTGGGCCCCCAAAAAATTGTCTTCTGGATCCGCCCTTGGTACATGATATTTTTCCACAAGATCTTAAACAGGACTAGGCTTGGCTCGTCGAACTGGAGCCGAAAGTCGTAGTGAATGATATCAACTGTACTCAGTCGGTCGGTCGGTCGGTCGGTCGGTCGGTCGGTCGGTCAGTCACTGCTGTCGGGGAGTCAGTCAGTCAGTCTATCGGTCAGTGACTAGCTTAGTTAGACTAACGACAATTGAATGGCCATTTGGACAACCAAATTAAGGAAAACCAACTGTAGACCTGTGTGTAATGTCATTGTTTTCATCTTTTGAGATCTAAATTCAAGTGAATATACGGGGGAAAAAGACTTACAAAACTCCGGTGTTGGTTGGAAATACCGGGATTTCAGTCAAAGCTCTACCGGTGCAGTCGACGTTGAGCACGGTGGCACCGGGCGTCATGGGCTGGCAGTCGCACAGTGTCCCGTTCCCGTTGGGGCCCGTGCCGTCTTGACACACATCTTGGCAATGGATGCCCACTAAACTCGCCACCAGAAGCAGGGAAAGAAAAGGCAAGAATCCAAGGCGAGTCCAGTTTCGAAACATGCTTTCTCCAGTTGGAATTACTTGTTGTGTCATGCAGGCGCGTGGTTTGAAAACATCTCCAAGGATTCAAGTCTGAAAATAGTGCGTAGACATAAAATGAGATATGATATATCAGTGGGATGAAAATTTCGTATACATATTCTTGTTTGTTGATTGGCTGGAATCCATCACGTGACGCTTGATAATCAGCCAATTGCAAGCGACAATACCCTTTGTGGGTGACTTTTGACTAAACAGCTAGTGCACTGAATTGTTCACGTTCTGGTGTAGTGATTGGCTTGAAGTCCATCACGTGACGTGAAGAATCAGCCAATTACGATTGACCTGCACCCTATGTGTGTAACAAGTATATGCACATCTCGTACACTCAATTTCTAATATATGAAAATCAATATGCAGACATAACCAAAACAAAATTAATATTCATACAGAGGAACAAGTATTTCATTGCAAGGAAACTGTGCAGTATAGATAACACCACATAACACCAATTTTCCGGTAAAGATACCACGAGACGGTTTGGGGAAAACCAAAGAGTTTTTCTTGATAACAAAATTGAAATTTGAATGTTTTATTTTCCTCTGTGTGCTTGCTCAAAATTTATAGGGTTAAAACAGACGGATGAAGCATTGAGGTGGCTTGAGTATTAATTAAAACGCCCACACACACACGCATCGAGTTTTCACTCCGAAATCTCACAAAAATATTGAATATATCCTATTGAAAAGCAGGGGAATGCTCCTTAGTAGAAATTAATTTCAGATAAGGTAGCGGTTAAAAGTGGAGCTTTCCTGACAAGAAAAACAGATTCATCTCTCTGAAGGGCCTCCTCAACACCGATCGTGTACGGTGTTGATGGCCACTTGAGCCCAATCCAGCGGGCCGTCTCTCGCGGCGCGTTTCGGCTCGTGAGTCCCCTGCTGGCCCGTCATTTGTCAACTCAACGACTGTCGTCATTTTCCCCAATAGAACGGTCTCAGCAATGTACGTTAGCTGTTCGTTTTCAGGCTTCTCTACAATTCGCATCAATCCACAAAAATAGCACCTACAGAAGTGTGGGTTGCTGGATTTTTTTAAAAATAATATAAGGGGCTTACTGTGGTCCCAAACCATTTTTGGTCCAGGGGTCTGGGTTTTTCTAGGGATCGAGGTTGTTGGGGTCTCCTGATGGTCCGGAAGAAACATTAGCCTGTCCGCGATTTGAAGTAAAAACAATAATTTAAAAAATGGGTTCTGTATTCGCACTAAATTGAAAAACAAATGACCAAATTACTGATGTTGTCTGTTTTTTTTAAATTGGTTAAACAAATTGTGTGGTGGCGCTTAAATAGTCTATATGATGTGTCCAAATTCAAAGACGCCTAAACATCCTTCTAGTTCGAACCTGTCTCGGGGAAAGTTGCAGATTTAAATTTTGAAGAGAGTAACTCTAAAAGAGCAATAGTTTTGAGAAGAATCAGTTGAGTTAATCGTTTTGATCAGCATGCTCAAACCATCACCGAACAAAACCCTGTTAATAAAGCACGGCATCTGATGCACTTTCATACGATGACATTTTTCAACTGCATATTTGGCGCGGATCAGATATTACTTTTTGATTCATTGTCTTCGAAGAGAAGAACTGAAGACAGGTGTGATGAGATGGGCCGTATATCATATCGAAATGTTTTGACTAAATTGCTCTGCGATTCAACCTCGAGATTGTGCCGCACTTTTCTATAAATCATGGGCAATTTTTTATGCCTATACATTGACGTTCTCTCTGAAAAGTAGCAATTACGATATTAATTTTCCATTTGTGTAGAGTAATCTGTCACAGAGCTATTTGAAATATTACACCAGCGTTTGGCGTGCAATCGGCAATAAACGACCAGCTTCCAGATTGCAGGGCGCTTTCGCGTGACTTATTTGTCCGCGTGACAAATTTGAAATCCCGGCAAAGGGCTGCGTCCTTAAATTTTCCGGACATTCTTTAAGAGTAATGTTTTATCCCGTTGTATTGAATTGTATTGTATTTGTAATGTATTGTATTTGTATATACATGTTTGTAGTCATTATTTATTGTATGCAGGGCCCCAATGGAAACAATTTTAAAACTGTTTGGGCATACCCTGGGTAAATAAATATAATAGATAATTAAATAAATAAATAAATATATTTTCCGTAGTCACATTTCGCTTGACGTAATAATTGGAACATTAGGGTCCGATATAGTGGAAAAGAAAGACAAAGAAATATTATTTTAACCGCAGTACAGGGTGAGTAAAAAAAAGTGACGAATTAGAAAAATATGTTTAAAAAATATGTGGCTCGCCACATTTCATAAAAAAAATAGGAAAAAAGTACACTTTCAAATTATTGACTATTATAGTAACTGTGAAAATTCCACGTTACTTGCATACTTTATTCCCAGTAATCGCTATTTAAATGAAACGATCACAAAATTCAGCTGTCCACCACATCATTTACCGTTTTACGAACTGATGAATACTCATTAAATACAATGAAACATGGAAATTTGTTCACCTCCATGAATTAACGAAACTTTTAAAAGAAAAACAGACAAATATCTCATCCATCTTTTCGGGGAAAGATAGTTGACTTGTTCCTGATTATTCAAAACACAAAATCTGATTGTAAAAATAATGTTTCATTCTTGATTCCAATGATTAAAATGTCATTTGTAGTTGAAAGTTTTTGTGTAATCTGTAATTTTCACTCAGCTCAATAGCTTCCAGTGACATTCCGTGGACAGCTTTAAAAAAAAAAATATAAAAAAAAATTCTTTAGTAAAACATGCATAACTTCCGATAGCATGGATCAATTTCAGTATTTTTTTTTCAGATGAGTGGAAGAACATGCTCTTTTAAGATACATTTCATTTGTGTATCAAATTAGATTGTTTATTAAGAAACAAAATCATTAATCCAGGTCACTTTCTTTCGACGCAACCTGTAGTAACAATTACTCGTCCTGGATTTAAAAAAAAAATTGCGACTGCGCATGCCCTTACCAATGAATTCTGGGTAACAGTCTGCATTTCATGCAGATAGTGTACTAGTCTGTCCTCAGCGCATGCCCAGATTTCTCAATACAAATCCATCACGTGAACAATTTCAGCACAAACTAAACTCAGTGAGTACTTGATGAGAGCGCCTATCACCTGACAGCTTGTATATTTTATTGCTCACGGTTGATTGTTTTTAATTTGCCCCATCGAGCCGATTAATTTTTGACACTCCCTGCGTGCCTCGTGTTTTTATGTTTACCAAGCCATCTCTGTATATATTTGCCAAAGACGAGTGGACGATGACGGATCCAAATTTAGCTCATTTAATTTAATTGATTATTTGAGTTTCTCAGTTGAGGATAGAGTATAGACAAACATATATCAAATTTCGTTATATTAAAATTATAAACAAATTTATCTTTGCATATATATACCAGCTCTTTCCATCTTTAATATTTTTCGAAGTTTATTTGAGAAATATGATATGAGACATTCACATAGGGCATATGTTTAAAAGTCTATTACAGTGTTGGATTGTTTTCCGTCCATTGTTTTCTCTTTTCTCCTCAAATACAGTATGTCCCCCAAAAAGTGTCCGTCTGACTGTTTTTAAAATAACTACAAAACCATGAGGTCAATTTTGAAAATGTTTGGTTGTGCAGACACTCCTAAGCATTGGCCTCAACCCCTATGAATTTTAATTTAATTTCAGTCACGCATCACTACACAACTGTCACTTGATGACAACAACATTTTTGGACACTGTGACCAAGTTCCTTGCCTTGTTCAATTTCAGTGCTGTGTTTAGGCTGTGTAAAATCCTGCATGTTGTGAAAAGGGCTGCCGTTGGGATTGGAATCATTTTCCTAGCTATCAGTCATCATGGCAAGACATAAGTTTAATGCTCAAGGGCAAATGATTCCAATCCAAAACCACAGGCAGTTTTTTTTTCTCAACATAAATGAGCAATGGTTTTTGTAGTTAATTAAAAAAACAGTCAGACGAACACTTTTTTGGGACAGCTGTGAAGGATTTTGAACCAACAAACTCGGAAACTGCATTTCAAATCGAGTGTAACATTTCGTCAGTGCATGCAGTGCCTTTCCAAGGTTGTTGATAGTTAATTTTAGACAGGACGTTTTTTCTGGAACTGTCTTTACATTTTTTTTTACTTTCAAAACAACATTTTCGATATTACTCGAAAATAGTTACACTATTCCACGGTCAAATGGATTCAACCGAAAATCAGTGAAAACTACATCTATGTTTCGGGACAAACACATGGCTGTTTCGGCAATTTGTTGTTGTATTTTATGTCATGTTATAGACTGATGGTATCAGTACAAAGTTGCATAGTGATCAGTGCCAATAGTATCGTAGATATAGGCTTATAAAAATGCATCTTTAATGTGACGTCACATTTCATGCGATGACGTTATCATGACATCACTTCAGTTTTCATCTATAACAAATCCCTGCTTAGGTTCATACCAAGATACAGCCAAATCGGACCTACAGTTCTCCAGATATAGGCCATAGAAAATGCACTTTAATATGACGTCACGTGATGACACGTCATGACGTCATGATGGCGTCACTTCAATTTTCTATAACACTTCCCAGTCTAGGAGCACATCAACTTTCAACCCAAAACGGACCTTTAGTCCTGAAGATGTAAACCTTTAAAATATGCACCTTGATTGTTTCGTCACGAGACACGTGATGACGTCATCATGACGTCACTTCAATGTCAGGGTAATTGCTGGAAATTCTACAGTAAATTATCCACCTAAAATAATAATTCTGTACCCACAGTCAGTTCTCGAGAATTAGACAATAGGATTGTGGTAATTACCAAGTTGTTTCCGTTGTTGAATAACGATGTTAATAATATTTTTTCACACTTTAGAAAATACAGTACAATACCTGAAACTGTAGGCAGAATTATATAAACTCCAAAACAATTGGAATTCAAATATCTTCCACAGTATTTCAACAGCTTTGTCAACTTACCTCTTCGAAATGTCTGCAGTTGATGTGAAATTCAGCAGCAAATGTTTGAAGTTATTATCACAAAAATGTTCCAGCACAAACGAAACATGGACTTTGATGCAGACATGCAGTCACCACCCCGTCATCAATCTCGAAAAATGTTCACATTGATAACCGATTTCTGGAAGTTTCATATCTCTAATGTCATGTCTGCAATCCTTACACGATGTTTTCAGACAGTAAAATATCGACGACACAAAAATGTTCTTCTTAAACCATGCATGGTCTCTTCTGATACATTTCATACTTGGAAAGACTGTAACAATCCATATTCAATCGGCACGACTGTACAACGAAGTGATTTTCAACGCGGCATTGCAAACCGTCACCCATTGAATTTGCAACTTGACAATGAAATCTTACTTGGTCTTTGGCCCTCTGTTGACATTCTGTGTAATTATTGCGGTGGAATTTGGTTCACGAGATGATAAGGAATTCGGCAAATGTTTGCAAGGCAATTATTAGACAATGTTTTGCAGACAATTGATCTGGGTCACGACATTTGTACTTTTGTTGCAATAGTCGTGCCCTAGGCCTACCGCTGAAGTTAAAAATAGACACTGTCAACCAGTAAGATTTTGGGCTGCGCAAGAAAGACCATGGCAACGGTGAACCGTCGGTTGTTTTGCGCAACTTTTCCGATTTCACACTTAGCAACAAAAGGGTTTTGCCAATACCAAAAATAGATTATTGTGGTGTTCCGAAACATCTGTGATTTCATGAAGAATTGGTACATTTGTGGACGATGAATAAAATAGAAGTCGTGGTAATAGATCGAAGTGTTTTACGTTTTTATATCATCTACTTACGTTAGAGGAGTGTAATGGCCTGTTGGTTAAGGTTTGTGACAGGTAATTAGAAGGTCGGGGGCTCGAATCCAGCTGCTTGGCATGGACGGTAAAAAGCCAATTTTACCAATGAAGTTTCTTCTCCCTACTTAATGTGTAGCTGACAACAACTTGGAGTAACCTAAAATGGACTGGCATCCCATCTAAGGGAGGAGAAACACTTCTTGCTGAGGTACAAACGCTGATAATGAGCCAAAGATTTCAACATTACTTCACTTCATTAATTTGGTACATTACTTTACTACCTACCTCTATCGGTATCTTAATCTCGACTCGTCCCGTAGCTAACGACGGTCTCCAAACTCGACTCACGCAGCGCGATGTCGTCCCAGGCAGACGAAGTCTGAGGCCAAAACCTGACTGCAAAAGCGTGCGGTCTTTTCGCCTGCGAAATCACATCCGAACCTAGCAACCACTTACGTGGCCATGCATGCGCAGTTCACACCTATATCAACTCAACGAGGTCATGTTATGATTGGTAATCAAATCTGCGGGTGGTTATGGTTTAATAGTTTCAAATCGTGAGCTTGGATTGAAAACCCAGAATTCGTTTTAGCTGAAGATTAGGGCCTACATAAAATGAATTACACAATTGCATTCTGCAAGTGGAGGACATGCTATAGGCCTACGGTATGAAAGCGTGCAATATCGCGTGCATGGATCGCAACCACTATTATATCAAATACCATAATTGTCAACGTGTTAATGCGAGATTTCTATCAACGGTTTCTGGGTTTCGATTCTTAGCGGCTCAGAGGTCGGCTGGTGGCAGGTAAAACTAAACCAGGGAGAACTTTGAGTGACACTTGGAGGTCAGCGGTGACTATAAGTAGCGTAGGTTCACAGAAGTATTTAGTGACGATAATATTTCCGAAACATTGCGCAAAGTGGTGCAAAATATCAGGATGTCTAGGATAAGGTGACGAGTCACTACCGATATCCTTTCAGTTTAAGAACATTCATGTCGGCAAAAATTGAATTGTGGGTAGTGACAACAACAACTAGGTTGGATAATTATGCAAGTGTTAGGTGGTTAAAGTAAACTCTTTCACGAGCCAATCACATCCGGCCGTTGTCTGTCTCCGGTTTCTTTGGTATGAAACAAGAGAGAATTTTTCTGTTCCCCTAGATATGAGAGTCCATCGCAAGTTACTCCCCAGCAGAACCCATTTATAATCGTGGGTGGAGAGAGGCAAATGGGGTAAAGTGGTTTGCCCAAGGACACAACATATGACCAGCAGCTGGATTCGAACCCCTGACCCTCTGGTCAAGAGTCCCTAACCCCAACTACTTGGTCACACTCCCCCAAAAATAGGAGGCCAGCTCTAAAAAAGCAAATGAAACTTTAAAACGGCCAGGCCTTATATGAATTGAAAATTGTTTTACTTCATAACATGTTAAAACTAAAGCAGATTTTTTTTTTAATTACTAACAGGTAGGGGATCGCCAAGGTATGGCAATTGTGCACTGGCGGACAGGCGCAGAAACAAACTGTGGAAAAAGGGCTATTTGAAAATCTAAGAATGACGACTGTTTGTTCTTGCATGGCCATGGAGGGCATTCCTCCGTGGTTCTTTTTGTATACATTTTAATGGAGAAGGAGTACTGAACAGACGGTAGTCAGTGATATTTGGGTTTACTGCAGCATGCATTTCATATGACAAAACCTCCTTTGTAGCTCAATGCCGGCACTTCAAATCATAAAATGCCATAACTGCTGATGCAGTTTGTACACCTGCGGCTGGGATCAGTCGCTGCAAAGAACAATTCGGCTCGACTTCACACAGACCGCGAGTAAATAAAACATTTTCACGAGAGAACGTCTCGAGCCGAAACCCGCGCCTCGTTGAATTTACAGCTCGTTTAACTGGACATATTAATCAAGAAAATTGAATCTGTGGAGTGTCTAAATTTGCCCGGGGTCGGGAACGTTTGCCACGCGTCGCTCTGGGCTGTTGACACTGTCTGAATGTGCTCAGAAACAATTGTCGAAAATCAACACAAGAACTCTTTTTTATTACATTACGCTAAATATATTTGGAAAGTAAAATTATCATTCAGAAACCTAGTGAAATTTCCTAGGACGCTTTATCTGTTCCTCGTTAAAATTTGAAGATCTCACGAACTTATACTCGATCCATAAAGTTAGTTATTGCCGGAGTTTTGTCAGTATTTTCCCACAGACGTGACACATCAAAGAAAACCTAAGTATGGGGGAAATATCAGGAGTAAAGAAAAGATTTAATGCATCCATGGGCTTTGCCAGGATTTCTTTTAGAGGGAGGCAAAGCACATTATTTCCCCCAAATCCTTGTACTTTCTCAATTTATCATTTTTGTTGAGGGTTGGCGGGGGTGACATTTGCCCGCCCCATCCCCATTGACACCCCTGCTAGGACCTCCATGTTGTTAAATGAGAATTAAATTAACAGCAATATGACTTCGTACATCGTCTTCTTCTTTTCTTTTCTTTTCTTTTCTTTTTCTTTTCTTTTTCCCCTTGCCCCCCCCCCCCCGCGAAGCCCATGAATACATCATACTTAAATGAGAGGTAGTTGATGACGTGTCTCAGCTTGAATCCTAAACCTGACTAGGTAAGGTCACTAAAATATATGTTGTTCACTAGTTTTCCTTTGGATACTACAAGCAAAACGGATTGAATTAATTTAGGTTCGGTTGTGGTTAGTGTAGTGCACAACCTCTCCCGTAGCCATAGAGAGTATGGCTGCATATTGTGACAAAATTGATTTCCCTTTAAAGACGATTTTATGAGGAGTTCACTGTACCTTCAGTGATATATTTTCTATCACCAGCACTACACTCTCAATACAATTGTCCTTGAATTAAAAATATACACGCTGCTCTAAAAGTGCGCAGGTCAACGTCAGAAATGAATTGCTTGACCAGTGGATTGTATAATGAATCGCACGATTTGACCAAAGAGCCTTTGACCAAACAACTTCCACTCCAGGTTGGCCTGTTGGTCTGTGATTGCCCACTCGAAACCAACGCTCCTAATAAATGACACCTCAAGAGGACAGGCTTGGCATCGACAGTCCAGTAACCTTTTGGACCTGTCCACTCCAGTCAGTTTTTCTGAAGAGCTAATCAAAGGGCGCCATCATCGTCAGCCTGTCGATGTGCGAGCTCAATGACCTCGAGTTGACCTCGAAATAATGTGGATTTGTCCTAGACGTTCCGTCGAACTGGGCGCATTCTGAATTTAAGGCATATATAACCTATTCTTTTGAAAAATGATAACCGAAACGGCTGAAGTTAGCTCGAACCTCATGGGTGGGTGCATCTTTGTGAATGAAGTTTGCTTTTAGTTAGGCGTGACAGCGCCCCCTACGGCAGTTTAAGCAGAGATCTCCCGGCTTAATCAAATAAGGGACTGCATGGCGTTTTATTTCTCCAGGTTCTGGCAAAGTTGGCAAAGTTCACGATTATAAAGTAAAAAAAAAACATAATTCCAAACGATGCTAGATGTACGGTCCAACAACAATAAAAGAAATATGTTGTTTTTCACGTCAGCTTTTTTATTTCTTTATTGTATATATTTTGAGAAATTTTTGAGTTGATTTAATATTCCGCAACCTATAGACTTGTGACTTCATGCTGATAGGCAGTCGGACAAGCAACCCTAACACTGAAGTATCTTTTGTATGTTATTTTGCTCGCATGAAACAATTGATGTCAACAATTTAAAACTACCTTATTTCGAGATATTATAAAACAAATGTAACATAGTCTATCTCTCAGGTTTTTTTTTTTCCTTTTCTTTTTTAGGGCGGCCTTATTTTGAGCGTTTTTTGTCCGAGGGCAGTCAAGAGAATAATCTGGAGGATAATTTGTTCCGACAATTGACGTAATGAGGCGACATTGTCCCATTCATAACTCCAGACTCATCACTTGGAGTACGGTGAGTAATACTTTCCAAACTATTCTTCTTTTCATTAGACCTCTTTTTATTTTTTCTGCACCACTAATTATGCTTACGCATCGTTCCCGTTACATGATAGGAATATGACAATAACAAACGCGTCAACTTCCGTGTTCCTTATGGTTGGATAATATCCTGTCACCCTTTGTATTCATCTTCGACCCAGAGATGTCCCGTTATTTAGCAACAAAGCCGAGTTACGTAACTCTACTTGTTTGGTGCGCGGAAGTGTATTCATACCAGTAAGGACATTCGTATAGGGATAATCCCCTACTGTGACACTGTCAGCATGATTCACTGGAGTACTGCCCAAAGCAGGTCGCAATTTCTGGCGTTCTCATTTCCTGGTGTGTTGGTATAATCATCTTCATCTTCAGCATATGTTTCACATGAGAGCTGATAATACGTGCAGCGTTACAGTTCATCCCGAGGTAGCACTATTTGCTGGCACCACGAGTTGGACACAAAACACGTTCCATTGAAGGTTCAGTCATGTGTGAACGTAGGGTGTGCAGATCCCATTGAGTTGGACTTCGCGAATGTGTATTTCAGAACGGCTGCAACGAACAAGCACCTTCAAGTTGACATAATAGCTGCCTAGAGCTGTAGTGTAAGGAACATACCGTCATCGTTAACAGCGACCACAAACGGTAGGTTGTTCTGTATAGTATTTTCGTGTGAAGTAATTCATTTTTGTGTATAAGAGTGAAAGTCACAGGGTTTTTCAGAAACCAGATCACGTCCTGCCATATTTTAAACTGTTCTGATTTCATGCACAATGATTCTATTCCTTTTCGAAAAGTTCGACAATTTCATATCTTTTTTTTTTGTAAAGTGGGTCACTGCAACGAGTTCAAGCGTTCCAAATGGGACGTGCGGAAAGTGTTACATACCTGGACATCACTTGACACCCTGTGCACAAACCCTACGAGACGGGTCTGAAAAAAAATCCAAGTGTTTGACTGTTTTCTCAGTAAATGCGTCAATATTTTCCCTGGTAAATTTGACTTTTTAGGACATGTCAACACTTTCTGATGGCTGATAAGTCACTGCAGGGAAAAATAGTGATATCCGTGTATGGAATTCTTCCCAGATTGACAACTATACCGGCAGTTTTCCTCTGTCAAAAGTAATGTCATTTAAGTCTGGACAATAATTATGCAGATGAAAATAGTAAGGTTTGGTGAGAAAGTGGTATATATGCTTCTTGGAAAAGAAAGTTAAATTTTCTACATTGCTGTCCCCCACCGTACTTATATGCCTATTCCATACTTTGAAAGAAAATAATTTCCTAAAAATTATATTCGATAACCTTATGGCAGACGATTTTGAGGACAACAGCATCATAAAATTGGCAACAATTGTGCCTGGTAGTACTATCATAGAGCAAGGACTGTACACAAACTCATAACAAAAACTACGGAATTAGTCTGAAGGCGAAGCGATAAAAGAGAATTCCCTTCAACTACGAACAAAAAAGTGCAAGTTGTTTTTTCACCGGAAAATCAGTCAAGTGAAAATTGCATTCTGTTGTGACTGTACGAAAAGCACGAGGTTATTGCATTTGTGGAAAAACAAGCCTTTTGTTCACGGTCAAACCGAATACCAGTGGGGCTGCAAAATGTCAATGCTAATTACCCGGTATGACTGTGAATGGAGTTTTTCAGGCGTGTTCGGTCGTCGCATTATCATTCATTTGCATGGTACCCGAGTTGCAGCTCCGTTTTACCAATGCCACACGGTATATACTGGTAGCTGACAGGGGCTTCTACATGTCTCTTGGCGGTCGGTCTGTCTGTCCCCGGAAATTTGACTAAAATCAGCCCCATAAGTTTCCCATAAAATATAACTACCAAATTTTAATTTTCAAAAATAGCACACAAAATAGATTACATTCTGAACAAATTGTTTGCCAGAATTCGGAAAGATGTTTATGAAAAGTTTGTAAATGGAGGCAAAGTATGTGCAGTAATGTTATAGTCAAGTGGTATTTGTCGCAAACCATTATCTAGGTATAAATGTAAAGTATGGTGTTCCATATGTGCCATCGGCGTCGCATTTTGGGCATCGCATTTTAAGCTCCAGGCAGGGATCATTATGCCAGAAAGCCAGAGCTTACTGCGCACTCGCACTTGTTATACACTCACCATACTTTCACTAGCGTGGGCTACCACCAGTCGTCCGTTGAAGGCATAACAACCGCGCAGCGGTGAGTTCTATGGGTCGCTGATTACTGGTTGATTGTCAAATTGATGAACGCCTTGAAGGCGATTAACTGCTCCACTTAACAATAAACATTAATCAGTCAGTGCATGAGAGAACCACCATTAATTAGTCGCACTATTTACCTTCTACATGTATATATATGACCAATTATTGACAGACGGGTGTTTGGTTCGTCAAGGGTTCAATTTTCAGATAAGTGTGGGAAATACGTCCGACTGAAACTTGTGACGTCGTTGAGAGTAAAATGTGATCAATCGAGCATATAACTAGGGTGTCAATCTGTATTTCTTTTGTCTGATGTCTTAGCAAATAGTGGGGCAGATAGGGCAATTTTTTTTAGGGGGAAGGGTGTTTACTTTGATGATACAAGCATGGCATTTGGCACACCGTCGATGTCTTAAGAAAGATATTTGGCTATAGGGCCAACGCAGATTTGTCCTCTGAAAAACGATATAGGTAGAATAAAAAGCAATTTTCAATTTTTTTCAAAATTGCTGCCGTTTCCTGTTATTCTGCCTTTATTTTTTCAAAGGACAACTCTGCAGTGTCCCTATTTCCGAATATCTTTCCCATGACATACTCTGACTGTGTGCCACAGTTCCATGTTTTAATCATCAAATAAACAATCCCGTCACCCGTATGGCGTACTACAATGCAATACGTTTTAGCAACCCAAATTGAAACTTTACTTTTCGGGGTCCAGTCGAAACGGACAATACAAACTTAATGCAAGCTTATTTCCCACCGATCTTTGTGTGTGTGTGTGGGTTTTTTTAAGTCGTGGTCAGTTCGATGGATAATTGGATAAATCAGTTGAACATAATTCTAAGAAGACTTTTTGTGCTTTGGGTGATCATTAAGGGTAAGGATTGTTATTTCCGCAAAGCCAGATGGCCCAACACTTACATCAGAATTGTTCCAGTTGCTGATGTAAAAGTTACTGTTACTTGTTATTCTTTTAATGGTTTATGGTTTTTCCGTGAAAAGAATTAACATACCAGAGCCGATTACCGATCGCTGTATTCACCTTTCATTGTGTATGGCTGCTAATCGATAAAGGAAAAGAAGACAGTTCAACTAAGTTTTTTTGACAAGCAGCTTTAGCTGACGCTATCGAAGGCCTTGGTAAACTATTGCTGTGATTTGTGATAAAAGAGAGACCTGAAAAGTTGTCTGGTGACGTCAAAGCGTCCATTGTTAATACGAAAAAGTGAAAGTGGTGAGACGGTCCACCACCCGTGGGTTTTGAGGAAAACTCGCGATACAGGACAGTGACCATCATTGTTAATTATTTCTAAAGAGAACAATTTACAGGGCCCATGTAATGAATTTTTTTTTATTTAATCTTTGAAATGTGCCTTTGCGTTCCAATTAGCTTTATTATTAATTCTCATACTGTAATTTTAAGAGCGTTTTGATACTTTTTTTGGTTTTTATGCTAAAAGCAAATTTTCATATTCATGAGCAAAACTGTGATGTCGTGCAAGGCAATAACGTCAGTTTCACATCTGCTTCAGCATAAAAAAAGTCACCAGATTTATATGGGTTTGCTGAGGTTATTGTCATGCTTTCAGTGTGTTGTTTCAGTACAATGAGACAATGGGAAATCTTCAAAGAGAAAAGTCCAAAATAAGAATGTGTACCTAAAGTGACATCACAGCAACAGCGCCCTCAGTTGTCAGGAAAAGCATGAAATATTTTAAAGGCTTTTTAAAAACTGCACTTTGTAAAACGTTTTACCGAAAAGGGATGTAACACACTGAATATACAGTGTTTATACGTCGGTGAAGGGCAAAATCTTATATTGAATTTACATCACCCAGTAGCAAATTCCATCTTATGAATAGAATATGCGAGGTTCGAAATTCCCCACTCCGTCCAATGTACCTCGCGTCTTTGCAGTAAAGTTGTTGACCATCTTTATTTGTTTATCTAAATACGTGACATCTTAAGCTCTGTCAGTAACTGATGAAATTGGATCCTTGACAATGTGAAATAGAAGTATACTGTAATGAGAAACGCAACTAAATCGTTGCAAGATTGAACAGTTAACTTCTTAAATGAAAACCTGAATTTAAGCCGCTTTTATAATGTACAGACTAATCGATTCGACGGCCTTCAGTGCTTACTAGATATTTTACAGTCTCAGGTTTTTGCTGCCTATCGTTAATATCTAGTTACATAAGATGCTCTGCGCCTTTTGTTTTGTTTCACGAAAGGAAATGATTTCAATAAAACAAAAAAACAATGACAAACCATAATTATTTGCAGCAATGGTCCGTATGGTCAAAAGAAGTAACCTTGCCTAAAGTGTTGGAAATAGCTCTCGAATGTTTGTTCGCCAGAGCTTCACTTCTAGCGACCATATGTTATATAAAATTCCTTTGGTTACGAAACAACAGGTAGGCCTAATCCTTTTGATATCTTTTTCGAAGGACGGCAATAGCAAGCCACAGTTCAGAGTTAAAGAAGTAAAGAAATCTCGCCGAGCCATGTCGTATTGACTTGTTTTTCTATCACTTCCTCGCAAACGTGCGATAGTTACGTCAATGCGTCTAACACGCCTGTTCAAATGACGCGCATCTTCATATTTCTCACGCGTGGTCGTTACCTAGGAAGCAAATCTGCAGGCTCGCATAACAGCCATGTACTGTACACGATCGTTTATGTGCCAAGTAAACTATGTCTCTTTTTGTAGGCATAACATGGAGCTTTCATAAGATACATAGACGTGTTTAACCACAACCTAAAGGTCTTTGTAAGTTCTTTCATTCTAGCTTTTTGTTTTCTGATTTGAGAGAGCTGGCAAGAACGTGAACATAGCAGAACATTGTTTTCTTAATTTAATTTTAAGGCCCCATGAAGTGATATTTCTTAGGAACATATTTTGTGCAACTTTCTAATCTCTTTATGTGTTAACACTATTTGACCTACCTTTTGGTTAATTGTATTGAAAAGTGCTCTTTTTTAAACATTTGTAACTCCCTTGCTTTTCCGGACAAGTGAGGGTGCTGTTGCTGTCATGTCAATTCAGGAAGACTGTGTTCATTTTAGGTGTTTTCTGTTCACATTGTGAACCCAAACATTTGCGTCATTGAAAACATTTTGTGCGGAAAGTTTGCTTATTGGCTTACTGCCTTGCACTGACACAACAACGAATCACTAAAGAAAAGAAAGTTTACGACAGCGAACTATCCAAAAGATATATCAATAAATTTCTATAAAAATAACACTACACTAGACGTATATCCAACAAAAGGACAACATGTTTTTGTTATGTACTTTTTATTCACCATACTACCTAACTGAATACTAAATGATTCCCCATACGTGTATTGCAAGTCATCGCGTGCGAATTCCTGTTGTAAATGAGAGTATTTTATTGATGGACCAAGCACCACACATCGGATGTTGATATTTATTTTACTCTAACATCTGTCCTTATTTTGTCTGAACAGACTGAAGGGTATCAGGGTTCGGTTGAACCCTGGACTTCCTGTGTGCGCGGTTTAACGCTGGGGGCGCTGTTGGATGTGACCAGAATTAACTTTGCCTATATATGGAGCATTCTGTGAATGTGATGTCCAAACGTGTGGACAATTTTTACAGTCCCTGTTACACCTGGTCTGCGTAATTTGCCATCTAAATATCGTTAAAATTGATCGTCATACTATTGGGGGATTAGGTACTTTGCCTTACATAATCACTCTTGGATATGAGATAGAAGGCCCTCTAGAATATGTCCTCAACTTACAAAATATTGTATCAGGGGTAACAGGGACATGAAAACATTGCACCCCAAATTTATGAAATGGCCGTATGTGCCTGTGCAATTGCAACGACGGATCCGGCGGAAAGGGGCCCACGCCCCCCCCCCCCCCCCACCCCCCCCCCCCCCCCCCCCCCCCCCCCCGCCCAAAAAAGAACACGAACTCAATTATTAAGTTATTATTATATTTTGTATAAAGTCACGTCGCAAAACAGGCAGCCACTGCACACTGCATACTCCATCCATAGTCATGAAAATCGGCTTGAAATGCAGACACACTTTCAATTCATTTTTTAAGTTCCTACAATCGACCAATGGATTTCATTCACGCTTATATCTCCACGTAGCACACCTTTTGGAACTATGTATCGCACCATTCCCAGACATTTTGTTTTTGGTTATTTCAGTGACTTTAGCTATTTAAAATCATTCTGACCACTTTTTTAAAAGCATGACTGGCATTGCTTTCCCAACGACAGAGAAAAAAATGGTGCCTTCAAGAAAACGACCACCATCACTGCTTCCATCCTCGCCTTGCATCTCAGCCGCATCAGCGTCCCTCTTGCTTCACCTCATCTTGATGATAGCGGGGAGAGCAACTCAAGTGGTAGGCCAGCAGCAGACGGTGTGCGCTGACTCAGCGGGCAGCGTAGCGCCACTGTGCCGCTGTACCGTCTCAGACGGCACCAAGACGGTGGACTGCTCCGAGTTGGGCCTGATGAACGTTCCCGGAAGCATACCCGACGATACTAACATTCTGTAAGTTAAAAAAATACATCAATTATTTAAGAGCCGCAAATAATTCAAAAGTTTTGGAGTATTTCTCCCAATAAGGGCTGGCCTTTTTTCGTTCGATAGCTCATTCATAAGTGAATAAATTCTGTATTGATAATAAAAATAGTTAAAAATTTAACATTATTTCGGGATGAAACTCAACAAATTGCATAACAGACGCGCAGAAAGACGACAACCAATAATAAACCAATCCAATTCGTAGTTACGAATTTCGATTTTTCTTTTTAACGTAAATTTGTAACACATTGGTGCGTTTTTCCTTTCCAGAAACCTCAGTGATAACTTGATCGAGGGACTAGCCAGCAGAGTTTTCGCCAATTTGGTTGACCTTCGCGAACTGTAAGTATTTAGAAGATTAACATTGTATTAATTTTCAACATGGGGAGTCAGGTTGGCCTAGCGGTACTTTCCTCGCCTTCCACCGCTGTGACCTGGGTTCGAATCCCGCCTGGGCCAACATGTGGATTGGGTTTTCAGTCCCTACCTGATTCCGTGGGTTTTCCCTAGAATATTCTTCTGAGTTTTCCTCCCACCTCTAAAACTCTCATTTCTTTTCATTGTCTTTTCTTCCGGCTTGCGAGCTACAGTGCCTAGGGCGCTTTTGAGGAATCAGTTTAGGAATATTTGTCGCGCGCTATATTATGAAAAATGACTAACTTTACAGGACCGTGAAATAGTAAAGTTAGCAACATCGCAAACGCTTCATAGAACACATTTAGTTCAGGTCCACGTAGTTAATTTCTCCTAATAATTAATTTATGGCGGAGATGGAGCAGTATAGTTTTAGTCATCCATCTTTCAAATGTTGTCAAGACTTTACAGGGACCTGAAAACAACCTATTTGGGTGGGAAACTTTCGGTTTCATTGCTCTTGTAAGTCACATTGTTCTGTTCTTTGTTTTTCCTTCAGGTATCTCGTGCAGAACTCCATACGTAACGACCTTCTTGACGCAGGCGCATTCTTCGGACTTACAAGGCTTCGGTTGCTGTAAGAGAAATGTAGCCTACATGTAGAGTAATTGAGAATTTTATAACACGTCTTAATTTATTTGAGTAGAAACTAGTCGATTACAGCTTGTCTCACAAAGAACCTAACAGTCGAAAACCAAATAATAAAGGTATATTGCATGTGAGTTTTGGAATATTTTCAAATTACCTCTTAAAGACGGATAACCCATCTACCATACAAACTTCATTTCATTCAAATCGATGCATTGGAACAATCGCAATGCTTCATCCTGCTCAAGGGTTGAAAATCTTCTTGGGCTTCTCTCCTTGAAAGTGAATAAGCGAAGTTAGAGAAACACACAAAGGATGGGTCAAAAGTGATAGTGCAGCTGATCAGTTTATCATTTGGACAAACATTTTGGACAAATCAAAAAGCGGGGGGGGGGTACCTATCTTCCAAATAGGGGCGCTCTTCAAAACTGACCACTATTGTGGAAATGCTTACTGAAAAAAGGCGGGGGGGGGGGCTGGTACCTATCTTCCAAATGGGGGCGATCTTCAAAACTGACCATTACATGTATATGAAAACACTGACTAAAAGAATCTTTCACAAAAATCCACCAGGGGGCAAGGTGCCCCCTCTGCCCCCCCCCCCCTTCTGGTAGGCCACATGACGAAAGCAGGTTTATGATTATCGTGCTGTTATTTTTATTTTGGCCAGAGATTTGACCGGAAACCGACTTCAATTACAGGATGAAAGTAACGTGCAGCCCTTTCTGCCCTTAGTGCGATTGAGACATCTGTAAGTACTGGCCTATCCGTTGTTCCAAAACTTAAATCATACCCATCATTTTTCTTGGTTATTCTTGGTTGGTTCATCTCCTAAATTCTCCGCCTGGGAGTGTATACAGGAAACCAGAAACACTGGGGCAAACCCCTTCTCTTAGCGATGTGTCACTGGGTTCTTTTACGTGCATTGCATTTACACAACACACGGGACCTACGGCTTTACGTCCCATCTGAAGGGCGAAGCAATAATGGTTAAGTGCCTTGTTCAAGGGCACAAGTGTCAACCCGGCAGGCTCGAAACCCACGCCACTGTTGCCTCTAAACATGACATTTGTCAGGATTTGTTTCCTGATCTTAGGATTTTTTTGTCAGGTTCTTTCCTGATTAAACAATTCCAGGGATTCCTGAAGTCTGGATTTCGTGAGATTTTGCGGTAAAGGTATTTTTACCTTTCAAAAGTCTAATACCAAAATAAATTTGAAATTGGTATTTTGGGGTTGCCCCTTAGGCGAATAAGAACCTCCCATCGATCCTACATTGTTTTTAGGCCCTGCATGACCCTCAAGCCCGGCCTGCCGATTATTTTGTGGATGTTTCATTTCCCTTCATTATCCCTGATGGTGGGAGAATTTACCACTATATCCCAAACTTTTTATCTTTTCAGCGATTTAGGATACAACAATATTGCAACAATCGACAGATCGTTTGTCACAGTACTGGACAGACTGCGAAATCTGTAAGTATGCTTAAGACATAGAAAAAAGACTAAGAAAGGTGCATTATTTATAAGGCCAAGTAATAAATACCTCAGAAACCTCTTGCTCTGTACGAGCAGTGGCGCACCCAGGATTGCCTTTTTTGGGGGACTGGGGGGGGGGGGTCTCACTATTGTTTGTTTGTTTTTTCAAAAAAAATTGGGGTTTTTTTTTGGGGGGGGGGCACTATTTTGACGTTGATGGCGCTACTTACACCCCTATTACAGTACTCGAAAAAAGGCCACATACATATCACCAAGGTCAAATCGTGAGCCAAAAAAATTACCACAAAAAAATTGACAACCTCTCGGAGGGCTCAAGCTTCCAGAGCCCCCCCCCCCCCCCCTTGGGTGCGCCACTGGGTGCGCCACTGAGTGCAAATATTAAATTTGAAACAAGTCCAGCACAACTGAGTTTTTTTTTTTCGTTTTGTTTACTCCACTCAGGTTCATGGTGGGAAACCCGTTGGTGTGTGACTGTAACCTCATCTGGTTCAAGAACTGGTTACTCAATAAGGGTACTCAGCCTGACTTTAGTGCCTTGGGGGTCCAGTGTTTCACCCCAGAGTCAGTGAGACGGGAAACAGTGGAAAATGCTAGGTTCTGCATACCGGGTAGGTTTTCGTCTAAATCAAATTAGAAAAAAATGTAATAACAACTAAAGTGGGCTAAAAAGCATCATAGATGTGACCGTTACACATTCAAATGTTGACTGAAAATAATCAAAACCTGCCGTCAATTTAAAGAGAGAGAGTGATCTTACTGTTTACTTTTAATTATTTTCCGTCCTTCACAGTTCAGCGCTGCTACTTTTGTAACTCGGCCTCCACCAATGCCGCCTGTAATTTTGCCCAACAGCAGTGCTCTGGAACAAACGTGAGTTCCATACCTTTAGCTCTTTTCTCCATAACTGCAATTTGATATGAGTTTGTGGTTGAAGGTTTTATTCCATGCATGCAGAGCTCATCCATTGCTTTTCCTGTCCTGACGATTAAATAGCCCTTTTCACAGTAGTGCCTGAAACTGCAGATCTGACTATTGCACACTGCACTGTAGCAAACTGCCCAAGCACTCTACGATTTTATTGATTCTTCAAATGTAATACAATGAAAAACAGGTGCACTGCAGGACAATAAGCGTATGGGATATGAAGGAAAGTTGATAGTGAATTTAGCAATGCTGAGTCTTTATTCCTTATTTGTTCTTTATTCTTTACTAATTTTATCATCATTTTTACAGTGACATTTGAAAATTGGCCCAATGTTTGCCAGTGTGTGCCAACATTGAACCAATATTGGGCCAATGTTTTGTCCTAGCTGGAAAGGCTCATAAGCCAGAGCCCACCTTGATTTGTATTAAACTTTGCTTTCCTGTACACTTGTATGCAGCCGGCCTGCCGGAACGAGGTCCGAATCGTCAATGGCATGTACCTGATCGGCAAGGCCTGCCAGGCACTGGATGCCTGCCTGGTCAATGCTGAACAGAACCAGAACGATTGCAACGCCGGAACGGAGAACTCTGTGTGCCGCTATTGTTGCCAGGGGGACCGATGCAATGCCCCAGAATCCGCCATTTTAAGTAAGTCGAGATCTTCTCTTGAATCTTGATGCCTTTTGTCGTAGAGGTTGTCCCAACATGACTCTGAAAACATCCATCGAGTTAAAAAATAGTCTGAGCTAGCGGTCCATCTCTTTCCAAAACTTTGCTTGACAGGGACGGTTGGGCCCAACTCATCAAGTAATCATGAAAGTGAATGAACAAAGAAGAAGAAGAAGTCTCTCTTCAAAAGTCTACTCTGTGTTTTTAACAACAAAACGTTACCCCTGTCATTCCCCTTCCTTACTGTTCTGGAAAAAAAGCACGAAAGCTAAGCTTTAAAAAAGAATTGATTTTTCGTACTTATATGTGGGCATTGTGGCCTAGTAGTTAGGGTTTGTGACTCACGATCGGAGGGTCAGGGGTTCACGTCCAGCTGCTGGTCACATATGTTGTGTCCTTGCACTGATATCAGATTCTGGGGGTTTTCGTCTTTTTCTTTTTAGGCGGATATCAGTTCCCATTCCCAAACACGTCACCAACAGGTATGTCATCTTTCAGATAATCTCTTTACTAACAAATTTTCAAGAATATCTTCAAGTTTTCTTTCTTAAATTCAGGGAGACATCAAGCTGAACAGTAGGATGATAAATGTGGCTTTTAGAAAAGACACAATTTTCTCTCTGGAATCTCTCTAAAAAAATTGTCGATAAAAAATCTCTCTAAAAATCTTCCTCTAAATCTCTCTCTAAAATTGTTTGTCGTTTCAAAAACTTTCTTTAAAAAATAATTAACCATATGTGAGAGTGATTCCCTGTAATGTCACTGCTACTTGCTAAACCTGCTAACTGCCATTATTAACACTACGATTTTGTACTACATGCTTTGCTTTGCTTTAGCCCAATCGACTACACTGGACCTTTCAACTACTACTCAAACCCCATCCACTACTACCCAAACGCCATCAACTACTACCCAAGCGCCACCAACTACTACCCAAATTCAATCAACTACTACCCAAACCCCATCAACTACTACCCAAACTCCCTCAACTACTACCCAAGCTGTAACCCCTACTGACCAAATCCCAACAAGTGCCCAACTGCCGCCGACCCTTGAATATAGTAAGTAGGCCTGCTTTGGCTTTGTCGCATGGCAATATGAACAAGTAGTGGTAGGCCTAGCTGCACAACCACTTAGTTTCAACAGAGCTCATCAAAAAGCAAATAGTGCTAATGTTATTTTAACATTCCCTCATCCTTGAGCTTCTCATGGATCCAAATTTGCACAAAAAAATCTCACTGCTGTGTCTGTTTTTCCCTGCTAATTTCTTTTGCTTTTAGCTCATACCACTTTGCAGCCTCTCGCGATTAAACCTCCGCTATCACTAACCCGCCAAGCTGCACACCCTTCACGTAACAAGCGTGATCCTCCATCTGATGATCCGCCCCCAGACTCTACCTGGCTCAAGCCAACCACTGATCAACAAGCTCCAACCACCAGCCGACCGTGGCAATTTACTCTCAAACCCCGATCAACTAATCAGTTATCAACTCCCAATCAACTGCCTACTGCCAGCGCAACTCCCACCTGGCACCCCAGGCAGACACGCACTATTCCTGGTCAGCCGCTGAACAACTGCGATCAATATCCACCCAATTCTGATCGCCCAATTCCTAAACATTGTCAACAAGAGTCAACCCTTCCACCAAATACTAAACTGCCACTAATCCCTACCCAACCACCGCTAACCCCCGATCAACCTCCATCAACTATCCACCAGCCTTCGCAAACCACTCCCCAATCCTTATCAACTGATCAACTAACTCCTAGTCAACTGCCACCAAGCACTCCAGCAATTTTCCCACCTTTGCAAACCACTCCCCAATCCTTATCAACTGATCAACTAACTCCTAGTCAACTGCCACCAAGCACTACAGCAACCTCCCCATCGTTGCATACCACTGCCCAATACCGATCAACTAATCACCTAACTCTTAGTCAACTGCCGCCAAGCACTTCAACACATTTCCAACCGTTGCATACCACTTCCCAGTACCCATCAACTAAGTTTTTTCCACAAACCAACGGCCAACCACCATCATCATCCACCAAATCCCCATCAACTTTCAAACTACCACCCTCCACCATCACCCAGCAGCAATCTGCAAATCCATTGTCAACATTCTCTGTTTCTCCAGTCAGTAAGTAGTGCATGGTTTTCAAACCCTGATCACATTCCTGCATGTGGGATGCACTAAACCTTCAGTAGATGAATATGCTGCCTATTTTACGTTTTAGATTTTAAATCCGTCTATTCCTCATATAAATACATCTTTTTTTATACACACATAATGACCAACCCAAAGCAACTATATACCAAGTGACGGATCTCAACATTCATTTGAACAACCCGACCAGTATTCCACAGGAGTCTCGAATGCCTGCCCTTTATCTCTTTCAGCATGACCCATCCGTCCATATGATCCATTCAACCAAATGTCAGCACATCCTCTCAGCAACCATCTACCAACCTACCCATCCATGACTTTTCCATAACTGAACCCATCCACTTATCTCTGTCAACCCCTAGGTGTCATCGAGCACTTGTAGCCTTTGTAGGAGGCGATTGCTTGCAATCATCAGTAGTAGCCCTTGAACAACACAACCATATGTTTTTAGTCAATCCATTAAGCAATCCATCCACCAACCCACCCATCCAAAAACAAGTCTATAAAACACTGCATGCACATACTGGAACGTAACCAATTCCGTTTATCAACACCAGTAACCATCAACTCATCCCCTTTTTCCAAATCCACAACGATCAACAACATGCCATCTGTCCCACTGATCAACATCCATTCCTTTGATCAACATAACCAACCGTCAACCCATCAACTAATCAACTATCCACCAACCTACCCATCCACAACATAAAATAGATCCATTCCTTTGATGAACACAACTAACCATCAACCCATCATCCGCCCATCAACCAAGCAACCATCAAGCAATTACCTATCCACAGCATCAACCAATGAGTCCATGCATCAACCAATCCATTCTTTTCATTGATCATTCAGTCATCGCCAACCTACCATCCACAGCTACCAGCCAACCAGTCATTCCTCTATCAACCATAGTCCTTATTTGATCAACAAACCATCAACAGTACTAATCAACAAATCAACAACCAACCAACCTAACTAGCCATCCACAACATCAATCAATGAGCCATCCATCCATCAACCAACCCCTCCACTTATCATTCAATCATCATTCAATCCAGCACCTCCAATTGCATTGCATCCAGCACCTTTGCGGGAGGAGGTCACCTGCGAGGGTGATGATTTCTTCATCTCTTGCTCAAGTGGCAGCACCATCGATGTGCAATGGGCACTGTACGGCCGAGAAGACCAGAGCCAGGTCTGTCGAACGTACCGAGCACGGCCGTGCGGTGACCCAGCCACCTCTCTCGCCGTAATCCAGGAGTTTTGTCAGGGGGAGGAACGGTGTGGATTCCCTGTCAGCAACAGTCAAGTTGGGGGTGACCCATGCCCTAATGTTGCTAAATATCTGGTTGTACGCTATTCCTGCATCGGTGAAGGTCAGTTCCATCATTTGGAAGCACTGCATGCATACTCCACAATGAGAAAATGGAGAACTACACTAACGATAATCGAGTTAATCAAAATATCTTCGGGGAAAAAAATGTTAATAGAGTCCAAATACTCTTCTTTAATTTGTTGACTTCTCCACAATGTTTATGCACCACACAAGTTTTGGGAAATAAATGGAAGCATGTCTTCTCCACTCATCGGGGTAACAAAGACACAAGATTGTCGACCATGAACACCTTGCATGGAAGTAGTCCTGCACTGACGTATGTCTTCTTTTCTGGCTTTTTACGTTCACAGCAAGTCATGTGGTTTTTCAGATCATATTTATCAAAGATGGGGTACTTTCATTTTCATAGGAGGACTACCCTATCCACTGCCCACATCCACCCTTCAACCTTAATTCCCTCTTCTGACAAACTTATTTCCTGCCCCACTTTCAAACTTCTTTGGCTTAACTTTTATCCCAACCAATACTTCAGATAGTTTCTGTGGTCCATTAACACTTTCAATTCAGTGGCATCTGCTGTTGAATAATTTATCACAAAGCTACTGCTACTTTTGTGCAACAGCTTCCGTTGCTGGCCGCTGCACGTATAATACCACTCACTGATACCGACCATTGGTAGCCAATAAGCATCCATTACCAATTGCACGTTTGTAGATCACATGGATAAAAGTAGTACACACATCAGATGTAAAGGTGCACTCAGCACGGCACAACTCGCCAGGTTCTTAACGGCACTGGTAGAAGTGTGTAAAGTTGTGAAACAGCAGACCTTAAGCTTGGCAGCCATATCTCGGGTAACAACAACTGACCTAAAGTTATACTCCTGCTTATCCAAAGAAAAGCTCAGGGCCCCATTTCACGGTGCTGCTAAGCACAAAAATTTGCTTACCGCAACAAAAGTCTGGCTTATAAAAGCATGTTACCAGCCAAAACTCCATGTGATTTTTATGCTAAGCAAACAATGAATACTAATCACGAGCAATATACTTCACACGGAGTTTTGGCTGGTAACCTGCTTTTATAAGCCAGACTTTTTTTGTGGTAAGCTATTTTTTGTGCTTAGCAGCGCCGTGAAATTGGCCCCTGTTAACAAGATGGCTGCTTTGCAAAAGGTCAACACAATGGAGACCATAAACCCTTAATGTGAAGAAACTAGTGTCAGTTATCTGTTACTGAAAAGATCCCGAAGGATGCCACTACTCGATGATTTGCCTTGAGGAGTATAGTTTCACAAACTAAAGTGAGCAACAGCGTATACATGCATGCATGCACCACCTTAACGTTATCACTACCAAGCACATGTATTAGCTCTTGGGGAAGTATTGTCCATGGACTTTTTTTCACACTGTAGCAACCAGGCCACCCATCAGACGAACCACCATGGCAGCATCTACCAAATCCACCCCAGTCGTGAGAACCAACCGGCCTGTTCTGTCGCGATGCCCGGCGGAGGAGACGCGAGGTGAGACGGGCACGTTTGAGTGGCCGGAGACGCTTGCGGGAGATATTGCCATTTTGCCGTGTGCCTACGACCTCAAGGTGGAAAGTGCCACTAGACAATGGTATCTATTGAGTATTAAATCTATTCTCTCTAGTAAATGATACTTGAATTAACTTTCTACTTTAAATATTGCAGTTTAAATGCTTTAAATATGCAGGTCACATCCCTACCCAATTTGTTTTTCAAAAACAAAATTAATATAAATTCAGGCCAAGTGCAATACTATTCTACCACAAAGAAAGCACCAAATAGCCTACAGTCCAACATGCCCAGAAGGTTAAGAGATTTTCTCTTCATATATTAGAACCACTACTAAAGGAGTATCACATGGACTCGATCCACTTAAAGAACTGTGGCGTATATAAGGTGTTTGACTATTTTGCCTGTTTTGTTCAAAAGTGGAGATAGCTCGAGTAGTTGGAATGATCCGAATACCAGCGAGTGCCCGACTGCGTCAGCTATCCTGAAGGCACTGTCCAACGTCACCATTATGAGAGGTAATTTCATCCTCAATTTAATAGTCAAGAGATCAATAGATAGTCAAATAATTGATCAATGGTTGCAATAAAATGACAGTGAAATCGATTGAGAGTCAATACGAAAAATTAATTGTAATTTTTTTTTTAAATCAATCTTGGTTAAATAAATTAGTCGATTGTCAATAAATCAGGTGATACTCAACCAATAGTCAGTAATCAATCAATATTCAATAAATCAATCAATATTCAAAACTCAATCAATATTCAGTTAATCAATTGAAAATCGCTAAATCAATCAAAAGCCAATACATCACTTGACTGTCAGATATATAAAGTATTGATTAATCAAAGATAGCTTAAACAGTTGATCATTGATTATCACCGTCAACTTGATGATTGATGAATGGATCAGTTTACCAACAGGAGATCATAATAGATAAATTGATCAGCAACCAAATGTATTATTGATTTGTATATGTAATATTGATATTGATATATTGATATATTGACAGAAGATGTTTTCCTTGACAAACTTATTACTCAATAAACCAGTTTCAAATGTTTTAGTCATTTGTCATATATTTGATGGAAACGTATATGAACAATTACACATCATTGTCTACCTAAAAACAGAGAATGCCTTGGAGGTCTCATTCACGTTGACCGACGTTACCTCAGTCCCGGATGTCCTGAGACCAAACGATGTTGCCAACGCTGTCAACACTTTTGAGAATTTAGCAGATGCCATCAATAGTTACGGCGAAGATAGTCCGGACGTTTTTGGAAACATCGTGGATACCGTGGACCAACTCACCGGAGTGCCTGATAATCAGTTGGTGGAAAGTCAACTGAATGACGACTCTTCATCAAGGTAATAGAAACTTTTATTGTGCTCAGTTTGGTGATATATAAGCAAGTTTGGTATTCAAGATATGCCCATTTGATTGTTCTCATTTCGGGATAAGCAATCTGTCAGATGCATGCGAAATCATGGATAGGCCTATAGTGCCAGTAAAATTGAAGAGTTAAAGTTTGTGTTCTCAAGTATTTCTGGAAACATTCGACTGCATCATATTAAAACAGTATTTTGTGCTCTCCATCTTTTGTGAAAACTATATTTCCATCTCGCGGATTTTTATTTTTGGAAGTGACGTGAAAATTAGCAAATCTTGTGTGCAAATATGCAGCTGGAATGCAGAACAGGCTTCATTCTTTTGCAAGGAAAATCAAAACCTTTCAGTTTCTTAAAGAGTGTTTTGTTATATATCTAAACTGGTTTTTGAAACCTCAACTTCCAACTTCGGCTATGAGGCCCTGTCTTTTGGTTGATCCATTTGTTGCTTAAGGAACATCAAGTCCCGTGACATGAGGCCAAAATAAAATCAGTATGATCATTTGGTTTCGACATTCAAGGCTTCCAAATGATTCTCAAACCAAAGATGAATTTAGATTTGATCCAAAGCAGAGATGAGAACAAGATTTTGGAAAAACAACTTCAACGTCTTGTGTTATCTCATGCAGGCTGCTGCGCTCCATCGATGCGTTCAACCTCGGCGTCCAGTTCCCGTCAAATGTACTTGAGGAAGACACGCCCTCAGTTGACGTTGTGCTGGTAGACATCACTGACCCGATGGACAACGGACTGCTGTTCTACGGATCAGGGAAAGACCTTGGCAATGCCCAAGTAAGTGAAAAAATAAAACACTAATTATTACCGACTGTTAATGCTTTCTGGCAAAGGTTCTGTCCACGGATCACAAAAAAAGTTCGGTATTCTTTCAGCAAAACGAAAACAAATCACATAGGGATGTGTGTGAATTGTTTTCGTTTTGCTAAAAGAACGCAAACCCTTCTTTGTGATCCGTGAACAGAAACGGTGGTCGTGTTTAAAATTCCGTAACTTGAAAAGTTCATGAGTGATTTGAAAGATTCTTACACTAAAAGAAAGCTAATGAATTGGGCTTTCATGTCCTAGATTTTAAAAGTGCTGCATGTAGAACTTCAATAAAACAATAGTTCTGACATTCGGGTCTCTTGTTTTTTTTTTACACTGCCTGTATTTTGATGACTTTTGTTTCTTTCCCAAAAGCCCAAAGTGACATCGGACTCAACCGGCAATGCAGATACGGTCGTAGCTAACAACAGCTCAACGGACGAGATTGTAAAGGGATCCATCTTCCTGCCAAACTCACTCCTGACATCCGTCGGCAATCGTCTCTCACGTGTTCAGTTCGTCATGTATGAAGAAACTACATTTTTCGACGTAGGTTTTCGTGCTCTCTTACCCTTCCAATACCACAATTTATTTAAAGGGTCCATTCGAAATGAATTTTTCTTAGGAACACATTTTATGCAATTTTCCACTCATCTTAAATGTACAAAACTATTTGACATCCCTTTTTAGCAAAATATCCAAAATTCTGGCATCTTTTGGTGCTAAAATACCTCTAACATTGAGGTTTCTGCCTGAAATGAATCACACTTTTGTTCATGAATGTGGAAATTTGCATGTAGCATAAAAACCAAAAAGGCACCAAAATACCCTTGAAAATTGCAAAACAAAAATTGAAAATCAGGTTAAATGGGACACGAAGGTGCATTTTTCAAGGATTGATTTAAAAGCATTGCAGTGCATGGGCCATTTAATTTGATCTCATGAATTGCATTCTATATTTACCACCATCATGACCATTGGCATCGCTAGACAGACTAGCATGTAGCAGTTAAAGGTGCTAATTAAATTAATATATTTTTGACATATCCCCTCTTATTTTCTCTTTTTGTTTTTTCTTTTGACCCCCATGCCCCTCTGCCCACGCCCCCATTGCGACGCCCAAGGAATGTTTGTTCTCCAATATTTATGCTAGTATTACCATGAATTATAAGCTACATTGACGGCTATGACAAAAACATTGGCAAGTTTCTCATCAAATAAATTAACTTTGCTAAACAGCAGAGTTTTGATTTCGGAGTAAATTTAACTTTGATTACATGTTAACTGTGTATACACCTAAATTCTGTTTTTACTGCATCAAATGACCCTTGATTCTTCAAAATTTGCTTAAACTCTAAACTTACAAGTGTTTCCAAGTGATTGAAGTCTTTTTCTAAATGTTGGGTTGTAACCGAATCCTTCGCATGTCATATCACAGAGCGGTCGTCAGCAACATGGGAAGAACAATGACAAAAAGAAAAGTTTGTGTCAAATTTAATTTGAATAGTTTATGAATGGTGACTGTCTTGTGATTACAACTTCAATCATCACATATTTTCCCCCAGGTAATCCAAGCTGCTAGCCGAAACAGAACCCTGTCCAACAAACATGAGAACGAGGCCAACACCATCCCAACCACGGACAGTGTGAGAACGACAGCCAGCGCAATGGCAAACTCGACCATTGGCAGTACGGCCCCACCCGCCGACTGCATCGCCGTTTCGTGTCGTGAGGATTACAAGACCATTATTAACAGTGTTATCATATCAGCTGCCGTTGGAGACCTGAACATTACTAACTTGGACGAACCTGCGACAATTACCTTCCGTAAAGCAAGAATGGTAAGATCGTAACTCCCCACCTGCCCTAACACTGAAAAGGTTGAAACAAATGGGCGATATGATTCTGCTAGAAAATTGCTACAACATTACTTCAGTTGTTCACTAATTCAAGCAAATTTTGACCAGTTTTGACGAAGAATTAGCTGAAAAAAGAGTGAAAACTCAAAAGGTTGACCAATGGCTGCCAAGTTTTTTACTGATAAATTTATGACAATTTTCCAACAATTCAGGGAAAACATATGCATGTTCCATTTTACATTAAAATATTTAATTTGTTTTTGCTAATAAAGGTCAAAACAATATTTTTTAACCAATTATTTACCGTTTTAAGCTCTAAAAAGTTAAATATTAAAATCAAGGCCAAATTTTGTAGGCAGAATTCTTAGTTAAAAAAAAACCGTTTTGACATAATACCAAAGATGTAATTCGGTTAATTTTATCCAAATAACAATAGAGATTTAAGTGTCATGTGAATACTTGTTTGACATTTTTCATGCAGGACGCGGACAACCCCCGATGTGTCTTTTGGGACGAGACAAATAATGGTGAGTGTCAACCCTGTGTCAAATAATTAGACTGAAAGTAAATTTTCTGTCCCAAGGCACTGTATAATAGGTAAAAAAAGAGAACTTCTACTATATATTATATATTATCTCATTAAAATCACACTGTTAAAGCAAATGAAAATGGTCTGTTTTTCTTCTGCTGTATAGCCATTTTTCAGCAATTCTGCAATTTTGCTTTTGGCTTAAGTTAAACACAAACACGGCAAGTGTCAATTCTTATTCATATTTTTAATTATCTAAAAATGCACTACATTGTTTCATATTTTACAAGTAAAAGAACTTTAGGCAAAACATTTGAAAGCCTTTTACAGGTCAAATTTTTAAAAGTTAACAATATCAAAAACCTCAATTATAGCAACTCGGTAGAAACAACTGCATGAAAATACAAACCATTGCAAACCAAATATAACCAAACCATGATGATAATAATATCATAAAAATCCCGTTTTACAATTTAACACTTGACATTTTTCATTTCTAGATGGTTGGGGTGGCTGGTCCACTGAAGGTTGCAGCCTGGATAGTGGTAACGACATTGATGACAGCAACGTTGTCTGCAAGTGCAACCATCTCACCAACTTTGCCATGCTGATGGTACGTCACTTTGGAAGACTGCGATTGAAATTAAAAATTGACATTTAAATTGAAGCCATTTGAACAAGCTGAATCCAGTCCTCTTTACTGTGGGGAGTACAGTATGCCATGCCACTTACAAACTTTGGCCAGCTTCGGTGTGGATGGCAGACGATCATGAAAGTGACATGTATGCAATTAATGTATACAATGTGTTTAATAAAGTGTTCAAGTGAGTTTGCTTCTGCATTCAGTAGAGGACGTTGAACAAAAGAGGACAATAGGGTCCACAATTCCCGAAGGTCCACAATTGACGATCGTGTACAAAACATATGGGAGGTCTTCCTAAAAAAAAATACAAACAAAAGAGGGACAATAGGGGGTTCCCGATTGCAGGCAAATACACAGTTGTGAGTGAGGTTTGTTTTGTGCACTAAATTAGTGTTTAACAATTCACAACAAATTAAAAAGAAAGATTGAGCGAACAAAGAAAACTAATACTTTCAAATTAACAATCCAGATTTTTTAAAAATGGGGAAAGCATCAAAATGACTTTTTCAACAAGTGCTGTTGAGTACGTTTTGCTTCCTTTTGCAACAGTTTGCATTATCATTGTTGAAAATAGATATTTGTTTTATGTATTTACTGGTATTTCATGATTCTGTATGTCTTCTTTTTCTTTGATTTCAGGACATATATGACGGTCCTCCTATCCCGCCAGGCCACCAGCTTGCTCTGTCCATCATATCATATATTGGATGCACTCTATCCCTCATAGGACTGACGTTAACTCTAATTACATACACCTGTTGTGGGTAAGATAATAATATGGCTAGATAATCACTTTCAGGTTTCAGATTTTTTATAGACTTTCCCAAGTACTTTCAGAGTCTGTTTAAAGGATCTGTAAATCTACCAGCAAGCTGGGAATACAAGCATATAAATTGTTTTATTTGTTTCGAAATATCATGGAAGATTTTCTTTTTCTTTTTAAGTTGTTGCATTAAGTTATGCTGTAAGTGCCTGTAACAAAATAGAGTTTCCTTATACATGTAATACGTAGCACGTATTTTGTTTAATTGTTTTGCCTTCTTAATCTGGCTTACTTTTTCTTTCTTAATACCAAATCACTCACAGCTCCAAGTCAAGAGCAAAGGTGAACGAGTAAGTAATTTTCCCTTGTTCTACGAACACACTTTCTGACCCAATGATTTGTTTGCAAGATGTTTTCAAAGTGAAGTAATACCACTCATCAATTGAAAACAGATGTTTTTATGTTCATTTATACACGATCCAAAACCAATGCTCAAACTCCTGTGTTAGTTTGTCTTACAGTCACTATGTGGACATGTGAACAAAAGATGTGCACATAATGCAGGTTGTGTTGACGTTTTGTGGACTAAGCCTTGTCCACATAACGTTTCGCCCTCTCTGGAAAACAGGTTTAGAGGCATTTTCGGGTTATGGTTATTTGTCGCAGAATGATGAGAAATATTCAAGGAAATCAAAAAAGAAATTTGGGGTAGAAAGAGTTTTCACAATTTAAGTAAAGTTATTTTTTGAACCAAGTTTTCTTAACTACACGAAAACAATGGAATGTCCACATAGAATATGTAAAACAAAGGGTGTGTGTGTTATGTTTTGGTTAGTTTAATTCTTGTTACATCTCTATTTTGTTCACGTTCCAAATTGTAGAGATTCAGAGTACCAAGTTAGGAAACACCAGTGAACTTTTTATATGGCAAACCAACTTTGTATTTATGATTTACGTTCGTACCGCATTTAAGTTGCCTTTTATTTTCTCCAAACAGCAAAAAGTTCACTGGGGACAAGCGGGCCAAGGTCCTGGTCAACTTTGTCATCTCGCTGATTCTCGTCAACGTCTTCTTTATCGCGGGATCCCTGATGGCCGAGTACCAGGAGTCCGTGCCGGACGAGCTGTGCGCGGCCGTGGCGATCTGTTTGCATTTTTCCCTTCTGGTTGCCATGGCGTGGATGGTCATTCAGGCCTTCAACATGTACATGGCGTTGGTCAAAGTCTTCGCGACCTACTACTCTCACTTCTTACTGAAGATGATGATCATTGGATGGGGTGGGTTATTTAAAGGCCCTGTGAAATAATTTGTACAGGGAAATATAAATGTATATTGCTTTTCTTTGAAATATTCATTTTGCTCAACAGTTATTGGACAAAATCATGAGCTTACAATTTGCCTTAAGCACTGTGCAGGACGTTTGATCATTGACTGGCTATCAATAACGAGAGTTATTCTAGATTCCCGTCCGCTAACCAAACTTTAAAAACATGTACTATAATTCCTCAAATAACTAAAAGACTTTAACCACTTCCCAGGAAACTGTGGAGAAAAAAAATGTCAAATCACATATTTTGTCGACCGTTCAAGAGCTTTCAAAGCCTGCAGTTTGCTTAAGAGCCGGAAAAGGTGTAGAGAAAGCAAAATTATTTGCTGACTTCTCTATACTGCTTCTTTGTTTCAATGGATATACACTTTTTCAGGTACCCTTGGTGCTTTAGCAGAAAAAATGCAAACAAAATTATTATACTTCTGGTTCAGTCCTTCATTAATCTTGATGTTCTCTTTCCGTCAGGTATTCCACTTGCAATTGTTGGAACGACGATTGGGGTAGACCTCCAAAACTATGGCAGCAGCAGCGGGCTGTGAGTTGGTTTTTATATATTTGTCAAGGATTATTTTGATGTTAATGTAATGTATAATGAAGCAAAGATGTCATATGCTGGTATTGACCGGAGTTGTATAAGAAAGTCAATCACAAGTGTATTGCATGCCAATCACAAGTCAATCAAGTAAGGTTGCAAGGCAATCATAAGCCAGTCACCAGTTAATCACAAGTTAATCACAAGTCAATCAAATAAGGTTGCAAGGCAATCATAAGCCAGTCATCAGTTAATCACAAGTCAATCACAAGTCAATCAAGTAAGGTTGCAAGGCAATCATAAGCCAGTCACCAGTTAATCACAAGTCAATCACAAGTCAATCAAGTAAGGTTGCAAGGCAATCATAAGCCAGTCACCAGTTAATCACAAGTCAATCACAAGTCAATCAAGTAAGGTTGCAAGGCAATCATAAGCCAGTCACCAGTTGATCACAAGTCAATCATAAGTCACATCAGAACCAACAACCCAAGTCCGTTTTAAGTCACATGACAAGTTTTTCAAACGAATCGTGACAAAAACATATTGCCACAGCTGGATGTATAGGGATAGGCCTATCATAAAAGAAGACATTTCAATCTACATTCTTTACTTTCATCTTCAGGTGTTGGTTGAGTGGCCTCTCCTTCTACATCTCCTTCCTCCTGCCAGTCTGCCTCGTTCTCGTCTTCAACATCGTCGTCTTCGTCGCGGTCACGTGGAAGCTCTGCCGTCTGCGCAGGAGCAAGATCAGCACCTCGGACCGTTTTAACGTCGCGGCCCAGCTCCGCGCGACCGTCAGTGTGACCATCCTGCTCGGCCTGACCTGGATACTGGGCTTCTTTGCCATCGGAGCGGCTAGCCTGACGTTCAGCTACCTCTTCGCTGCCTTCAACTCCCTGCAAGGCTTCGCGGTGTTCGTCTTCCAGTGCTTGCTGCAGCGGGAGATGCGTCAGCGTTGGGTGCAGGCCTGTTGCCCGAACTGCGCTCCCGAGACTGGTGACACTAAGTCAGGTGAGTTGGACGATTGGAATAAAGGCGCATATACAGGGTGGTTAAAAAAAAAACCGGAACCGCATACTTCCACTACCTTGAGACTCAAACCACCTTTACCAATTGATGGCGAATCCTTTTAGAAGAATTGATACAAAAATATCCCAATTTGGTCCAGCAGTTTTTGCTGCAGAGCCTTTTTTGTGAAGTACACTTCTTTCGTGTAGGTACATAACATCCCCCTATCAATTACAATGCAAGTCAAATTCCCGGGCGCGGTTTAATAATTCATCGTGAAAAAAATGACCCCACCTTGCTTCACAAAATAGGCTCTAGAACAAAAACTACTGGACCAAATCGGACGATCTTGGTTTCATTTTTCTTCTAAAAAGATTATCTATGCATTGGTATATGTGGTTTGAGTCTCAGGGTAGTGGAAGTATGCCGTTCCTTGGGGGGGTACCCTGTATAGCAAGGTTATTTTGATTGGGGGTAAACGTTAAAAAAGGAACATTGGTAAAAAAAAACAAAAAAAAATTAAAAAGGGACCATACGGTTGTCATGTCCTCCTACGAAGTCATTCACCGGCACTTTGAGGTGGATATTAAGAATCAGTAAACCTTACTAGTTTTACAATCCGACGCTATTATCATGTACATGTATCTCTGTTTGTTTTCTATACAACAGGTGTGTACTCCACATCTCGCAACCAGACCACCAGGACGCCCAATAATAACTGGAGTAAAGGAACCACAAACACAACAACAGCAGGGACCTCTTGTATAGGTGAGAACAATAAGCGTTTTGTTTAAAAACTTTTCTATCATGCTTTGTATGTTGTTCACCCTTACCTCAAACGAATTAGATATCACATCCTAAGCAAAGCTAGTTTCAATAAACTTTTTCTCATCTGTTTTTCGTTCTTGTACTTTGTGCAGCTTTGAAAGTGCACTGAATACAAACAGGTAAATAACAGAAGACGAATAATAGGTGACCAAAGTGCATCCTTAAAGACAGTTTGGTTTGCATGGCTGTGTCTGTTTTGCATGTCTAATAGTGCATTGATGATGAGTGCATGCATGCATGCGCAGGACTATTTGATATTTATCAATGTGCCGATTCTTGGATCATATTTACCTCATTCACTATAGCAAATCATGTTTATGAAGCTTGAAACATGTTCGAATTATGTAACTTGGCAGGAATTCATGACGACTTTTTGGGGGGAGCTTGTTTACTTCAGCTGAAGTGATGACCCCGTTTGTTTCCGAAAGTCACTTTTACATACATGATTAATTAAAAATCCTGCAAGTGTTTTATTTATACGCCATTGTTTCATACATGTACCATTTTAATCCATGGCCATTTTCTAACAATAACTGTTGATGAATTGTCATGATATTAACATCAAATAGTGCACGAAACAACGAATTGGCTTCTGTTTGTAATCGTATTTGATTTTACTATCCCTTTTTTTCTGTTATCTTGAACTTCTGTTCGATGGATTAAAGCAATAACCTTGCTTCCCTTTCTCCACTGCAGACAATCCAGCCTATGAGGGTGTAAGTCAACGCTGAGGCTAGATCGGATGCAAAAGCAGGAGAAAAAAAAACAAATAAAATACAATCAAAATTGGTCTTCCGCGCCTCTGAAGGACATCATTGCATTTTTAAATATTTGTAATAATTAAACCGTAGGCCTAATCCTAAATATCTTGCTTTTTTATAGTATATAGTAATATTTATAGTCATTGTATAAATAAATTTTCAAACTGAACTTCAAATGTGATATTTTTCCTTAGCACAATCATTTTATTGAAAATAACTAAATGCAGTTTTTAATATTACATATGCACTTTAATGTCGTGTACATTTTACATTTCACATGTACACCAAAAAGGTATTTAGGTGAAGAACTGTGAATATTTTAGTATCTAAATATTTGTCAAGTTTGTCATAGTGTTTTAGTTGGTTTTCAAAACAATCACCATAACATTTTAAGCTATACATGTCTGGAGATTGAACACTTAATAAGTTTTAAAATAACACCACTTCAATACTTAGACGGGGGGGGGGGGGGGGGGGTCGGCCAGGTTTTGATTATTGAACGGTGTCAAATGTTGGCGAGTTACATTCAATTTTTATTTCCGTGTTATGTTCTTTTATTTGTGAAAAGTAGGCCTGATGCCGCAGTTGGTAACCATCTTTTTGAGGATAAATACCCTGACTAATATGATAAGCAAATTTAAATGCTTAGTTGAGATAAGATAATTTGTTTTCGTTTTTAACCTGATTTAGGCCTAGAGGGTGTACATTCAGGCTTTGAAGCAACCCACACAAATTGGCAAACAGATGTTAGTTTTTATTTGTAAAGATGATGTTATTTTTATTTATGCCTTAATTTGTGTTATTTTCAGTTTAATATGGTCGGAAAGGTAAACAAATCGGTTAAGTTGCCCTCGTCAAATCTTTAAACATTATTATTTAAATAGCAATAGGCTGCTTTACTAATGTTAAGACCGAGTAGCTCAGATTGTGGCACTTTTTGGTATATCGTAAGCTTTGAAAACAAAGTAACTTCATTAGCGTGACCAAATGGGCCTACAGTGTTACTTTCATCTTCCAAGGCACTTCAACTGCAATATATACATAACAAGATCTCGAAATAATGTACAGCTTTTGTAGAGTTACAATAATTATGTAGCAAGTTGCAGGCAATATTTTTTGAAGTCATTCCTTACAGCACCATATTCTGGCTTAGTAAATTTCACATTTCAAAAAAGGAGCACCGATAACACACAAATAGCCCTCCTGTAGTTCTATATGTACGGCTTGTAATTCTTGTCAAGGGTGAGTAAAAAAACACACACGAAAAACCCACTTGTCGGGACCATTTTTTTAGTGAAGTTCCCCATGTAGCACTTTCAAAATCTAGGCTATGAAAGCCCAATTAATAAGCTTTATTTTAGTACAAGAATCATTCAAATAACCCATGTACTTTTCAAATTACGGAATTTTGAACACAACCACCGTTTTAAGTTTTGTCAAGGGATCACAAAAAAGGTACGGTAAGTGTTTCAACAAAACTAAAACAATTCTCATAGGGATGCATGTGAATTGTTTTCGTTTTGCTGAAAGAACCACTTAGGCCTACATGTACCTTCTTTTGTGATCCGTGGACTGAACTTGAAAACGGTGGTTGTGTTTGAAATTCCGTAACTTGAAAAGTACATGAGTGATTTGAATGATTCTTGTACTAAAACAAAGCTCATTGATTGGACATTCATATCCTAGATTTTGAAAGTGCTACAGGCACAACTTTATTCAAATATTCATCCTGCCATTCGGGTTTCGGGGTTTTTTTACTCGCCCTGTATGTGCGGCTTGTTATTCTTGTACAGCACCATCTGTTTTTGTCGAGTAATGACATCAACTTATCTGCACTAGTTAGCAAGCGATCGCAATTTGAGTCTCCCCCGCCCCCAGCAAGCTCGTGTTTAGCTCTCTTTCCCTCGATCTGATAGCATTGATTATACAGCGCTATAAGAAAAATTGTAGGCAAAGGGTATAACCCAACATTGAAAGTAGTCATTATACTGTTCACACAACATCCGTTTCCTGGTTTTCCTCGTCCGTGTCGTGGTGCTCATTACTCAGAGTCTGCGCGTGCGGCTGCACTCGAGTCAGCACGTGGAACCTTCCCGCCACGTACACGCGCAGCTTGCAGCAACCGAAGGCGACCGACTGGAAGACGATGAGAACGAGCACGAAGCCCATGACCACAAGGACCGTCTTCCCCGGGTTTGTCCAGTCTAAGAGGGTCGGGTAGATGGCCGGGCTGTCAAGGTAAGGGTTCGTCCCTCCCGCCCAGTAGTAGATCAAGGAGAAGAACACGTACAGTATGCCGTACCCACAGGGGTACGCGAAATGCCAAAATCGGATCGGTATGGCCGAAACGGAAAGGTCCAGGTACGCGAAGACCGTGTTGAAAGCGTGGCGGTGGACGGTCAGCGCAACGCCATAAGAGCCACCCTGATTGGCATAGACGAAGGCTGGATCGAAGATGAAGGCCCAGTAGATAATGCTGATGATTGGACCGAAGGCTAAGCAGATGTTGAAGAGGATCCAGGTGATCTTGAAGTAGAACGGGGAGCGTGGGATACTAATCTGAGGCCCGGCTTCGCCGCTCGGTCCGGGCGCCTCAGGATCTGGATCTGCTGAAGTTGATGCTTTGTAGTTAGCGTTGCTTTCTGGTTCATGAAGAGTAGTAGGCCCAGCTTTGTTGCGATTAACTGCAAGGTAAATTTGTTTATCATATGTTATGGAGTATCCGCAGTTGGAAAAGTTAGTTACCTAAACTGAACTAATATGACGCACAACATTCGACTCGCATTCCAAATCATACTGAAGTTAAACCTCTCGGCAAAGATCCGTGGAAGTGTGGCATAGTGGTTAGGGTTCGTGACTGGTTCGAATCCAGCTGCTACGACATTATGTTGTGTCTTTGGGCAGGTCTCTTCACCCCCACTTGCCTCTCTCCACCCAGGAGTACAAATGGGTACCGGCATTAGCTTGGGAGTCGATGGACTAGCATCCCATCCATTGAGAATAATATTCTCAGTCTTTTCATGCTACTGAAACCGGAGATAAAGGCCGGCCTGATGGGCCACATTGGCTTGTGACAGACTTTACTTAAAGATCCACAAGTGGGTGCTTTTTAGAATTCAACAAACTGACTAGTCAATAGAAAAAAAAGAAGAAAAAAAAAAGACTATAATAACTAGTTTTTCAATGTCTAAATTTTAATACAATAAGCCTTTGCACGTTTGGGTCGAGACTTAAGAGCGGACAGGTCCTATACACTGGAAATCTACTGCTACTTGAATTGATACTATACAAAAGTTTAACAAATATTGCACTCTCGCTATCCTTAGATCCAAGATATCTACTTACCATCCGGAGGGCGCCTTGACCTCAGCCTGTACGAGGCATATGCCGTGGATATAAATGCACAGACGAGGTACAAGCTGAGCATGATGTAGGTCCAGTTGGTCAGGAAGACAAAGAACCCGCCCAGCCCTGTAGTCTGACCGGCGTTGACGATAGACATGATGAGCCAGGCTAAGGTGTAGCAGGCCAGGAAGGCTCGGTAGGCGAGGAAAATGGATTGGCGTATGGGCCACTGTTGGGGGAGATAATCAAAATGATGAATGATAATTATATTAAGTGGAAAGATGAAAGATACTGGTAGTGCTTGACTATAAAGGTGATGGTTGGTTCGGCTATCTTGTTGGCTAGCTGATAGGCTGGCTGGCTGGCTCCCCCCCCCCCCCCCCCCCGCATGGCTGGCTCCCCATGCTGGCTGGGTGGTCGGCTGGCTTGCGTTCATGCTAGCTATAGCTGACTGGTTGGTTGGTTGGTTCGTTGGTTGGTTGGTTCGTTGGCAGGCTGGCCGATGGACGTCAGGCCGATTCCCACCACTAATTATCCCCGCATCCGGCTACTGCACGCAAAGTCCCAGCTTGATCTCCCATCCACAGTCGACACAACAATTTTCGAGACCCGTTAGGGTCTCTTTTTATCGTAGGAGGAATAGGCCCCGTCTTTTGTCAAAGACTTCCGTTTATAGAGCCTCAAAGCCTCAGTTTATAATCTGCTCCACGTTCATTTTAATTACCTTGTGATATAAATTTGCCCTCATAACACCTTTCAGATATATGACACAAGCACAATTTATAAGCAGCGTTATGCCATACCAGCAATATTTCAGACAAACATCTCATTAGAAAAAAAATTACAGGAGGTGACGTGTCGGGAAAACTGGGGCATTCAAATTAAGAGTCACCGCACTGTACTGGGAATTAAGATTGGCCGCGTGGCATTGACAATTTTATTAAGGGTTCCTCTTGATTACACGTAGAGTAAGCTTTTCCTCGACGTCCACAGAATCTGAGAACAATGCTGACGTCAGACTTGGGCGTCAACAGTTTTTAGTGAAGCATCCTGGTTCTGGTGGTTACTACGCAAACACCTCCTAAGTGGTTATCTCGCACAGGTGCATTATCATGTGCGGATGGTCTCGTGTTTAATTGTTTTGGGGTTTGTTTGCTTCCGGGAAATACATGTATGCAACATGACAGTTGCAAAACCTCGGAAAATTGTAAAAAGTGCACCCGTAACTCCAGATACTAAGCCACGAAATACGCAGGCCCAGACCCCCGTTTCCCCGTACCTCCCCTTCAAATTGGACCCCAGTTTTGTCCCAGTTACTGTCCAGTTACGAAATAAACAAGTCTCTCAGCCCAAACTCTGACGCGGCTACTGTGCTGGACACTCCAACAATATTTAGTGTCACAATCAATAGACATAACGGTCGGCAACTATAGACTCGGTCAGGCAATTGTCGGGTGTTTGCACATTCATAAAAGCGGCCCGTACAAAATGTATTGTGATTGAAGAACGAAGGGGCCACAAACCGTACCTCCTCAAACGAGAAGGTGTTGTTGCTACAGCACTGTACAGACTACAGAAATACCGTTACAATAATTGCAGATAGGGCAATTCATGGTCCGCACTTTTATATCTTGAATCAATTAACCAATTGTTGACAAGTAAACATGAGGACGTCCAGGCAGTATTTTCAATGAAAGCAAGTCACCGTCATGTTCTCTTTTTTGGGGTAAATAACCGGCCTTACATTCAAAGCAGTTTAAAACAACTTAATGATCACCCATCCAGCTTTCTGGCAAACTGAACTCTTGTGTAAGCAAAGTAATCTCCAAGACTGAACGTAGGATCTTTATACATATACAAGATTTACAACGTATTTCTCTTTCAGTAAAACAATGGTCTAAATGTTGCATGTCTAGCATTTTGTCTAGGTCTATCTAATAATCACATGCACGTACTCATTACGATCCCATCATAGTGAAATTTCTGGCGGCATGTATAATGACAAGTTTCGAGAAAGTTGTGTTAACATCCCCTTCCCGCAGACACCATCCTATATAGCTCACCCCAGCCCAACAAATGATTACCTGGGACTGCATGAAGAGTGTAGCATCTTCTCTCAGGCCGAAGTCCGTGAGATGAGGCGGGAAATGGACCACGAACCATGACCAGGCACGGCGAGGGCTACACGGCGACCCACACATGTTTCTTGGACGACAATCCGACGGTAGGCCTATACAACAGCTAGGCGGTAGAGTTGGCGACAGAAGACATAAGCTGAACTCAGTCGATGAGACAACATTCTAACTGTCATGTATAGACGGAAGACATGACGTGCAGTCTCTTTTCGTGTCCGGACCTCATAGCAGGAAGTAAACTTTAGCACGTAGGTCGTGTAGTCAGCGTAATTTCATCATGATGAATTGTTTGTGCACGTAGTGGCGCAGAACTACACGTGAAACAATAAATAGAGTGAATATTGCCCATATGCTGTTCGTACATTTTGTCTAGTACTGTTTTGTAGCAGCCATCCGTGCTTTTACGCATGACAGATTCCTAGTAACAGCTGGCGATGGGCCCAGTCATGGTTGTCACAGTCATTTCACAAGCACGGTGTAGTCACTGTGCAATGTCAACACTTTCCGGTTTAGATCCGGATTGTGTTTCCGTGTAGCAAGTTTGTAACCAAAGTTCCAATCCCTGGCATAATCAATAACTATACTGACAAATGAGTTGGTGATCCCGATAACGCCAAACGGTAACGGAAAAGGGGGACCCAATAGGCATACAGTCAATGATATTGCCGGTACGGACGCTACGTGCAGCACTAGTGCGGCGCAGATCTAGATTGGGCAACCTCGTCTGAACCCCTTTCCAAAAGGTCCTGGTTTGGAATGTGCATGGCTCCATGTTAAGAACAAGGGCAAATTCCTCCAACATACCAGACTCGGTGGGTACACGTAAATTAGCATATAGCCACAGGCTGGAATTTCAACCTTTACCCGCGCCGCAGCGCAAAGTTTTTGAGGCCGAGTTCATTCCGGGGACAATAACAACTGCCAATGCATTGAAATTGGACAGACCAGCCTTGGCCTGTGTCGTTTTATTGTATCATTGTATGTTGTTCCATTTTCCACTGAGCGCAAAAAAAGGTAATGGTAAGAAATTAATGAGCCGCGAATAGTAAACCTTAATAATGACCTTTCAGTGCTTAGGTCTACCATGGGTCAATATATACCTGCAAGCAGCAACTTGGTTTCGCTTTATATAAAAGCCTATAATTTGTTTTCTCGATCGAGAGAGGGGGTGGCCCCTGTCTCCCCTTCTTCCTTTCCCCTCTCGAATCTGCCAGCAGGCCTATTTTCCCGAAAATCTTCTTGAGTGAAAACCCCAGGATTGGCTAAAAAAAATTTGGGGGGGGGGGCGGGGCGATCTTTCAAGCTCCCTGGCCCGCGCCGGGGCTGGGCTCCGCCCCCTTCACTCCCCCCCCCCATAAAAAAAGCCTAGATTTGTAACAGTAGTTCTTAATTAGTTTTACAAGTGCTTTACAAACTCATGTCGACAGCACACGGCATTGAGCAAATGTTTGGACTTATGACGGAAAAAAAATAATGGCCTATAAAATTATATCATAAGTTATTTTTTGTGCAAAATATTAATTTGTCTGGTTGGGAAGGTTGAAAAATTACCCTGCCGCCAGAGGGCGCGTTGTCAAGGACTGTAAAAATGGCGGCGCCCATGACAGATTCAAGTCTGCTGAATCTCCAAAAGGAATTCGGCGAAAATGAAGAAGCTATGGATGAAGAAATCATGTACAGAAAGTTGCTTATGCAGGTGAGAAACAGGGGAGCAGTTTCAAGGGGGGGGGGACGCGTTTTGTTTGACCCACTCTAAATACGCCTTTGCTACTCATGGGCAAAATGTAGCCCTGGTGGACTCCCTTTCCTCCCTACGTTACGGAGGGAGTCCTGAGTACACATGTGCTCACAACCGAACGAAAACATTTCTTACCAATAATTTCAATATTTTTACCTTGTTGGAGAAGCTAATTTTACGTCGTAGTATTCTATGTGTCCTTATCTGTTAGCACGCTGGGTTCAGGAATTCCATATGCGATGCTGACTGACGTCAATCAGGAAAATAAACTCGAAAGCATCGTTAAACTTGTACGTGTTTAGTCTCTTTTCATCAGTTTCTCACCGCCGAGTCTATTCTAGTCGTACATCATACCATGAACGTCTGTTCAGCGTGTAGTCTGGTTCCCTAGACCGGACAATTATTCTCGACGCTCATATCACATCTGGTCCGAGGGACAGACTATGCCGCATGAATATGCAGTGCGCACGCGCGATTTGCTTAGTAACCACCCTCATACGCACGCGCACTTACTTGAAGGCTCCAATGACCGAGCGTGTTTTCGCGCTAGTTACCAGAAACACGTTTCGGCTTTGGTCATTGGTTGAGCGTTTTCGTGACATCGGTTGGCTGGAGTGACGTCACGGTTCCAACCAAAACTAAACAAATGAGGGCGCTAGCGTGCGTGCGCGCTTTCGGATCGTACGCACGTACATTTTGTACATGTACATTGTACATGATGCATGACGTACGACTCTGGGAATAAACTGATGAAAAGAGACTACAAACACGTACAAGTTTAACGTTGCTTTTGAGTTTATTTTCCTGATTAACGTCAGTCAGCATCGCATATGGAATTCCTGAACCCAGTGGCCAATAGATAAGGATACATAGAGTATGTAGGCGTGAAATAAGCTTCTATAACGAGGTAAAACATAACAAAACTCTGGTAAAAATGTTGGGATGGTTTCATGTAGAAAAGTCTTGTCCTGGACGTTAGTCGTATTGCAATGAAGACTTCGTCCAACCTGGGCTAGGGCAAAATGCTGGATGGAGAAACAGGTCAACTCGACTCGAGTCGTCGTCGTACACGGTACGCAGCACACTCACCGCGTCACCTGTTTAACTGTCTATCTGTCAACTAACGTTATATTCCTAAATGTGGCATCAATGTTTATGGGTTAAACTGTCCACAAGTTATGGAAAGAATGTTGCAATCTGATGCCACTTTTTTTCTTCAATCGTATATCAATATTATCATCTCATTCTCAATAAAGGTCAATCATTGCAAAAATGACAATAAGACATGAATATGGGACTGAGAAACTTTTCCAATTTTGTTTGGAAATAGGGCCTAACGTTACTTTACATTTGCTATACTCTCCATAGACTTTGTACACAATCGCGGAAGTGGCGTCAGGCTGCAACATTTTTTCCCAAGTGACACTGATCACAAGATTGGTTCCCTACTCGGTTTGACCAACTATTACGTTACTTTTGGCTTTATCAATTATCATGGCTTCTTTTGGCAATGTTTGGGAAGAGTCCCATAGCCTACGGACATCTCAGGAAAAGGGTGTTTTTGAGCTCATTGTCATGTTTTTGGTGCACACATCATTCAGACAGCTGATCGTGTAGGCAGCCATGAAGAGTCTGTAAGTCTGCGGTGCGCATGACAACGCACTAGCCAATATTCACCCAATAACAATGCATTACCTCCTCATAAATATTGAATTTCTCATGAATATTTAATTTATTGAATATTCACCATTAATCTTACTTAAATAGATCATACCTTAAGTTAAATACATCAAATATCCTACCCTCAACGTCAACAAGCACTCGTAGGCGAGCGGGTAAGGCTAGTGTGATTAATAAGTGACAGTTTTACTCCCCTCCCAGGTTTAATTCCCATGGATGTTTGTGAAGTAAGTAGCTGATAAATTAGAGGAAAGGAGAGGATGAGATATATATAGGATGTAACTTGTTGGTGCTTAAAAATTTATTGAGAAAATGGGTGTCTGCATATGGAATTATTTCCGCATAGGGCATTGTGTGGAGTGCTGTGGCCTCGTGGTTAAGGGCGCTGGATTAGTGGTCTGTGGGTAAAGCTGCGGGTTGTGGGTTCGAGTCCAGCTGGGGTCATGGTGCGTGTGCCCTTGAGCAAGGCACTTTGTCACTCATTGCTTCTCTCCACCCAGGAGTAAATGGGTACCTGTGAGGGCAGAGATGGTTTTTGTGATTGAATAAGCTTGCTTGCGCCTAACACTAACAGGCAGCATCCAGCTGTATACTCCCCAGGGAGCTGAGATGGTATTTGGAATGTTTAATTGGCCTAATGATCCGGGGTAATAATAATACTGTAAGCGCTGTGATTTAGTTTACTAATAACTATAAGAGCATTCTTAAATGCCAATTATTAAGGGGCCTACTGCATTGTCCTCATTTTAGCTTTCCATTCCCCCATCTTCTTTGTTTGTAGGCATCTGAGATGCAAGGGCTGGACCCAAACGGTCCTGCACCAACATACCACAAGGTCAAGCCAGTGCCAGGCTTCTGCATCAAAACCAAGAACGACAAGAAAGAGAAGGTTTTCATCAATGTGTGCACGTCAAGTGAGGTAAAAGACGTCATCTTTTACACCAATCGCATTTTAAGATATACAGTGCAGTGCAGAAGAGAACAGTTTGCTTAATGTCCGCATCACGTGACCACAACATCCAAGTTGTAAACAGTTATAAGGCCGAAAAAAAAGTCTCTCTGCCGGTTTCTGGTATGCGCACGCGTCGCCGTAGCCATGCGTGTCGGCAAAATTAAAAAGGTTTTTTTTTTCAATATTATACAGGGGTGTGAAATCTCAACTTTAAAGCTGATTTCAGCTCTTTTTTTGTTTTGGATTTCAGCTTTTTTCAGCTTTTTCCTTCACTTGCTGTGTACAAAAGTATAGGAGATTTCCGAAGTTCAGCTTTTTTACACTTTTTTTTTTTTTTTTTTACACCCCTGATTATAAGATGATGTCTCAAAACCGCCAAACTCACTGGTTTGACTGGAATCCTGCTGATGCACAATTTTAACGTGTTTTTAGATGGGGTTACAACTGAGTATAGGCCTTATGTGGCCTGTCTGGGCTCCCATATATTTTGCACTAAATTTAGTCGGGTACCATTTGCAGACGGTGTTGTAATTTTGTAATTCTGCGTCTGAAAGCCAGACTGAGGGAACGATGGTCGTGTATCTGGAACCTGTAAACACTTTTTAAATTGCGCAATATGTAAGGGAGCAGACTAATGACCAGCCAGGCAGCTCGTGCACGATGTCGATGTCGCTGTATGGTCTAGGTCATGTTTTTTCCTTACTGAAACTTTGGCTTTGTACCAGTTGTAATATTTTTAAAAATGTAGGCCTACAGATTGAAGTGCTTAAAATTAATTTATAGTTTCTCTCTCTCCTTCCCTTTATAGCTTCCAGCACCTCTAGACATCACAGAGGAGGAATTGGTAAAGATCCTCGATTCGGATGAGCCAAATTATAGGGTGCCACTGAGCATTGGTGAAGGACATGCAGAAATGGACAAGCGTAAGTATCAAAACTGAAGCAAAAAAAATCATAATCTGGTTTCATTTGGATCTTTTTTTTATGGGGGTACTGTTTAAAAACTCAGAATTATGGAAAATTGCTCAGGCTTTCATGCACAGTAGTTTCTTATTGTACCGTGTAGAATTGTGCATTTTTTTAAGCAAAACCAAAATAATTCACGCACATCTCTATGTGATTTATATTGTTTTGCTGAAAGAACTCTTACCTTTTTGTGATCCGTGGACAGAACTTTAAAACGGTGGTTGCGTTTAAAATTCTGTAACTTGAAAATGACATGGGTGATTTGAATGATTCTTGTACTAAAAGAACGCTTATGAATTGGGCTTTCATATCCTAGATTTTAAAAGTGCTACATGCAGAACTTCACTTAAACAATGGTCCCGACATTTGGGTTTCATTTTTTTTTTTTTTACTCGCCCTGTACTGTGTAGAATAAGTGTAAACTGGCCCATAGAAACCAACAAAAATTGTGATGGGCCTTGGCCTTTGACGCAGCAAATGTATATTGATTTGGAACAGAGCTTTCCATCATAATTGTTTCAATTTAAACAATTTCTGAACCGAATGATGAACAGAGCACACTGTTCGAAACGTCGAGTTAAACCAACTGGTTCTTCTCAGAACCACACAGCTCACTGAGAGATATCTTTCATTCACATGGTGTTACTGCAAACTTCCCATTCAATTCCTCAACCTATTTCCGTCTTCACTTGCAGATGGAAAAGGTTGTTCTGCTTATGATGTTCTCATCAACACCAGCTTCTACGAGAAAGTTCAGAAGAGCAACCTCTTCAAAGGATTCTTGATCTCCGTCATCTTGGAAGGGTTGGAAAGCAAATACCAAATTCTGCTGGAGAGAAGTAAGTCTCATAACCAGTGCATGTATTACTTTGGTCTTCAACTGTGTTTATTTGGCTACGTTTGAATATAAAAAGTGCTAGTGTAAATACAATGGAAAATCATTATAAAGTGCAAAATTATGTTTAAAAAAATACGGTGCATCATCAGTTTATTAAGAGAATATCTGAAATTATTTGGTTCAAAGCCTCATGCTGTTCTACAAAACATAAAAAACAACCAAATGGATCTTAGTTTTGATTATCCAAAACTAATTTTTACGGTACTGACATTGAATTCGTTAATTTTCACCGCAGCAGGCGAGTTGGATAAGCCTCTCCTGAAATAATGTTCCATACTTTGAAATCCTTTACACTTCCAAATATTGCCAAGTTCCAAGTGAAATGTTGCACCATTTATACAAAATAAATGCAGAGTTTAAGTTTATTCGTCTCTTTCAGTCCCCGTGCCTTTCAATTTAAGCAAAACAGCTAGTTATTCCTGGTTCACCTGTTAAAAGGAGCTTCCCTTTTACATAAATTCTATTCTAATTACCTCATGTTTGTGCTAAAGTTAAAATATATCAAAAAATCTAAAGGCAAAAGAAACGGTCACATTGTGCTCTTTTTGTATTAAAACAGACTGGGTACAGCTTAAGAACAGGAAGAGCCTAGGCACCCTTGCCGAGCACAACATCCGGGCCAAGTCCAAACCCAGGATCCTGGAGATGGAGTCAGCCAGTGGAGATAGTCTTGGAATAAGTGCTCAAGAGAAGCCCAAGGCATCCTTGATCACGGAGGTTGAGAGCCCACAGGAGGCAGGCAGCACCGCCCCAGAGCCGGCCTACACTATAATGCGGGAGCCTGTGGAGGGACATCCTGAGTTCCTGGTGGTTGAGATCAAGCTTCCCGGAGTGGTGAGTAGCTATTTCCAAGTTCCTCATCTTGAGACACCGTGGACACGATTGGAGGGTACTGTCCGGTTTGGGTAACATTGGGTAAATATAAAAGAGTTCACGTAAATACCCAAACCAAACAGCGCCCTCGTATTGTGTCCAGCACATCTCAGAAAGGCTTACGAGCGAACCAGTACAGTAGTGTATCACCATAACGAACCTGGTTGGCTCCACAAAATGTTTATTGGTATGGTAGTTTTCACGCGCCAATGCTTGGTTTAATTGTTCCAAACTTGCGTACACACACAAAGCTATAGGGTTCATATGACAGGGTTCATTTTCACATGCGTTAACCAGGTTGCCTTTGCAATACCCTTAGTTGCTTGTAGTAGACCACATTTTGCAAAAGTTCCCTCAACACCTAAGCTTGTTCATCCATCTCATTGTCGTTTGCCTCTATCGCAAACTGGCGGCGGGTTCGCTTGCACAGTTGGGACAGACTCTCACGTGCCATCTTCCAGAGTATCTCGCATTCCACCTCACTGCACTTTGGGCCGTAAATCTGCATCAGGCAATCTGGGAAGGGTACAGAGTGAAGAGAGATACAGAGTAATCAGGCTGCTAGAGGAATAAGCTTGATACATTTAGACAAGTGTTTGTGGTTGGGTATATCGCAAGGCCTAACAAGTCCGTCGGTCGTCATCCCATCCCAAGTCACAAGTTATATAAACAAACTCTAACGATTGAACTCTGTTGCTGTTCATCCTTTGTTCCTTGTAACGGGACTTGTGAATTGACTTGTGGTTACATGTGACAGGACTTGTGATTGACTAACCTCAGCCACTGTTTTTGGACACAACATGAATCGGGATTTAAACGGGGGAGTCAGGTTGGTGTAGCGGTACTTTCCTTGCCTTCCACCGCTGTGACCCGGGTTCGATTCCCGCCTGGGCCAATATGTGGATTGGGTTTTCAGTCCCTGCCTAATTCCGTCGGTTTTCCTCAGAATACTCTTCTGGGCTTTTCCTCCCACATCTAAAACTGTAATTTCTTCACATTGTCTTCTCTTTACTGGGACCCATGGGAGATCAGTGGATTCCACTGAATGGGCTACCCAGTTAAAATAAGAAATAAATCAATAAATAAACAGGGTTTACCAGGCCTCACAGTGCCCCTCATTATCAATATGGGTTTTGAAAATCTAAATTGAGATTTTTAAAGGTTTCCCAAGCGCCAAAATATCTATAGGCATCTATAGGTTTTTTAGGATGCAAAACTGTGCAATTTTTCAGCATAAGGTAGCAGCAATATAGCAAATTGCTTACTTCAAGTTCACCACACTAGACAGTTGCCAATTTCATGCAAACTGCCAAATCATGAAACACTTGTAAAAAATAAAATCTCAGAGGCTGGCCTACCGTATATTGACAACATGGTTATTTTTGAATTATCATAACTAAACTGTCGGTCAATTGATTCTTCAAATTTTCTTTAAAATACATACATGTAATTTTAAAATGAATGCAAGAATTTTAAAAAATAAAGGATTGATAGGATTTAAAGGTTTCCCTGAGAGGCCTGGGCTACTGATTTGGCCACTGAATGACCAGAATCAGTGCATAATAAAAATGGTACACATTTACTCATTAAATACGCAATAGTTAATAATTTAAGATGGGCCTACTATACTGTGTGAATCGAAATACAAAATCAAGATACAGAATGTTCCTGTCAGAGAATTGTGATCCAGATACTCGTAAAATATTGAATTCAAACCTTTGATCTTTTTGACGCCGTCCCGTTGTAGAGGTTTCATTCCATTGCGTCCAGTTACTGTGGACTTGGACAAGATCTTTGAGCCGAAGATGCAGTCTCTGGCAAGCCTGATTGCCAGCCTGGTTCCACCAACATAGGGGCTAAAGCTATTCCAGCGTTCATCACTCAGCAACTTGTTGATCATGTCTGCATATGAAAAAAGCAGAATATGCATTTCATTAACATGGCAATCACGTACAAGTATTTAATAGTATGGAAATGTACGGAAGCTGACTAGGGAGAAGGTGGACCTTTAGTCTGAGATCTTCACATTTGTTGATGGTCAATTGTGCAGATTTAATCTGGGATAATCTTGAGACACAATGATGTCACATGTATTGATTACACAGAAATGGGGCAGCAGAAGAGAACTTCGCTGAATTGTTGAGATTTATTGTGCTCATGACAGACTCAAAAGTTTGCATTGCAGTTTGCACGTCCGTGGCAAGAAGGACTATGGTTTGTCAGTGTTTTCACGGAAATGACAGTAAGCAGAAATCTGATTTTCCAATGGGATCTCAGTTTCCTTGTAGGAGCCAAACTGTAGACATGGACATCCAGCATTCTCCTCATGTACACATATGTCCTCACCTTGTTCCCACAGTCAAAGTAGGTAATCAAAGTGTGGCATCTTACATCCTAATGCGGCATTTCTTGTCAATCTCTTAGAAATAGAATAGCTGCTAAATGTCCTATCACCGTTTGCGAGTTACCGTAGCCACGCCCCTTAGACAACCTTATGGAATTTTTGTACGCAAAGTTTTGTTTGTCTCAGATGTTGCGCGTTCTGCGTCCGTTTGTATATCATGTAATTGGACAATATTTCACTAGCTGCGTTATTGCGATTCTAACGCAATTCTACCATGATACATGTAGTTCAATACCATTGCTGTCTGGAGTGTTAATAGGAGGCAGGGATGTGTCCCAAGTCTGGCTCCCCTCTTCCTCCTCTTCCACCCCTTCCTCATCCTCAGCTTTTCCTGCATCCTCTTCATCCGTCTCTTCTGCTTCCCTATCCCCAGTTTCCTCTTCATCTGAGAGTTTCTCGTCCGCCTCTTCTGTTGCCCCGCTAGGTTGAGTGATGATCTGTGTGAGGTACTGCAGCTGGTTTTCCATTGAGTTGAGCCTGTTGGAGACATCTTGCATCTGAGAAATGGGTTAAATAAGAAATAAATCAGTGTATTTTGTAGATGACAAACCTTACACAGGATTTCTATAACCAAGCATATAGCAGCTGGATCGTCAGAAGCAGCTTCGAAATGGAAGTGCCACCCCAAGATGGGCCATTATGAGATCTCCCGAGAATGGACTTGAATTGAATGTTTTCACTGAAGTCTAAGGAAAGTGGTTCTCAAAAACAAGACCACTGAATACAATTTACCACATGAGTTGAAAACTTCAGTGGGTAGGCTTCTTTTCAGGGGGTGCTTCTACAACTTTGGTTAAAGCCTTTGGATTATCTCATGTTACTCATGGAAGAAGGGGGAGGGTGGCCTAGTGGTTAGGGTTTTTGACTCGTGATCAGAGGGTCAGGGGTTCGAATCCAGCTCCTGGCCATATGTGTGTCCTAGGGCAAGCCACTTCACTCCCACTTGCTTCTTTCAACCCAGGAGTATAAATGGGTACCGGCATTAACTGGGGAGTAACCTGCGATGGATGGCATCCCATCCAGGGGGATAGAAATATCCTCGGTCGTTTCATGCCTAGGAACCAGAGATAAATGCTGGCCTGATGAGCTATAAGAATTGTATCAAATCAAAAAACTTACCCAGGATTTAAGCTCTGGCAGAAACATGGAGAAGCAGTTCATATCAGATGAGGCTGGTGCATTTACTGTACCACAAGCATTTTGGCTCGATTGGATGCTCTCATGTTGTGGACAAGCCGATGCACCATGCTTGTTTGCTGATGGTAGAGATGATTTTGAGAAAGCTTTCTGCCTTGTTTGTGTCACCCGTGGTTCATTATCTGCACGAGAGCCGATCGTGTGATTCCTGTCCACACTCAACTCATGATTCGCGTTGTTGGAATACAGATCAGGTGAGAGTTTGTCTGAGTATTTCCCATCAGTTGCTCTCCTCCGGTTGATTTCAAGATCTTGTGACGAAGCCTCTGAGATCCTTGACGTCTTGGCAGCCAGACTTGAAGTCAGTGCATGTAGCCTCGCCGTTTGAGGGTCAGTTTCTCGGCGCATGCTTTTGTCTGGGGAAATCCTTCGGAGACCCGGCATGGTAGAGTTGACCATTGGCTTGTTCTCATCACCTGCAAGTAATTGACCTGCTTTGCGTGATTGCCTACCCAAGTGCTGCTCAGACCACTTGCTAGCACCAGCCTTCGCTTGCTGACTTTTGGAGCTCAGGTTCAACCCGCCATTTGCTGCAGAACTTTGTAGTTGAAGTTGATGTCCCGCATCTTTATGCATCACTTCCTTCTGGGCATCAGGAGATAACTGTGGAGAAATAGACTGCTGGCGTCGCTGACTTTGCGGAGTAGATTTCCGAAGCGGGGGATCTGTACCTCTGCCTTGCAAATTAAAACTGGTGACTGGCACATGGTCATCTTTCAAAGTGGTACCAATGAGCCTTCTATCTCGCAGCACAAATTTAGAGTCGTCCCACTCAACAAAGCCAGCCACCTCATGATCAAGTGCAACTCTCCTGAACTTCGGTGCAGCACCATTACTTTTGTTCCTACGTTCAATTTTGCCTGAGACTGAGGTTCCATTATCACAAGCTTCTGGCTCCGAGATCAGACTATCCCTTAAAGAAGACTGCGTCAGTGTTCTTGGAAGAACTGGTGATTCGGCTCTACTTTTGAAGCCTGTGGGAAGCTTTTCTGTTCTCATCTTTCCTGCCTGCTTCTCCTGCTGGTGTAATCTTTGTGGCCGCTCCTGGTCTTTAATCCCATAGTCGTAGACTCCAGGGGAAGGAGTAGATGATTCCTTGGCTTTGACCGAGGTTTTGGGAGGTACATGTATCCACGGGTTGTCTGCAGGTAGGTTGACACTAATTGGCAGTGTCCGTGGTGCTTGTGATTCTGCACTGCTGGAACCCTGGAAGAAAAACATAAGGTTTTATGAAAAAAAATGGAATTTTCATTTTGTCGTGATGGACTGTTTAATTCAGAATTGTGAAAATTTTTATCATTTTTATTGTTCATATTCCATTTTGTGTTTGATTTCGGAGTGTTATTGAACCATTTTAGGCTTACTGAACCAGTGTTACTGAACCGTCTGTTACCATTGAGGCTTACTGACAACCACATGAATATCTAGTCATTAAACCACTTGTTTAGACAATTCCTAAAAATGGAATTTTTTTTCACACCTGTTTAGCCCTTTTGTATTAAAATTGGTGTCTTTGTGTGTATTTAATTTGGCGGCTTAACCCTTAAAAAAAATGCCCATTTTCGGTTAAATGCCCAGTAGCCTGTATAAGTACCTTTAGCTTTCCGTCTGCATGTCCGTTGCTTGCCGCTGCTGGTGCTGTTGATGGCCAGCAGGTTGTATCCACACAAGTCTCCTTCCTGTTGTGGAACGCACCAAATTTAGCTGGACAATCTGATTTCCGTTTTCTTCCCCTCCTCTGCAAGAAGGTCGATGACGTCACGTTGACCGGTCTCAGTCCATCTTGGTCCTTGGCTGCGTCTGTCCACTCGTCTGCAAGGAGCGCGGATCCCTGCCTCCCAGTGCACTGATCCAAGTCGAAGTCCTGCAATACTAGGTTGAGACTGTCATCCATTCCTCGCTTTGTCTGTCTGTTTTGACTTTGTGTCTCTATATAAAGACCACCATTCTCAGAGATTTCAGTATCGAATAAGCTCACATGATCGTTAGTGTATTGAAAATTTGAAGAAGAGTACCCCCTTTGCTGTGGATAATTGTAATTGCTCGCTGTTAGAGTTAGAGTGTCTTCTGATGTACCAGAAAATGAACCTGTGTTAGCAGAAGTGGAGTTGGTATGTAACTTGGTGTAGCCTTCATCAATGCTCATGTTGGCGTCGTGTTTTGTACCTCGAGCAGGATCGCGTCCAGCCTGCGTCCGAGCCGGCCCGGCGCACCAGACCTTCCTATCTCGGTCCATCTGCAGTCCCAGAACCTCCATGGCCCGGAAGACTGTGGAGCGGGACAGGCTGTGGCCCCGGGCGAACAGCTCCTGGCTCAGGTGGGAGATGCTCATGATCTCCGTCTCGTTAATGATCTTGGTGATGGCCCCCAGCAATGAGCCAGTCAGCTTGGTCCGCCGGCCCTGACGGCCCTTCTTCTTGTAGTAGCTCGTCCGGCGTGGCTTGGCTGAGGTCGGTGTTTTCTTGCATCCCTGCTCCGCAATGCTGACATGCATTTGCCTATCCATGTTTCTGAAATGAAAAAGAAAAAAAAATATCACTCAGGCTTACTTTCCATCTCTTTCATCTCTTTTCAACCACTTGTTAAATGCATTGCCCGACTATTTCGTATCCACGGAGAGGGAAGCAATTTCCTTCTCTGCTCATACTGAAGCACCTTTGAATTTACGTGAACATTGTGTTTCACAATATGCAATTACTAATTTCACATTATGAAAGTCCTAAGTGTATATTGTGCCCAGTGTTTGTCATCATACCAAGTACAGTCTTTGCCTAATTCTTCTCAAACGTTGGTCAATTTTTTCCCAAATTAACCAACAATGATGTATCATGTAACTTCATACCAACGTTTAATATTGCCCAACAGTGTTTTATCCAACTTTCGTTTAGTGTTAGGACTATGTTAAATTATTAAAAGCAAGGCACTCATTTGTTCTCTCCGTTGTCACCCTAATACTAAAGAACATTGAGAAAGTCTTCAAAACAACACTACAATGTTGATGATTACTGAATTATTTTGGTCATGTTGGTTGATACATGTACAAATGTACTCTGAGGGCATTATCCAAGTACTTCCAATTTTTTTTTAAACTAAACTGTTTGACTTCAAATTCGGAGGGGCCTGGCATGGGTTTTTCATGGCCATGAAAGGTTTATGTCCCAAAATACAGTGCGAGTCAAAAAGAAAGTTAAAAAAAGAGGGTTTACAAAGAATTGTGTGCTTAATTACATTGTACTACATTTGTAGTACATGTACCGTACAAAAGTAAAGAAATAGAAATCGTACACTTCACTGGTGTCCATTTATAAAGCGAAGTCCCGAGTCCAGATCCAGCATTAAAAAAAACTGTGAAATTTACTGAAAAACACATTGAATTTAACTTTGTACATTGTAATTGTTCCAACTTTTGGAAGGTACCACATTAAACAATTTGAGCTCAGACAGCAATCATCGTCTAGGCTTAAAATTAAAGTAAAAACTCGAATGCTTTGAATTGACAGGCTTTCTTCTTTAATACATGTGCATGTAATTGTCAACGGAAGACATTTGGACCGTGAGGTGAAATTAACTTGGGAACATATTTTGTGCAACTTTCTACTCTTCTTAAATGTAAGGAAACTTATTAACATCCCTTTTTTAGTTAATTTTATTGAAGTGCACTTCTTAAAATATTTACAATTTTTCAAGTTTTTCCGGACAACTGAGGGCGCTGCTGCTGTGATGTCATTTCAGGAAGACACTTTTCATTTTAGGGGTTCCCTGTTCAAATTGTGAACCCAAAACTTTGCTCATTGAAAACATTTGTGGAAAAAAGTTTGCTCATTGGCGTACTGCCGTGACACAACAACGAATCATCAAAGACAAAGAAAATTCACGACAGCAAAATATCAAAAATTCTGGCAACTTTTGGTGCTGAAATAGCTGTAACATTGAGGTTTCTGCCTGAAATGACATCACACTTTTGCTCATGAATATGGAAAATTGCATGGGCATAACAACCAAAAATGTTCAACAATACCCTTGAAAAATGGCTAAACGAAAATTGCAAATAAGGCTAAATGGGACACAAGGGTGCATTTTCAAGGATTACATTAAAGAAATTTACATTGCATGTGCCCTTTAAATAAACGTTATGTTTGGTCAGTGTCGGTTCATTTGATAGTTCCAACTTCCAGTCACGTCACCGCTGCTTATCTCTGAAATCTCAATTCACACCCTTGCGAACGGTTTCTATTTTACAAACACTTCCGTTTATTTTCCAAGGAACATGCGTGCTACTATAAACATACGTTCCGTGCCAGACCTAACAAAAACAGGAAACGGGTGTTCAGTAAGATAGAGTTTCCGGCGAGAGATCGTTGGAAGTGTTGCAAATACATGTAATTAATACAGCTTGCTTTTGTAGTTATTTTCAAAAGAATTTTACAAATATCAAATGACCTGCAATTTAATACTACCAGTAGAAACACATGTATGAATTGAAAGAGACATTCGGGTTAGTTTAATGTAAGATTATAAATTCCATTATATAATGAAAGGTTTGCGGAAACACCATGTGCGAATAATTTCTCAACTAAGAGAATGGTTCTGAAAAGAACCAGAGGTATAAACTCGACGTTCCGGTCAGTATGCTCTGACCGTCTTCAGGAGAGCCCTCTCCTGAAGACGGTCAGAGCATACTGACCGGAACGTCGAGTTTATACCTCTGGTTCTTTTCAGAACCATTCTCTTAGTTGAGAAATTATTCGCACATGGTGTTTCCGCAAACCTTTCATTATTTAGTATCTTCACCATGCAAAGCCTCAAATCTTACTTAAATTCCATTATGTTAGTGATGCTTCTTAAATTGGGCCATATTGTAAATGTACTCTCTTAACATTTTTTTTTTTACTTAACATCAGATTTTGTTTTAATTAGCTAGTCTGTTTCAATTTTAGCAGGCACGGTCAGATGCATGGGCGTCGCCAGGATTTTTCCAGAGGCCAGGATTTTTTTCCAGAGGGGGGCAAAGCAAATTTTCCCCAAAAACTTTTTCATTATATTCTCAATGTATCATTTTTCAGAGCGTGAGCTGGGGAGCATTTGCCCTACCCCCATCAAGTTAACAGCCATATGGCTTCGCACCTCTTTTTCCTGTTTTTTTTTTCCTTCTTCTTCCTTTTCCCTTTTTTTTCGTTCGCCCCCCCCCCCCCCTCACGACGCCCTTGGCCAGATGCCTTTATTTATGCGGTTCGCCCCGCGCAGTGAACTGATAAGGTTGCACTTTGTTACGTAATGTGAGAAATTCCAGTTGGCTTGGGGTCATTCCTCATTCATGCTCAGCCGACCATGCATCAAGAAGTTAAGCCGTGGGAATCAGTGTTCTGTAAAATTCGGACCTCAGTGAAAACTGGATCTCTCATTTTATAAAAACAAACTCTTGCTTTTGAACGAGGGGTGTTTTCACGAACATAACCGAAATTAGAGTGACCAGAAACATAATGTTAACAGTCGCACGAAAATACCGAACCGAAAAACCCGTTATATGTCACGATTGTTGGCGTTTTTCCTTATCATGACCAGTCACCCCAGAACTCTGGCGAACTTGCAACGTACTTGGCCGGGTCATTGACGTTTGTGGTCAAAACAACCCAAAAAAAACCTGACACTTCCTTCATGTTATTTACCTTAACTTATAGGAAGCAAAATAAGTTTGACTGCTTTTATTTCCGCAAACGTGGAAACAAACGTTGGTTTTGTTTTTGGCACCATACGGTGCATGAATTAGTGAAGCTTAACCAAAGTCGTGAAACCGGCCCAACAAGGGCCTAAAATAATAATAATAAAAAGTCTACTAACATGTTTTGGTTGTGACCGTTAAAACACGCCCACGCATGTGGCCAGTCACTGATTTATGAACATGCGCAATCTGGCCAAAGGTCCGTTTTTCATGGAATCGAAATCTCAGGCTGCACCATGTTACATCCGAGCATTAACGACTTTGACTTTGGTCCGGGGAGTGTTTTCGAATTGAAACTATCACTAGCAACTTCCGGGTCGATTTCCAATACTCTTTGTTCTATTGATGGAAAGAATGTGAACACATTCACTTTGAATTAAAAAAAAAATGAGACAAACTATGGACAAACCATGAAGGAATACACAAATGCTCGTAGTTGGAATATTTTCACTTACGTCATATCTTGGAGGAAGAAAATAGTATGCAAGGCATGCAACACATCACTGTTAAGAACTAACTGGGTATATAAACAGTATTGTTTGACAGGTCTTTTCTTACACTGGAGACAAATGGAAATTATGCTTTATGGTCCAGCTAGGGTGCTTTATTTCCGCCATCGACCAATGCTTCCTCGAGTCAGCATGCCCGTCCTCACTCCACGTGTTGTTAATTTTGCGTCTAACATTCACCATGAATTCCATACGAGAACAAAACTTCCACACAACCAACCGGTTCTTGTAATAAACCACGGATCGGAGGAAGGACCATGAATAAACCATCTTTCCTGTCTTATTTATCCCCCACACTAACACACACCTCTGAATCAAATAGGCCAACTAGAATAACAAAAACACACGTACCTCAACTAGAAATGAGCAGCCAACAATCGATATATCCAGGAACGATGGCGCCGAGCCGCCAAAACGTTTCCACCGCGGCGAAACCGTTGCAAACGTGGCGTACTGCAGCTGGTTATTAAAAAAAAAACAGTACAAAGATCAAGGCCGTTCCAGTGTGCTGTATCCCGTTGATATGCACACAAGCCGGCCCCAGGCAGCCGTCTGTAAGTCTCTGCGTGTCACCTCCACCCACGGTAATAATAGACGGTTATACCATACCGGTACCACGGTCTTTTCAGGACCCGTGCTTTTTTCAAGACACTATCAATACGGAGTTGCTGATAAAACTCGCCCGGTACGGCATGTACGGTGCACTAGTTGCTGGATTCAAACTTGCATAAGAATTCCCGAACCAGATAAGAAAACACACGCACTGTGACATGTAGTGAATATGTGTCTGAACGGTTGTGTTACCAGAAAAAAACCAACACTTCACCGCAACCAAAAATTACTAGACCAAAAGATAACCGGTCGTGTGTATTGAAACGCGTCTGTTCTAAACAAGGAAGGAAATGGCGTTGTTTTGTAGACGTGCTCTCGCCACCCAAGCTGGAATGAATATACCATGTGCAGTGCGTGGTATAATACGGGGACGCTGCACGCTGAGTGTGGGACGGTTTTATTGTAATCTAACACCGGCTTCCCAGAACACGTAGACCGTGGTTAGCATTCTTTAGATGGAGAAAAAGACGGGTTGGAATATGGCCGGAAAACCAGTGTTTTTCCAATGGGTATTGGGTGTCATCGATGTACATGTATACCATGGGCTCGTCCGAGTTCTCGTATCCTTAGTACGGATTAAAGGATGCCGGGAAACCGGAACTATAAACACCATAGGAACCGTGTTTTTTTAGGCTTGGTATTTATCACCCATGCTTTTCATTTAGGCAAACTTCAGTCCGTTACTAGAAGGACAAAATTCTGTATGTTGCATGTTTCGTAACGAGAATGCAATCATATTATATTTTTCTGCTAGTTAAGACTGAGCTTGGCTTTTTGGGGTGAATTTGTTTCGTGCTTCAGTGAAGATTTGTATGTTTTACTTTTAGCTTTTTTTCTTTCTTTTTTTAATGCTGGGGATTTCTTTGTCGGAAACTTCTAGAAAGGTTTGATTGATGAGCCATAATCATTAATCGGTAAGGTATTGTGTTTGGGAATGAAAAAAAAATGAATTGAAAAAAAAAGGAATTTTAAACAAGTTGTGAACTATCTGCAGGCACCGAACAGGTTCGTAAAGTTTCTGAACTTGTTTTTTTTGGGGGCTTTTCTTTTTCTAATCAGAGCAAGCAGATCCAAACTCCCACATCCAAAATCCTTTTGTGACAATATAGAGAAAGGACGCTTCTTTAATCCTTTATTCAATGACCATCCCTGATCCGTCCATATAGGGTCGGGTATTCGTTGATTATGAACTGATAAGGGAAACGGGGCCGGCCCTCAGGCCCCGCTAAAGGAACATTGTTGCCCCCCCCCCCCTTCTGATAGGGTGCAGACCTGCATGATGCCATAGACTCAAGTGATAATTACGCCCATTTCCAAAAAATAGGAAAAATACTCACAACTCTCCAAAGTGTTTGAGACACACTTCAAAATATAGCTTATAGTATCATCTTTCATTTTCTGTTCATTTTTTTTGGCGGGTTAATGACGTTCAGGAGAAAATTCCATCCAAAGATGATCACCCCTAAAAGTAGTCCTGAAATCCCGTCGCGATTTTTGAAAAATCATTCCCGCGCTCAATTGCAAAATAGCGCGATTTTATTTTTAGGGCCCCATATCATCCGAACTTTACAGAAGCACGAGCTTGCAGTCCTGTTCACGGCTTTCACCCTTTTTTTTTTTTTTTTTTACAAACCATCAAGTTTATGGCCCACAAACTGCTTCTAATAGCGGGGAAAAAAGGAGCGCATACAAATCGTGATTTGGCCGGCGAAGGCAATTTCAGACTTACTTACAGGCCTGTACCCATATAATTTGGAGAAAGAGAATTACTTTGCCTTTTGATGAAACTCTGCGAACGTCCCTCTAGAACCCCTCCCCGGCCCCTTGCAATTCTCCGGGAAGGTCCACTCATGTTTGCTCTCGTTTTTGTACATATCTAGTTTGGTTTATGTTTGTTAAGATGGTGCAGCGGGGGTTATGGTAATTTTAATTTGTTTGTACGATAAACAAAAATGAGTAAAGTTTCCCGTTACGAAAACGATCAAAGTTTTTGATAAACCAAAACGAAATTAGACTGAAAGAGTGAGAGATATTGAGTGGATGCATTGTGGTAAAAAAAGGCCGGTCCGCTAAACCCATTCTCTTCTGTTCGTTCATTAACTAAAACCTCCCAGAGACAGCTGAGACGACTGATGTATTTTTTACACGCAAACAAATGAGATTCCGCTATACATATAGTAGCATTATTGTTGTATTTCAGTGCATGTCGACGACTGGGTGCATGGATGATGTTAAAGTCGCTGTGAAAAAGGGGGGGGGTGTGTCAGTAGCCGTTCGGTATTTTGTTCCCATGAGGAATCAGGCACTTAACAACTTATATTTGCATCTTGTTTTTCAACTTATCAAACACTCACAATTCGTACAAAACAACATACACTGACAAAACAACATACAATTTTTTTTTTCAGAACCATTCTCTTAGTTGAGAAATTTTTCGCACATGGTGTTTCCGCAAACCTTCATTATTTAGTATCTCCACCATGCAAAGCCTCAAATCTTACTTAACATACAAATTGATGTACCGGTATATTTTTTATAGTTTTTTTTTCCGTTTTGGGTTTTTTCTTTTTCGTTTTAGCAACTCTCTTAATTTTCATCCCCTGCTTAACGAACAGAAAAAGGAAGATAACAGAAAATGTTGGCCAGCTTTCAACGGGCCGCTATTTTTCTTGCCGTTTCAGACGATAATGAAGGATTGAACGTCTTTCAAAATTTGGTTAATGTTCCAGTCCCTTTACAATAACATTTCGCAAACTTTCAGTTGGCGAGGGCATTTATGCCAAGTTCGACCACCTCAAGCTTGCAACTCCCCCCCCCCCCCCTTGACAGCTAACACCCCCCCCCCCAAAAGTCCGCCCGTGCAGGACTGTTTTCAAAAGCAACCTCAAAATGTAAAAACGAAACAAATAAATCAGTTTGTTCACGTGCCGACCGTGACTTCAGAGGACAGTGAATTCGGAGCATAGGACCTGCATACACTGGAGACCTCTCCATTAACCCTTGCAGTTTGCGCTTCCGCACACTCCTTTAATGTGACAAGCAGTCTAAGCAGACGAACAGAAAGCGTAGGATCTTTTAATATAGGAGGATAATGACATATGAGAACTTGTCCTCTCCTTTTTTTCAGAGAACGACCAAGACATTAAGCTTAGACCTAGGTGAAGACCGGGTGCTGCTACATGCCCACCCCAACCGGTATCACCTAGACATCTACCTGCCCTTCGACGTGGACACGGACGAGAGCGGGGCACAGTTCAACAAAGACAACAAGGTGAGTTGAGTGTATAAATTACACCCTTTAAAGGGAATGTACAACATTTGCTTTTGCTGCAATTTTCAGAAATAAATGGATTTGGAGGATTAGTATGTTTGGTATGTTGTTCCCCGACAACACTTAAGATGAAACGGAGCAATTTATAGACTTTGAGGAATTGTCAGGTCAGAGAATCAGTCTAGCAGGCATGTACCCCTTCACAGTTGTGTAATCAATTGCAAAGAAAATGCGGAATAACTAAATGTGAACAATTAGGAGCAGTTTTTTTTAAAAGCCAGTTTTCTCTTGGAAAAATACAAGTTTTCTTCAAAATGTCAGCACTCCAGGAGCCACGATTTTACAGGATGCTTTAGACTGTCATTCTCTAACAATCCAGTAAGATATTTTGTGATAATTTGATCATTTTGTTTTTTGACGTTTGCAAATGTTGTATCTTCCCTTTAAAGCGTAGTGTCAAAGATGTATCCCCATAGCCATTTTCGAGTTTCATTCCGAAAAATAAAGTATTGTTTCAAATTACTATTTTTCTAGCAATACAATAGTTTTCACTTTCGAATGCGTCATCAATCGGAAAATCTTTTTCACTTCGTTGAAGCCAAAAACAAAATCTTCAACACATTATGTCAGAGTTTCTATACATCAAACTTTATTGATATAAAAACACTCAACACAATACAAATATAGTTTTTCATAAATTCACAATGTATTAATCACTCTACATGGATATAATTTGTGTTCATCTATATATGGTTTCCTCTTTTCTTGGCTTAACATCTTACATGCTTAACCAAACAAGTCTAACCCTACAAACCACAATGCAGAAAACTATTTACACATTTCATTTAGATCCCTTAATTCTTGAATAAGGTATTTAACCTTTTTATCAGTATATACACTTTTATTTAAATCCCCAGGATTTATTAGATTCTGACATCTCTTGAAAAGACAGCAAAACATAACCTTTTTTTAAAAAGCACAACATCCACTGCAATAAATATACAAATTATATTATAACAATTAACAAATAATAATATAGGTACTCTACTGACATCACTTGAAACGACAGCAAGAAAAAACTGTTTACCAAAACACAACATCCACTGCAATAAATAAACCAATTATACCAATTAGCAAATAATAATATAAGTACTCTACTGGCTTTGCTTGGCATCCATTGCTCAACTACTATGTGTCCTACTTTTGACCTTAAATAATTCTTTTCTCTATCAGTGGAATTAAACCAGAATGTCATATCATTATCAAGGCATGACACATTTTATGGAGCAAGTTTCATCAGCTTTGTGCAAGAGGGTGAGATTTAAACGCCATACGAAAAAATACTCGCTTTCAGAATCTGCCACTTTTGACTGGGCGTCCTCCAATGTCGATACAATGCTTGAGACGGTGGCGGAAGGCGCTTGCTGCGGCTGAAAGCTTCTGAAGGAATGCAGGATCACCCCTGATGTCATTGCACACCTCGATCGGTTGGCACAACAAATCAAGATTTGCAAAGGGACGTCTGATCAGCACGCGCCTTCCGCCACCGTCTCCAGCACTGTATCGCTGTATGAAGGACGCCCATTCGAAAGTGGCAGATTATGAAAGGGAACATTTTGTTCCTTTGGCGATCAAATCTCACCCTCTCGCACAAAGCTGATGAAACTCGCTCCATAAAATTTGTCATGCCTTGTTTACATGATCTGAAATTTTGGTTATATTTCATTGGTAAACAACAGAGTTATTTAGGATCAAAAGTAGGACTTTTTTACACGTGGTATGTACACATAGGAGAATAACTTTTTAAAAAGTATTCATTAGGCCAAAAAAAAAAAGGTCTCTGGTTTCTGGTATGCACGCGCGTCGCCGTAGCCATGCGCATTGGCAAAATGAAAAAGTTTTTTTTTCAATGAAAGATGATGTCTCAAAACCGCCAAACGCACTAGTTTGACTGGAATCCTGCTGCTGCACAATTTTAACGTGTTTTTAGATGGGGTTATGGTCGAGAATAAGCTTTATGTGGCCTCTCTGGACTCCCATATATTTGCACTAAGTTTAGTCGGGCACCATTTGCAGTCATCAGCCGACATTTGAAGCAAAAAAATCAGGTAAAAAAAAAAAAGCCGCGTCGCCGCACCACTTTTTGGGCAAGCTCCATACCAGAAACCGGAGACTTTTTTTTTTTTGGCCTTACACAAATGAACATGGACGGGAACTCATATTGCAGAGTAAAACATTGTTTTCTTGTTCACACAGGTCCTGACTCTCACCCTTCCTGTGCTACCTTTGTCAGTGTGAAAGCGCTAGCTCCAGGTTAGTTAGGATAATGAATGGTACATTTAAATAAGGGGAATGCAGCTTTAAACACCAATCTTTAACATCGCTGACCAAACCCTCCTGCTATTTAAACAGCCACAGACAGTCAAAATTCACTTCCACTTCCCCTGCTATACTTTTAACACGAGCTACTCACAAGCAGTCAGGTCATATGTCGAGCAAGCACTGTGACTTGTCAAATGGTCAACAGACAAAGCAGGCAAGTTGTGGCCACAGCTGTTTTATCACTCACCGGGAGTCAAAGCATAGCTGCATCACCTCACTTAAACAGTCGAAGCCAGTTAATTCTGCTTTATGTAGGTTGGGAATTCATAACTGTTGAAAAACAGTCACTTGTTTGATTTTGACGGAAAGGACTACTTGGCACAGAGTGTATGTTTGCTCAGACCACCCACGTGACAGGCTTTCGACCAATAGGAATGGGTAAACTCAACTGTCTCAGGTATTTATGACTGGTTAGTCAAGTGAGAAAATTGGGAAACGCTGATCAAGATTTTTTTTTACATTTCAAGCAAATAAACCATTTCCTAGTTGCACTGTTTCTCAGTGTGGATAATTTTGAGAACTGTTATTTCATGGTGGACTTTTAAGATCGTTTTGGCTAGATTCAGCGCATAAATTACACCATCAACAGTGAAACTGCGAAGAGGCACCAATATTAGAGGACGATTGGACACCATCTTACATTGCGCACGCTGATGTGTGCGACACGCTGATGTGTGCGGGACGGGACCAGCATATAGGGCTCGTTCAATGACGGCCATCTCTGTAGGAGAACTGCAACTACGTATTTTACGCAATCAAGCACGCATTGCGCAGTGTTGAAAATGTTCCAAACACGCTCGCTTGTTGCTCGAAATGTGTTCGAAATACAACGCAGCTGATGCGTATTATGCAAGTTGACGCTCAAAATGCCGATGCATGTGAATGGTCTGTTGGAAATGACGTCATTTGAACAAGACCTATTACCCTTCAATTCTTGCTGTTACTTGTTGGGGTTACACAGCGCCCTCGTTTGTCAATGCATGGAGTCTGAAATGGACACGCTTTGGCGATATTATTTTGTAAAGTTTCCTTTTAGTTATTTTTGGTACAATGTCTACATAAATCACTTACATGGCAAGCATTGCCCAAGAACCAACAAGAGCACATGCTCTTACACAGGGCCCTAGTTGCCCAGAGTCCACATTGGACTTCATCATTTTCAGTTTCTTATGTTATTTTCCTTTTGTTCAAACAAATTTGTATGTTCTTAATCAGATTCATACAGACTTATTTGATGTACAGATAAACGTCCATTTTATTTTCAGTTCCAAGTTACAATGTTATTTCCTTTTTATTTAAACAATTTTTTGTGTTGTAATTCAGATTCATACAGACTTATTTGATGTTCAGAAATACATAAATTTTATATTTCAGTTCCACGTTATGTTGTTTTCTATTTGTTTAAACACATTTTCATGTTGAAATCAGATTCATACAGACTTATTTTTTAATGTACAGATATACATTATGCAAATAAATGCAACCTATTAAGACAAAATGCATTCTTTTTAGACTTTCCATCGATAGTTGTTTTGAATTTTAACCCGGAAACAGGCAAAGAGAGATATTCCCTGACTAAATGACAAAGTTTTGTTTCGCGAAATGTCACACAGCACCCTTTCAAAGCATTCATTTTTGGTTGTGTTGTGTTGCACAAACACTTAACCATTCACCAATGATATGGTTCCCAATGATTTTAAACCAGACTACAATGTATTTTGAGCTGCATAAGAAACCCTGTTCTTTCCCCCTTGCATATCCTCATCAGTGCACTCAGAACTTGTGTAAAAAGGTACTCTTTGGAAGCACTTTGAATGATGACACATTTTCCATTGGAATTTTCCATATTTTTTTCAAATTGGGAGACAAGAGGTAACCCTCACAATACAGTGGGGTTCAAGTTTCCTTTGCAACGCATGGAGGACATCACTTTCCTCCAAGTGTCTTGAGAGTACCCCAAGGTTGTGAGCCTTGGCCCATGAGATTGTCTCAATGGTTCAATTGCTTTCAGGACGGCAGCTGTTTCCATTGGTCTTACCCCTCCCCTTCCCCCCTCCCCCTTCAACCTGCCACGGTAATTGGAATGGCCCTCATTCAAGGCTACCCACCCAATCCAAGTGTGAAAGCCCCAATAAGAATGTCATTCCCATCTTCTTATCACTCCTCCAAGAGTTCCCTCTTCCTTAAGGGTATCAATGTGAGGCCTCTTCACTGGTTTCTAACACCTTCCAAGTGTGTCATCCCACCAATTATTCCAAGGCCATGTCTTAAACGGGAGTCGAAAGCTATGGCTGTCTATCGTCAGTTTGTTCCCAAGTAGCTGTAATTGTCAAAGATCTAGAACAAGGCTCTAGACAAGAGCTTTGGACACGTCCACACTGTCCCAGGTAGCCAATTTTATGAGGCCCGGCCGCTACACAGATGCTATCCCTCCCTCTCCTAAGAGGCCAGGCTGTCGGTCCCCTCCAAAGGTTCATGTTTGTGTTAAGATATGCTTTCCCAACAAGGCAAAGCAGCAAGTTACGCTGTTTTTGTTGTTTATTTTAGTAGATGGTCCATGTTACTTGCCTGATGTGCGACTGTTGGCCTTGGATCTCCTCTAGGGCTTGTCTGGAACGATCTGCATTTACAGACAGGGGGAATCAAAGAGGAAATGAAAGCCCATTACTAAGAAACAGTCCACCAAAACAGGATCCCCACCCCTTCATTGAAAGACCTGTGAGCCCGATTGACGCTGTGCACCAACACACAAGTGTCTTTGAAAACATAATATGTTCGTGCACATTCAGTTACATTACTTGGCAATACTACATGTACATGTACATTCATTGGCTCTCCAGTGCATGCCGCATAGGTTTATTTTACATGTATTTAATTCTTATTTCTACTAGGTAGTGCATTCAGTGGAATCCACTGGTATCCCATAGGGCCCAGTAAAGAGAAGACAATGTGCACAAATCACAGTTTTAGACTTTGGAGAAAAACCCTAGAAGAATATTCTTGGGGAAACCAACGGAATAGGGACTGAAAACCCAATCAACATAATGGCCCCCAGGCAGGAATCAAACCCGACTCACAGGGGTGGAAGGCGAGGAAAGTACCGCTACGCCAACCTGACTCCTTTTAGTTCAATCTTAAGTTCTAGTGCAGAGACCATAACCATCTAGCAAACTGGGGTGGAAGGCGAGGAAAGTACCGCCATGCCAACCTGACTCCCCTGAGTTCAATCTTAAGTTCAAGCGCAGAGACCATAGCCATCTGGCAAACTGACCTGTGATGCAGGGGCATCCATGGAACAGCAAGATGGCAATGCGCGGGCAGAACTGTACCACGGCCTCGACGGCCTCATCCGTCAGGTGGATGCAGTGATCCATGTGGACCTCCATGAGAGACTGCTTGCAGACTCCCATAGCCAGGGCGATCACTCCCTCGTCTGTCACCTGGGATCACGGGTGTCAAGGTCAAAGTTCAAATCAACTTGAGATTTTGAAATCTCAAACAAGTGCGGCAGATTTTTTTTCTGAGAAAATTATGCTACTGGTGTGCCTAATTTGATAAGGATTTGATTGTCCATAATTTCATCTTTGACAAGATTTTTGTTTGGTGGAATTTGGACTTTTGGTTCAAAAGTTATGACAAGTTTTGTGAAGCCCTTCTGAAGCGGGTTGGTCTGATTCAATGACCTTAACACAATGACCAGTTATGTACAATGCAGGTATGCATTGAAGACAATTAAACCAGAACAAAACTTTCTTTGAAACAACTGATGATAAGTATCACTTAAATTTAATAACTGGACTATCATTGTTTCAAAGCATCATGAATGTCGTCTCTGACATATCAAATAACATTGATTGTGGACTAAAGGATTATGTAAGCCTAATCCTGCCACACATGTCCTTCTTTGTGATCCACAAATACTTTCACCTGTACTGAATTCAAACCTTTCATTAGGTATGTGTGATTTCACAAATCAGACCAGCTTGGAATTTATAACCCTTCTTCAATGTACTCTATCTCTGGACAGGATTGTCCAAATGAGATGGGATAAAAAGCATAGTGAAGAGAAGGAAAGGTACTTTGAAAAGAGGGTTAACATTATGATGAATAGGGGTGGTTTATATTCTTAATATTTTTGTTTCTAATCCTGCGTTTTTATTGACACACGCTGTACCTCCCTCTCTGGCTGACAAATTCAGCTATGCAATCACAGCAGTCAAAATCAGTCAATCAAGACTGTTTTTAACAGTTAACAATTCCCTTGATAATTTGATATAGCCATGCTTTGACTGGAGGTGATTGATATGCCAGCTGTACCTACCAGTTACCTCTTTTGTCTGTTGATGGAATTTGACTAGTCACAGTGCTTACACGAATGTGACCCGACTGTTTTTTTTACTAATCTGTACACAAATGCACGGCAGGGAAGTGGAACAAACTCTTGACTGTGACTAATAGTTACTGAATGTCTCACCTGCGATTTGGAGAAGTTGAAGCTTTTGAGCATGCGGCAGCTTAGCCCAACGGCAACGAGTGAGGCATCCGTGATCTGACGGCAGCCGCCGATGTTGAGCTCCATCAGCTGCCGACAGTTCTGGGCAAGTGCAATTATGCCAGCATCTGTGACGTTGAGACAGCGTCGGAGGTACGCCACCTGCAGCAGGGGGCAAGACTGGGCCACAACCTGAAGGCCTGTTGGGGGGAAAACAAAACAATCTGTTCAAAACAGTGTTGCTGATTTTGTTTTCTACCACTCAAGTTTTCAGTGATATCAACAGGGTTGCTCAAAGGATAGCAAAACTCATCTGATTCCAAGACCACTCAAGTTTTCAGTGATACCAACAGGGTTGCTCAGAGGATAGCAAAACTCATCTGATTCCAAGAATTTCCGAGAGTTGAGGTGATTTTCACAAATCCTTTGTCAACAAAAATGGGTAACAGTACCAGTTCAACGGACTTCAAATTTGACTCTCATATATTTGAACAACTGATATTGGCATCCCATTCCATCTCAAAAATAAATTAAAATTTTCAAGACAACTTTATTTCAACAGATGAATCAGACAACTTTACAAAAAAAAGTGGATGCTTACAAAAGGGACAGTGCCTAATTTTACAGTAAGCCAACTCGCGCAGCTGTTGAGAAAATTCTACATTTTCTGGATCTATACGCTGGACTCGCCAAAGGCAAATTAATCCCACTTCTCCATCCCTTATAACAATATAAGGTCAATTTCTATACAGTGGAATAGAACCCATATTCCTAACACTGTGTACATTTCAAAAGATACAAGGAAGCAAATCCTACTTTCCAACAAGAGCTGAAAAAATCCAAGAACTTTTCTTCACCTCTTGAAGTAACCATCGTTCTGCTCTCCTTGGCAGAATTCAAATCCAGCTTCCGGAGGTTCTTGCAAACGGTCAGTTTGTGGAGACCCTCATCTGTGATGTCACACTCTCCCAGGTCGAGAATCTTAGTGCTACTGTTAATTACCTTGATGAAAAAAATGGATTTGACTCAAATTTATCTTCATACACAAACGACTGAATGATCGCATTTACCTTTTATAGATGAGAACTTTTGAAGAGTGTAAATTCTTACACTACAAATATGCTCTCCCAATACATAGTTTCCCCAATGACAGCATTGCAATTTCGTCGATATTTACCCACGACCTCAATACAATTTATGGTATAATGTGTTCATTTGTGTTGCAAAGGTTCTTGATATTACGTTCATTAAGGCTAAGGGTTTGCGGATATATGGCATGAGGTATGTACACGTAAATTTTATCGTAACAAGTTAGACATGCCGCGTATGTATACAGTAGACAAGAATCTTCCTATTCGTTGTCGCCTTTAAAGGGGTATTTGTGAAGACACTTTTTGGTCTTAAATTTTCAGGAAATACACTAAACATGTTAAAACGTTGTGTATCTCCCTCGCAAGCCATCAGCCAAACATACTTTTAGTTTTTAATATTAAAATGTGGAAATAGGGCACGATACTATAATCCCCTTCCCCTTTAACAAAAAATTGAGGCCTCATGGACCCCCCCCCCCCCCCGACCGAAATTTGGTTCAGGATCCACCCTTTGCTTGTGCAGGGAGTGATATAATGCGTATCGAATGTTGTAGTGGAGTACATATTATAACAAATCCTCACAAGTCCTACTAGGCTACTAGGCCATCAGCCTCGGTCAAAAATTTTGGCCACCGTTATCAAATGAGGGGAATAATCGTCATAGCAATTTTTGGCAAGGTATACACCTCCAGAGTTGGAAAATATGTGATAGCATTGCAGCGGTGGCAGCTTTTTGGGTGTTATCACCCTTTTTTTTCAAAATGTCCATCAAAATGCTTGTTACCACTCTAGGGGCGGTATACCTTGCGCATGCGCATGTAACCCGGAAAAATGGCACAAGATCAAAAATAAAGAAATACCTAGAAAAATCTGAACCATGGGGACTCGCTTCTCTTCGGATCAACAAGAAAAAGTAAAACAGGAATCTTTTAGGGAGGAATCGCGAGATAATCCTAAGAATAGAGACAACCAAGGCAGTGTTTAGATTTCCACTACAACAAAAAAAACAAAGAAAAATTTATTTCATGAAAGAATTATCTAAGGAGGCAATTTCTACAAAGCAACAATGTAGGAAACAAAAGGAATCAAAATATTAATTGTATAATGAAGACCTTCATGAAAACAGATGAAAATATAATCTAATAATCAAAACTCCTAGTTCAAGTTAAAAAGTTAAATTTGAGGTACACCACTTTTGAAAGCCAGACCACTGTGACCTAGACCTGAAAAATCCAGAACCTTTACAGTTGAAAACAACGACCAAAGATAAGTAGCAATGTCAAAAAGAAAAAGAATCTAAAACAAAGTAACCAAAAAAAACACCAAAACTAAAAACCAACAACAGTGTTCAAAGAAAGTCATAAATCAAAAACACTCAAGCTTAAACAACCTAATAAAAGAAAAGAAAACAAGAATATTCCAATTAAGCATCATATCAATAAAATGTGTAACAATAGAGTAAAACATGATAATGTCAAATAAACGGATAATAAGTTTTGTTCTACACACAACTTATAAAGTCAAGTACTAATAAAGTTGATGTGAAACACCTGTCAACCCTGAACTAGAGATTGGCTACAGTAATTGAGACTAAGAGTGATATACTGCAAAAATACACTGCACCCGATTTGACCAGTAGACGGGTCACAGAGTTCAAAATTGTCACTGAACCACAAGCCGAAATTGTTTTACCCACCGAGTTCAAGCTATAAATCTTAATTTTTAACCTTCTGAGTTAAGTTGGCGCAGAGCAGTAGAGCTTAATTCTTAACCTTGTCCTGACCTGAACGGTGAACTCAAAGTTTCCTGAACACAGAGTGAATTTATCCATATGTCTTATTCTTAAAAGAAATACTTATTTGACATAAACTACATCGCTATCCTATACAAGCTATTGTAAAAATTCTAAGAGTTCTCAACAACTGTCCTCCATAATAAAAACAAGGCGAACAAAACAGTAAAGGCCTAAACACTTGATCGAATAATTTCTAGAAATGAGTAAACTACTATACAACTATTCTAAGAAAATCTCTTTAAATCAAAATACAGAGAAACATAAGAAACTCTTCTTACACACACACACAAAATAAGAAAACATCGATAGTGTTCCTTATTCTACAGACCACGGGTTTTCTGATCAGAACAAACTTCGCTTCATCTATAGACCACAAAACATAATCTATCATTTCTAAGAAAAACAGTTCCTACATAATCAGGTTCAGTTAATCTCATCTAATCTACAGCCCAAACTAAGTGAAGAAAACACCCTGGAAAATCTTACACACAAAGAAAAATAATTAAGTACATAAATTCATTCATCTCTTCCGTCAAATCCAGCCAATCATGATATAACCCATATCTTGACTTCACACAACAGATTTTATGGCAACGCACAAATAATCAATTAGACTCTTTCTTTGCACTAAAAGAAACATTTCTCTATCATTCAAATTAAACTTGAAACGCTGCTTGAAACAAAATAACAAATACATTTGACTTTCATCAATACAAAAAAAGTGATTGAACATCCTAATAAAAACCCTAAAATCTATTTCTAGTTATACAGTACACTAAAACTGATGAACAAACTTTCCAAGAGAAACAAGAACAATTTTGGTTAAACTTACCAAGTCTACAGCAGACCAAGTCTCTCAAGGCAGAAAATGAATGAAAGAAGGAGCAAAGAAAATGTGATGTGCTCACTCCACTGCCAGTCTGCAAATTGATGGGCTATTTGAAAAAGGCATGGTCTTGAGGAAAAATAATTAGGTTGCCCGGGTCAAATTCGCATACAATGTCAAGGGATTTGCAAGGCCAAGATCATAGGGGCACTATTGAACTCTTAAAAATAACGATGGAGTATTCAAGGGGTGTCACTCCTGTACAAAAACAACAACTAAAAATTCACCCTGCTACACGCACTATAGTCATTTATGCCCTGATTTGATACTGGCCAAACCCCCAGGCTGATGGCCTACACAGTCACAAGTCAAGTCACAAGTCAACTCACAATCTATTCTAATAAACTGTGACAAAAGTATTGTTCATCGTCCGCTGTCACTTTTGACTTTTGACCAGTGAATTAAGGACTTGTGAGCGACCTGTGAATGACTCAATGTGTGTAACAGTAAACAGTGACATCTTTTGCCAATGGTTTTCAGCCACCTTATCAATGATGACGTCTGTCACCAGGCCTCGTTTGCTCATCAGGTGCAGCAGATTGTTCTTGATGTGGGGAGGCAGACGCTCCACGTCTGACAGGTGGTGTGGGAGGACGCTGAGGAACTTTCTGACACTCCTGGAGGACAAGATACAAGACAATGTGAGTCACTTACAATGTATGTTATTATTAACCAAGTCAGAATTATCAGGGGCGGATCCAGTAATTTTTACGGGGGGGGGGGGGGTCATCAGCAAATCAATGCTGAAATGTAGACACATTTTTTTTTTTCCGGACACTTGGCCTCTGTAAAATCAGTACATATTCCATTTCAGTCAACTTCCATAAAAACTGCAACATTGATTAAGTTAGAGCAAGCCCACACAAATAAAAAATAGTAGACTATCACCCGACCATGTTCAAATGTTATATAGCGATCCGTAGAGTCCTAGTTACTCGGACTAGGGCCCTAGGTGGCCCTACTACATTGTAGTACATCATACAGATGATGTCAGAAACTAGGGGGCAGTAGTTTTTAGTTTTTACTTTCAAAATTTAATTTTTCAAAATTCAATCACGACCATAACTTAGTATAACTGCCCACTGATTTCATTCTGATGAAGATCAAATGTTTAAAGTCTTGAGGCCTTATGCCCTCATATTTGTGTTGTGATCGTAGAGAACTGGAAGTCGGGGGGATGAATTGTGTTGTGTGTAATGTAACTCAGAAACTGGAAAGTAAAATGTTGCCTCATTTCGTTTCGAAAGTGTTGACAAACGCACGATAAGAGCAAGGATGAAATTGATAGATTGTGTAATATATCCACTCGCCCCTAAACGAAAAGTTTCGACGCAGTTAACAACGCCAAAATACTGCATTACGGGCAACTTACAGCGTCATAAGCGACGAAATTCCGTAGCTGTTCAAATCGTCCGCCATCTTTCAATCCATCCCGATTTTGTTTACATCACAATTTTATGGCGCAACGTGCCTGATTGAACCTGACAAGAGAGGGCGCTATGAAAAATCTTTATCGCGCGACACATATCTATAGTGCAAAAATTAAGTTTTTTTGTAGAACTAAATGTTTTTTCTATTATTTATTAATGTGATAGTTTGAGGTTAATATTTTTTTATTATTAATTTATTGATAGATGATTTATATCTTAACACGACCTCGTTCAGATAAGCCTAAACTCGGTAAAGAAAATCAAAATCTTATTCCATATTTATTTTTATATTAAAAAAAATTCGGAGTAGAATTTTTTTAAAATCTTTCTAACAAATTATTGCAGTCAATACAATTTAAAGTTTCTGGATATTGCGTCGAACTGTTCACTCGTCAACTTCTCTAGCCAACCGTTATTTAGGAATAAATAAATTGATACAATTATTGTTGACGCATGCGTTCTTTGTTACTTTTAATTTGAGTCCTTATTTTTCTATGTATTGTAAAATGACGATATATTGAAACATTCGTCGGTACAAAATGTTTCAAAATTAAAAGCAGCTGGGATTTTTTTTCCGTTGATGAAAGCTCTTAGGCCGCCAATGGAAATTGAAGCTTCTTCCTTATCCACCTTCTGTTAATTTGCTATTTTTTTACGATAAGTGATTCTGTAATTGAGCGAGAAAAAAATGGTCTTTTAAACATGCTTTTAGTGGTAAATAATAATGATAATAATAATAATAAAACACCGTATACTGGTATTTGGAATGCATTCGGCAATAAAGTTGTTTTAAATAACTTGAGTGATTTGAATTATTTTTGTACTAAAATAAAGCTTATGAATTTGGTTTTTATATCCTAGATTTTGAAAGTGCTACATGCAGAACTTCACTAAAACAATAGACCCGACATTTGGGTTTCGTGGTTTTTTGACTCGCCCTGTACTTACACAACAACGACTCACCAAAGAAAAGAAAAGTTACATCAGCAAAATATCCAAAATGTTTGCATTCTTTGTGTTGAAATATCTGTATCATTGAGGCTTCTGCCCAGAATGACATCACAGATTTGCTCATGAATTTAAAATGCGCATTGGCATAAAAATTAAAAAAGCACCCAAAATACCCTTGAAAATGGCAAAACGAAAACTGAAAATAATCTTCAATGGGACACATACGTGAATCGTCAAGGATTGCGTGAACAAAAATTGCATGGGCCCTTTAACAAGAACCAGTCCATCCAGCTAGAACAGATAGTTTGGTCATCAGGTCCAAAATGAATACAATATTTGTAAAGTGATTATTCCATAATAAAACGTGGATATCTCATTTTAAAAAATGAGGAACTTCGCTGTACAGAAATAGCAATTGATTTTTTTTTTTTAAATGTGTTTTCCCCCGGAATTTAATCACTGTAAAATTATCTCGCATTAACTACATTGCCTCTGCATTTTCCAAAAAAAAAGAAAATTCTTGGTTCTTCTCAGAACAGCTTTATAATGTAGACAAAGAAAGTGAACTTGAAAATATTGAAAATGGAAGCATCATGGAGTAAAGTACGAGTGGATTACTTGATTTATGGTATATTGCAGTAGCTGATTTGAGGGGTGGGGTGGGTTGCAACACCCAATATCCGCTGTTCAGCCCCTGGCTATTGCTATATAGCACAAGTAAATGGAGCAAAAATAGGTGGAATCTCTATGTCTGCCTTATAGAATGCATAAAGGGAAAGCATCGTTTATTTCAAAATTTCGGGGAGGGGATGACCCTGGACCCCGCTAGCAGGGCGTGCCTTCAACTCCCCCCTCCCCCCTCCCCCTTCCTGAAAGCTAGATCCGCCCCTGCACTGAGCGGTTTATGACATTAATCTACCTTTTTACCAACCATTCATAAATACCTCAGACAGTTTAGCCATTCTTATTGGTCGAGAGCCCGTCACGTGGCCGGTATTAAACGGATGATAAAGACATGGCCAGCTGGTCTTAAACACTTTTCCAGTGTCACAATAAAATGTGGACTCCTAAAAATCCAGTGCCTCTTATCGTTTCATTGGTTGAACGTTCACAATCCTCACGTAGGCATGCGCAACACTACCAGGGAGTTAGAATTTTATAGTTCTAAATTCAAAACGCAACGCGCCAGGTGCGTTCTGCGCGACATCGCATAGAACATGATACGCGCGCGTCAATCTCCATAAAAGGGTTGTTTTCATCTTACTCGCCAGCTGAACACTCCATTATTTTGCAGGAGGGATGATTCAAAAAGCATAAAGTGAATTTGTTGAACAAAATCGGGATGTTTTGAACGAATTATATGATTTTTTTTTGCCGAAAAGGTATTTATGAATGGGAATAAATATGTACTCCGTCGGTATTTATCACTCTGTTTAATACCACTTAGAGTCTGGGTGCTGATAATTACCCTCGCCTCCGGCTCGGGTAATTATCAGCACCCAGACTCTAAGTGGTATTAAACAGAGTGATAAAAACCTCCGGAGCACACATTTATTCCCTTATTAAGAGCATGAACGGTCAATTGGTTTTTGTTTACACTCCTTTCATAGGCTTCGCGAGACTAACTCAGATGCTTTTAGACGGAATCATACACTGAACGTACACCACTCAAAAATCCGTAAAATTGTGAAAACTTTCAATAGTATTCAGGTGATGGGGTGAAATTTTAACAATAGACCGATCCAGTAAGCACCGCGCCATGGTGTTCAGACCAATCACAGCCGTGATTTAGCCCCGACGTGCGTGCACAAAAGTCCGACATGCGTGCACGCGCGTATGATGCGCGCGGCAGGAAAATGCAGCGTGGCATTGGAGAGGAGCACGTGTTAATTTGCCCAGTACGCAGTGGGCGGGGCTTACTGGATCGGTCCATTATGACAACATCCACGCTATATATAAGCCGCAAATCAGCTGGCCATTTGGCTGCGCTGTACTATGCACGGCGGGCCTATTAACCAATCAGAAAGCTTGTAGCGTATTTTACGGCTTGAGACGCGCAAACTATTATTAACCAATCAAAGTTAAAGTTCCGGATGTTGAAATGAACTTCAAGCTCCGCCCAACATTCTGTGTAGAGAATCAGACAGTTTAGTTGAGCTCCGTTTTGTTCGTATGCAAATTATTCTGCTTCGTAATTAATATTCTTGATGCGGTGGCTCCGCCCACTAGCTACCAGCACAAAATCAAACACTGTCGCCATTGGCTGGATAGAGGGAGACTTTCGAACTTTAAAAGATTGCAGTCCTGTCCAGAAACGCTCAGTCTGAAAACTGCCGACTGATGACTTCCGCAAAACCAAAGCCATTGAAGTGTCGCCTACTACCCCGTGGTAAGTTTGTGTTTATTCGTTCCTCTAATTTAACGTGAGGTCCACTTATTCTTCGAACTTGAGTAATAACGTTTCTGATTTCTTAGGCTTTTTTGGTAATGTTTCTGGGGAAAAGTACGCTGTTAGGTGATGACGTCGGATCTGAGAGGTTTTTTTTTTTTTTGGAAACTAAAGTAGTTCAGAGAGTTGAAACTTTACAAAGTCAATATTATTTTTTGTAAAGCTATACAGGGTGAGTAAAATAAACGAAACCCAAATGGCAGGACCAATTTTTGAATGAAGTATTGCCTGTAGCACTTTCAAAATATAGGATATGAAAGCCCAATCAATGAACTTTCTTGTAGTACAAGAATCACTCAAATCACTCATGTACTTTTCAAGTTACGGCTTTTTGAATACAAACACCGTTTTAAAGTTCTGTCCACGGATCACAAAAAGGTAAGTGCTCTTTCAGCAAAACGAAAACACCACAATGCATCCCTATGAGAATTGTTTTCGTTGTGCTGAAAGAACACAACATTCCGTAACTTGAAAAACACACGAGTGAATTATTCTTGTACTAAAAGAAAGCTTAATTGTTGGGCTTTCATATCCTAGATTTTGAAAGTGCTTCAGGAAAAACTTCATTCCAAAATTGGTCCTGCCATTTGGGTTTGCCTTTTTTTTTACTCGCCCTGTACAATATTTTTGTGGACGTGGTACACATGAAGGTTTTGAATCACTATGAGGAATTTCCGTGACTCCCAGCCCAGTGTTGAACTTGTCTCTTTAGCGTTTTTCTAAATATTTGGTTTGGATGGGATTACAGCACACCATACTCTTTTTGATTCATATACATTCGGCTCAACTTTTACAAGTCCTATTTATTTGTTATTTACACACTTGGAGAGTGTAAATTTTTCATTGAAGTAATAATTAAAAGACCAATGGTCCAGAGATAAGTTGCAAAATTATTACGATTATTTCTAATTTAAAACGCAAAAAAATGTAATAAATATGGACAGTACAGTCAGAAAATAAGCGGGTCTTTTACCATTTCGATTAAATCCACAAATAACGTTATTGGTTATTTACAATTTTCGAAATTGCAAAAAATCACAAATCACGATTTACAAAAAGGTGTCAAAAAGTATTAGGCTTTCTATTATCACTGTTGACGTTTCTGTATCCAGTTCACAGGTGAAGTTGATATTTTAAACTCGCTGACAAGAATGCAAGCTACACTGGTTCTTGGGCTGGCCTGTACCGCCTGCTTGGTGTTCGTTGTTCCCCGATGCCAGGGCAGAACTCTGCAGGTCCTGGGTGGCTACGTGGACGTGCACGACGTCAACGGCATAGTGTTCAAGAAGAAGATCCACACTTGGGGCAGCACGGAGGTGCCAGCAGCCGGCGGTGTGTATGTCCTTAACGCCGCAAGGGGCTACTGCCACCCGGACGGGCCCACCGGTGGCAGGCACTACTGCTTCGGCAAGATTCTGGTGGCGAACGACACCGCGGCCGGCCGTAGCCACTACCAGATCGTCGGCAGCAAGACCTTCATTGCAACAGACGCTAGTATGACGAACGCGCTGGAAACGGAAGGCTGGGGGATCCAGGACAAGTCAGCCCAGACCGGCCTTCAAGATTTCGTAGTAGCCGAGGGAGAGATGTACAGCGGCAAGATCAATAACTGGGCCTACGGCAAGGCCCACTTCATCGTCAATCAGACGACCGAGGCGTCCCTGACCAACACCTTTTCGACCGAGGCCAGGAATGTGGGTAGCGAATATTGGCGCGAGCATTACAATGTCGACTTCTCCATAGCCCAGGATAGCGTCATGCATTGGGTGACCCGCTTCCGGGGCTGGTCCAGTACGTGGGGAAGCGTGTACACTGTCATCTACTGGAGAATCTACGTCTTAGTACCAAGTAAGGGCCAGGGTATAGGCGCGTTTACACCATTTAAAGTCCCAAGTCACAAATGACCCGGGTATGGGTCAGATTTGACCTGAACGGCAATTCACCTTTCTGAGTCACTTTCCCAGGCCCTTTTACCATGAAAACTGTCATTTTGACAAGAGCAAGTGTCATTTTGACCCAGAAAGGTTTCGTTTTGTCACGACAAATACTGTCACTTCAGTGACCCAGAAAAACGTCATGTTGACACGACATGTATTGTCATTCTGACCCACAAAAGCGTCATTTTGTCACGACAAATAGTGCCATTTTAACCCAGAAAGTGTCATTTTGACAATGGAAATATTGTCATTCAGACCGCAGAGAGTCAGGAAAAATCTGAACCCGATTTAGGGTCAACTCTGACCCAGGGCTTTAAAAGTTGCATGCTCCGTGCTCTTCAAAAGTTTTGGTCTCCTATTTTACATTAACAAGTTTTCTACAACCCATGATGGCTTTCATTTTTGCGCACAAAATAAAGGCCCGCCCTGCGAGAGCCGAGTATTGTCTGGCGGCCACAAATGGTGCCTGATTAATGGTCATATGTGAATGCGAGTCCGAAGTTTTGACATCACGGTCATGTTCATTTTTCGTCACGTCAAGTTTTCGTACGAATTCGCAGGAGTTGAATACATTCCAACTCGAGCGGATTTCATAGCAAATATTTCCTGATATCAAATAAACATTCATGTCATTAATTTTTTTCAAAGATATTCTCTATATATCATCATATCATCGCCGTTTTGGTGTTTGTTCCATCAACAAAAGTTTCATTTTTGGCATTTTTAACATAAATAATTACCAAAGCGCCAACCCGAAATCATGAACTTCCATTGGATACCAAAATATGCCCCCCCCCCGCCCCCCCCAAAAAAAAAATAATAATAATAATAATAAAAAAAATTAATTTTTTTGTTTACAACTTCACATTAGAATTTATGTGTTTTGAAAATGTGCACATGTAGCTTTATTTTGTGGGTGATATGGTTCATTTCAGTACCGTACCTGTGCTAGAGAGAATTGCAGACGGCGATTGATCAAGGAAAGGAGAAGAATGCGACTTGGCGGGAAAGACAAACGAATTTGGCGGGAAATCGAACGGATGGCGCGGGAAAAGGAAACAACAGCTACACTGAAAAAAATGCCCGGGTTAATTTTACCCAAGAAAGGGTGAAAACTGGAACTACCCAAACTTGGGTTGTTCTATAACCAATTGTTTGGGTTAGACTTTCTGCTAAATTCAACCAAAACTTGTGGTCATTCAAGACCAAATTGTAATTGTGACCATTCAAGACCAAAATTAACTTTCTTTTTTGGTTGAGTGTAGTTAAACTTTCTCGACTTTGTTTCGCAGTTCTTTACCCGCACGGGATCCATAAGCCATAAATGATGGACACTAATGGACTCCAAATCCATATTTTTCTTTATTTGCCATTAATTTTGCCAACTGTTAGTTTTTTTTAACGATTATTGATCGTAATGCGTCGCTTGATTAAGCCCCGCATGTTTAGTGAAACACACAAACACAATAAAACTGGTATTATGAATTCAAATAGCATAGACTTTGTATTTTCAGACCTTCAAAACTTCATACCCCTCCGATGCATAAGCCATAAATGGTTTTTAGAGGACTCCAAATCAATGTGTTTTTTTTGTGTTAATTTACCGTTGAGCAACATGTTTTACTTTTTATGATTATTGATCGTAACGTGTTGCTTTATATTAAGCCGTGCACGTGCTTTAAAACCTCCATTTGGAATAAACAAACACAAAAAACTGGTAAATGAAAATATAAATTTAAGTAGGCCTAGGCCTATAGTGCTCACCAGAATTTGAATCCGAATTTTCGGACGTCTTGTCTTTCTTCAGGGTGTAAGGTTGCAACCTTATAGTTAAATTTATATTTTCATTTACCTCAGTTTATTAGTTATCTAAGAACTGTTCTCCCTGGGGGCCCTTGAATTCCATTGTGAACCATTAGTATAAAATGAAGTTTTTGTGGGATATGGGCTCCGTGCGCCAATAAAGAGGGCGCCATTTTACCTAGCAACGACGTCCCATGGGCGGGACATTTAGCTGGTTGACGCGCACCGTTCCTTGTGTGTGACGCACGTACACCAGGGGATTTGTAGTATGTACATTCAGTGGTACATGGTACGGCCGTGCGTACGCGTCGCGGCAAAATTGCAGTCAGGCAAGATGGCGTTGGTCGGTCACCCCAACTGTGCTTTCTTTGCCGGTGAGGGGGAACTTGTGAACGGAGCGGATAGACCTTGTGTTTTCAGACCTTCATGCCCTTCTAATGCATTTTGTATTTGGTTTTTAACATAAATATGATAGCACATACTACACTGCATTACATTGTGCATGGGAAAATCGCGGCCCGCTGAGCTGTGTCGCATTTGGCACTGCGTCGACAGAGGGCGTGTCCTTTTGTCGTTTGTTCAAGAAGACGACGAGTATCAGAACAAGCAGTGCTGCTACGAAGATGCCTCCAGCTGTAATGAAAGCTGCTGTGTAGTTGCCTGTCAGGTCGTGGATTTTACCTGAAGCACAAGAGAGATAGAAATACATCATGATTATCTCCAGCTCGCGTGCGCGGTTATTAAAGGGCATTTATCTTTAGGTCAAAGATTACACACCCCTCCCCCTCCCCTTTCAGGCATCGGGTTATAGGCCATGCACCATCTTACTTTATACCAACGAGCAATGAACCGATCCACTAAGCACCGCCCCATGTTATTCTGGCCAATCACAGCCGTGATTTATGTCCGACATGCGTGCACAAAAGTCCGACATGCGTGCACGCGCGTATGATGCGCGCGGCAGGAAAATGCAGTGTGGCCATTGATATGGAGATCAATGAGTGTGGCATTGGAGAGGAGCGCGTGTTAATTTGCCCACGTGCGCAGTGGGAGGGGCTTACTGGATCGGTCCATTACCGACGAGCAACTGACGGGCAGCAAAAACACTTAAGCATCTTGCTCATGCTATTTTGCAATCAGTTTATGTCAACACTGTCTTTCACACCAGTCGCATCTCGTCAGTGTAGAGGAGAACAACTTGCTAATAGGTGGTGGCATCGCATGACCATATTCAATTCGTAAATGTGATTTCGTATATTTCCTGAAGGTTCCTGACCTTTTTTTATTTTTCTTGAATCTTTGACCAGTAGGCAACAATTTTATTAAGACTTCCCTACAATCGTAGTGGGTAACATTTTACCTGCAGCCACTGAGCCGGTTCCATGGGCAAAACTGAGTGTTGCCACGGTCCAGCTCATGGTCAACGGGATCTCAGCCTCACGAACAAGTTTCTTGATGTTGGCGACGAGGAGGGGAGAGGCGATTCCGAGGGACGCGCCCAGCAGGACGGCGTACCCGACCAGGAAGCCGTACGAGTCCGAGACAGGGTTCAAGAAGGTCGCCAGTGCGGCTCCGGCCAGCGTGCCGAACTGGAGCCTGAAGCCGCCCATACCCACGAGGCCGCAAACTACCAACCAGCCGTGCAAGACCCGCGTGGACATCGCCACGGCGGCGAAGACCGTGAGCAGGACCGCACCTTGGTTCTCAGACCAACCGGCCTCCGTGGCCCTGGACGGTAGGTGGGATAAGTTCATTATCCATCCCATTGAGTAGAGAAAAAGTACGATGAGACTCAGTGAAAACGAGACGTTGGTGAAGTTTCTCAGATATGCGAAGGCCTCCTTCAAAGCACTCCGTATTTCTGTTCCTTTGTTCTCTGTCCCCTGGTTCTCCGTTCTTGCCACTCCTCCACTGTACATTACCTCCATCTCGAGACTGGTAGTCTGACCTGGTTCCGTGTCTGACTTGGTCTTCAGTGGACGGAAGAGGGCGCAAGCGGCTATTGAATTCAGTTGAATGGCTCCAATGACAAACATGGCGCCCCTCCATCCGTAGATGGCGATCAGGAGTCGAATCAGCGGCGGGAAAACCATCTGGCCCACGCTCACACCAACGATGCACAGACCATTAGCAAAGGTGTAGCGTTTCTTGAAATAGCGAGTCAGCATGATTAAACCTGGTGGCACAATCATCGCCATAGCTATACCTATCGAGGGTAAGATACAACAAAACAAAATTCTGGACTTAAATATAATAGAAAGCAAGTTCCAGCGAGAACTTGGTCATGTATATTGATGTGTACATACGACGAGTAATGTCAGTATAGCCTCGCTGGTTACAACAGGCACGTGCGCTATAATGTACAGTAGTCGATGTTAGTGCGCAGGCGTAAGTTACATCACTGGTTAACCACAAGTCGACGCTTGGTCTTCGATCGAACTTCTAATTCACTACATAAGTCGAAAAAGGAAAACCCAAATGGTGCCCCCTATTTTTTAAAGAATATCAGCATGTAGCGCTTTCCAGATCTAGGATATGAAAGCCCAATGAATAATCTTTCTTTTTTAGTGAAACAATCATTCAAACTGCCCATTACGTTTTAAAACCATGAAACCTTTCAACTCTTGAAATCTCTCCTACCTGACAATATACCACAAAGGTAGAGCTGCCACAGCTCATTGGCCAACGAGCCCAGAATCGTCGAGAGTCCGTTCAGCGCGCCCCCGACCATGGATACACGACGGATGCCGAGTCGCGGAGCTAGGACACCCATGATTGGACCTGGGGATACGACGGAGCAAATTCAATTTGATATTTAACGAAAACTGCCTGGGCTGGGACGAATTGGGACGAATTGCATTGAGCTGCTTAGCTGGGGTGAAATTAATGTACATTCTTGGGGAATTTGTGTTCTATATAAACACAGTTTAGGTGAGAGCCAATCCTACACAGCGTCAGTTTGGCTGAGAACCAGTTTGTAATAACTACATGACACTATATGTGCTGTGCAAATATCTGTTCATTGGAGCCCCATGAAATTGCTAAGGCCCGGTTGACTTACTAAACGGGGCAGCGGCTAACCAGGGTAGGCTGAGTAGCCAGCTGCTTGCAGTGGCCGAGGTGTCGAAGTATTCCTTCCATGCGATGTAGAAGACTCCAAGCGCTGAGAAGTAGCCGAGGTTGAACACATGTCCCAGGTGGGCTCCCAGGCAAACCATCCACGCCCAGCCGTGGTCCACTCCTGGGATGGGTGGGTCTTGATCCTGGTCCGACTCCTGGCCAGCCCTGCGGTACCGTGACCACCCCCGTCTCAGCTTCATTCTGTGGGAAGTTCGAGAGGCTCTTCAACATTGAAAGTGAGACTTCAAGAGTGGGACCTGTGTTTGCTTCGAGTCTAGTACATGAAGATCTCATCCGTTCTGATGGCCGGGCAGAGTTGCAACCAGGTCATCATAAGTCAGTCACAAGTTAAAAACCCAAGAAAATCAGACGTCTTCACAGGTGAACACAAGTCTTCACAGTCTAAGTAGGGTCTATATTCTTGCTCATAGTCACTATAGTACATAAACGTCTTATCCTTTCCACTGGCTGCGCTATTTGTCACTGACAGCGGCTAGAGTTGCAATCGGGTCAGTATCTCAAGTCCATCACAAGTCAATCACAAGTAATCACGCGTCTTCACAAGCCATTCTCAAGTCGATCACAACTCATCAGAGGTCATTTACATGTCAGTCACAAGTCTTCAAAAGTCAACCCCAAGTCACTCACAAGTCTTCACAAGTCAAAATCCACCTCAGAACATTAACACCCACAAGTCAATCACAAGTCAGTCACAGGTCAGTCACACGTCAATCACAAGTCAATCACAAGTCAATCACAAGTCAATCACAAGTCCAATCACAAGTCAATCACAAGTCAATCACAAGTCCATCACAAGTCCATCACAAGTCAATCACAAGGCAATCACAAGTCAGTCACAAGTCAATCACATTAATCTTCACATGTCAATCACAAGTCTTCACAAGTCATCCACAGATAATTCCGTGAAGCAGTACTAGTACAAGTCATGAAATCACTTGTCTATCGTACGTCATCCATTGTTACAGATTGACATGAAAAGAAATTCAAAATGTCAATCCAAAAGAAGTTTCGCATGGTTTCTCTTTGACGATTATATCGGTTATTAAGATTATGATCCTAGTATATCTCATCATTAAATGTTAATGATTATATCTTGCCAATTGTTCCCTTCTATACAGCTTCAGATTGTGAATACATTACAAAATGCAATTGATCAATTCCCGAGGTTTTTGAGATTTTGTATGCGTCAATGGGAGTGAGGTACGTTGGAATGCTGCAGGTGGTTCTTTATAGTTCTTCGCCTTTCTATGGCCCTGGTTCGATTCCTGCCATGGTCCACACGTGGTTGGGTTTTCAGTCCCTAACTGATGTGTTTTCCCAAATTATTCTTTTGGGGGTTTCTCCCACATTTAAAACTGTAATGTCTTCATTGTCTCCTCTCTACAGGTTTCTTCAGTGCCTATAGTATGGCGCGCTTTGAGCAATGTCTCATTATACCAGTAATAAATAATAATCACTACAGGGTGATTAAAAAAAAGCGAAACCCAATTGTCGGACAATTGTTTAAGTGAAGTTCTACATGTAGCACTTTCAAAATCTAGGATATGAAAGCTCAATTCATATGCTTTCTTTTAGTACAAGAATCATTCAAATCACTCATGCAATTTTCAAGCTACGGAATTTTAAACACAAACACCGTTTTAAACTTGTCCACAAAAAGGTTACTGTTCTTTCAGCAAAACGAAAACAATTCACACATAGGGCTGCATGTGAATTGTTAAAACCAAGAAGTTTAAAACGGTGTTTGTCTTTAAAATTCCGTAGCTTGAAAAGTGCATGAGTGATTTGAATGATTTTTACACTAAAACTAGTAAAAGAAAGCTTATGAAATGGGCTTTTATATCCTAGATATTAAACGTGCTACATGCAGAACGTCACTCAAAAAATGGTCCCGACATTTGGGTTTCGGTTTTTTTTAATCACCATGTACAGCATAATTATACGCAGGTCGCGCCTACCTTTTATGTCTATAGTCACGCTAGTTATTTTATGTATGCTTCATAATTTATGCACATGGGCTTAATATAACATTATCATAATGACTCACACTCACTACAGTCGGCGAATGTACAGTTTGTGTAAGCGATAACAAGCCAGCCATGAATAATTAGTTCCACATGCTGATCTACGTTCACCTACCTCGTTCAGGATTGAGTGTATGAACACGTAGTGTAGCATTCCACACAACGTGCATATCTCCCGTACAACCGTCTAGTTCTATCCGTCCGCGAATCCAACAATGAACTTGGCAGGGTCGGCATGACTGACGCGTATGCTATGCCAAGCACGACGTGGTGCACAATCGTCGACAGGCAAAATGCACGATGACGATTATTAATGCATGAAGGCCATGTCCACAGATGCGGTAACATCATAATTGTAACATCAAGGCAAGAGTCAATAGGCACTTACTTATTCCGTAGCAGCCATAGAGAATAGTTCAAAGTACCGTTAATAACATGTGAAGGTTGTTAATATACGGCTTGACATACGGTGCCTAAGCATATTACACCTTTCATATATCATCAGTCCACTCTTGCTTATGATAAAAGTGTGTGGATAGAGGGCGCACTGCACTGACAAGTTGTTTTGATTTTGAGTACAGTCTTGCTCATCAACAACAAAAACCATTAATAGCAGTAAAAATGGGCACTTTTTATGCTAAAAAAATCCTTACAGGCAGCATTTCAGGGTGTTTGTGGGGGTTGGGGGATGTTAGTCGGCAGACGAGCGGGGGAGCCTGGGGCTGTACACATACATGTATATATAAAAATTAAAAATAAAACTCCAGAGACGTGACTGAGAAAAAAATGCTGAATTTCATTTTATCGATCATCGGGAGTTGATTAAACACAATTAAGGGAACAAATTTAACTTTTGGTGAAAAAATGAAATGTAAAACTCCCTCCAGGAATATAGGCGATTCCCAATACATTGCGTCACCTAGAGTTTGCTACGCGCACGGAGAGTTCCTTTTTTTTTCAACTTTACGGTGGACAAAAACATAGCTGACTTGCCGCGAATTGAACGAATGTCAGTAGACAACTTGTGGAAACTTTTGATAGTTTGGGGCATAACATTGTTCCGCCTCACAAAAAAACATCTTGATAAAATGAAAAGATAATTTAAAGTGTCCCACACTGGTGAATTTTTGTCTACCCAAGCTCCCCAATGCACTGCGAAAAATGGAGTCTTCGTTGCAACCTCTTGGTGGCGAAATGTATGTGTCCCGCCCATGGGACGTCGTTGCTAGGTAACAGGGCGCCCTCTTTGTTGGCGCACGGAGCCCATAAGAACTTATTCCGAATCAGGCGACATGTTATTTTAGTCGTTTCACGTGATACGTTTCAAGCATACGCATCATGGTCATTGACCGTACTTGGTTTACTGTACTGGTTTGCTCGCGAAGTACGCACGACTTCCTGAATATGTTCAAATTCAACTTGCGATGGCCTCAGAGACTAATCCCTGCCTCGAATAACTTTGGATACATTCGAAATACGCAGTGGATGGAGCGGGAACCAGTCTAGGTCACCCCCAAACTAGTCTCCTTTTCTGGCCATTGATGGGGTACTTGTGCACGGAGCCCATAGCACCGCGCGGTACTACATTTGGTATTTTCTAGAGTTTCTTGTCAAATACCATGGCAAAATATTACAGGAAATTTGTCATTGCAATACAATGTGTTAGTCTTAAGTTCCCGTTTTCACAATAACTGTGTTTACATCTCGAACGGCCAGACGTCGGAGCGCGGTGAGCAGTGTTTGTGTAGCGCGCCCTCTTTTGTAAGAAATTGTTGCGTGGGGATAAAATACGGAGTGTCCTTCATACTGCAATTTCCTTAAATTATATTACATTCATTCTTCGGCGGTTCCTGTCAATTTTCCAGAGTTTCGTGTCAAATACCATGGCAAAATATTACAGGAAATTGCATTGCAATAAAATGTGTTTATCTTGAGTTCCCGTTTTCACAATACATCTCGAATGGCCAGACGTCGGTGCGCGGTGAGCAATGTTCGTGTAGCGCGCCCGCTTTTTGAAGAAAAGAAATGTTCCATGACGAGAAAATACCGAGTGTCCTTACAGTTGTGTTAAAATTCCCATAGACACTAGTGCTAAATGCCCATACTTGTAAATTCTTTTTAAAATACTCAGAACTCTCACATGTATTTAAGCTGCACAGAGAAATGGCGATCAATATGTGATCTTTTATTTTCCTTTCAATTTTTGGTGGGCGTAATTTCATCTGGAATTTCCCACTTCACGTAAATATCATAATGCCAGTGAGATATTCTAAACAACTAGCGGGATTCCTGCTCAAATAATGTTATTGGAGTCCAGCCCTTTTCTTTAATGACCGAATTAATGCGAGATAAATAATTGATAAACTCCCCCTCCTAAATAACCTCTAGGCTCCGCCCGTGAAAGCCTCGTACGTGCATGTTTCCACGGGGCGGTATTTCGTTCCACTGCGTCGATTACTCAGAATCGATACCATGAGGTTTTTCGCTGGTATCCAAATAAACCATTGGAGTAAATATACTCACAGACCACCAACCACATGCGACATACATGCGCGCACATGAGAATTTCCGTACTGCAGCATATGCGTGCTTTGTGGGGAAGTTAAGTGATATTTTTGCGCAATAATACGCAATATCAACAATTATTTGTTGCAGGTATTTCTAGTTTCTGTTCGTGTCTCAAGAGGACGTGACTGAGTAATTTGGTTAACTGAAAGATGCCGAAAAATAAAGGTAACGGTGTTTTAAAATGTCATCAGGCCTAGGCCTACCCATTTTTTTCCTTCACTATTTTGATTGCGCTTGCAAACCATGCAAACATGCAAACCGTGTTATAACATGGTTAGGATGGTTGACAAATGCATTGACATGATTGATTGTTATTTCTTTATTTTGGGAAATCGTGTAAAGAAATTGTCATTTTGTTTTAACTATTTACTAATATATGCTGTAAAATAACATTGACTGTCAGTGTCAATTTCACGGTCGGTGACTGACGGTCCACTTATGAGACGTGTGTAGGCACTACACCTTTTCAGAAATTTTACAGTGACCATGTTTGTCTTTTTTTACATTTTGTTTATTTATTTTGTTGTAGGCCTTCAAAAGTTATTTTTAACAGTCATTAACAGTGTTTAAAGACACATTTTGTTTTTGTTCTTTCATCCTGTTCATTTGACATGTATGATGTTTTCTTCTGTTTCGTCAGAAGACGTTCAATTTCTTTTGATCATGTACCATAACAACTTGTTCATGAAATTCTTCATCATGTTCATTAAATATTTCTCATGATGCAATTCAAATGAGTATTGCACAATTAAGATATTTTCATATTTTCATTGAGTGGATTCTAATTTTTGTTTTTTTTACCAGGAAAGGGAGGTAAGAACCGCAGGAGAGGAAAGAACGAGAACGAATCGGAGAAGCGAGAGCTGGTCTTCAAAGAGGATGGACAAGGTATTAACGGAGGAATGCAGAAGGCATTGTACCCCCACAATTAAGAGGCCATTGTGTAGTTTTTGGTCCTTAAAACACTTCAGGCCTATCCTTTGTACCATATTTGTAATAGTCACAAACCCTCCTTTTGTTTGATCAGTCAAAGACAGTCAACAATTAAACCTGTTCCCCTGCTATGCCTTTGACATGGGCTAATCACCAACAGTCAGATCATATTTTTTGTATGCACTGTGACAGTCAAATTCCATCAACAGACAAAAGCAGGTGACTGGTAGGCACAGCTGGCTTATCAATCTGCTACTTTCAAAGCATAGCAGGTTTCATAACAATCACAGCCAGTCAATCCTGCTTTATGAAGGCAGGGAGCACTCAACTGTTGAAAACAGTCACTTGATTTTATTTGGACTGCTGGGCTGGCCTTGTTAAAATTGCCAGCCAGAGAGAAAGGGTTGGTGTTTCTGTCAAATAGTGAAATTTTGTCATTGTTTTCACACTTTCTAGAATATGCACAAGTAATGAAGATGTTGGGGAACGGAAGGTTGAAGGCGCTGTGCCTGGATGGAGTAGAGAGATTATGTCACATCAGAGGAAAGCTACGGAAAAAGGTACATTAACCACGTCATCGCTGACAAGAAGATCAGATTATTGCTCCAAATTGCCTTCTTAACCCTGCTTCCTTAATCCTTCAAAATCCTCTTTGCCAAAGTGGAGGAATTTGGAGGATTGAGGTTACATGGCAAAAGTGCGTAACTGATTTTGTGGGATGCGATTCGTCAAGGTCTCAGGCTGGACCTTGTGTTGTTTTTGCTCAGCCATGCATAAATATAGGCCTGGGTTATGCTTGAAATCCTCCGTACTGCTCCAGGATGTCACTGGCCAAGCCTCAACACATAGACAGTCACTGCCACAGGAGTTTGCAGGATTCGGGCAGTGGTCGCCCCGCCACGGACCATATTCAAGACATAATGGAGGAATTTGCAGGATTGAGGCTATATGCTATTTTTCCATGAGGCCAGTTGGAGGATTTTGCAGGATTGAGGCTACATCCTAGCAAAAAGGCCTAGGGAGTTAGGGTTAATCCTCTGTATAATTTAAGGTACTAAGTCAAGATTTCATGAGAATGGCGAAAGTTGATTTTAATCTCCATCACGTTACCACTACGGCTTCTTCTAGGAACAGATTAGCCATTGTGATTAAATTGAATAGAAATGTTTTTGCACATCTGGGCGTAGCATTTCTTGGTTTGCTTTATCTGTCAGTATGGTGTTTTACCCTTCACCGACAAAATATCATTAACACTGTATACTCAGCGTTGTCACAGGCCTTGCGAGAAACATTTCACGAGCTTACTAGGGTAGGCCTGGAACCCGCGACCTCCTTCTTACTAGTGCAGACGTCTTACCACTCAACATCGAAGTTGCTAAATGCAGGGTCGGTTGGCTGATATGAGTCCGATGTAGCAGTGGGTACTGCAACCAATCTTTATATGATAATTGCGGCGGGGAGATGTGAATACGGTCTCTGGTTTTGCCCTTCACCGACAAAATTTCATAAACGCTGTACACCCAGTGTTGTCCAAGGAAGTAAAGAAAAATACTCTGATTGGCTCTTTTCAGGTATGGATCAACCAAGGCGACATCATCCTACTCGGCCTAAGGGATTACCAAGACGACAAAGCCGACGTCATCCTCAAGTACAACCCAGACGAGGCGCGCAACCTGAAGGAGTTTGGCGAGCTGCCAGAGAGTTACAAGATCAACGACACGACGGCGTTTGGACCGAACGAGGACGATGACGACATCCAGTTTGGAGATATCGAGAGGGTAAGTAACTGATTCTCATTTTCTTCAGCAGTTGTCTGGATGTTTGGAAATTTTCTGCCGTTGCACAGATTTCTTGGAAAAAAAACAAATTAAAAATGTGATCAAATAAACCGCAATAGGGAACTAACTTGATGATGCATGTAGTTATAAAGTTGAACAAAGAACTTGACTGGAGCAGGGTTTGAACTTGCGACCTCCAGGTTACCGTACTGGCGCTCTACCAACTGAGCTAAATTAATTTTTTGAATCCCGGAATCACTAATTGAGTCAGTCGCAAGTCGCAACGAGTCAGTCATTGGTCGTCCACTCTCAAGTCACAAGCTATTCAAATGAACTGTGATGAAGGATTCTTTTGTTGGTATTCTACCCTGTAACTTGTGATTGCTTATGATTGACTTGTGATTGACTTGTGATTGCTAATGATTGACTTGTGAATGATTTGTGATTGACTTTCGATTGATTTGTGATTTGACGTTCAATTGACTTGTGATTGACTTGTGACTGACTTGTGATTGACTTGTCATTGGCTTGTGATTGACTTGTGATTAACTTGTGATTGGCTTGTGATTGACTTGTGATTGACATGTGATTGACTTGTGATCGACTTGTGATTGATTTGTGATTGACTTGCGATTGACTTGTGATTGACTTGTGATTTGACTTGTGATTGACTTTTGATATGACTTGTGATTGGCTTGTGATTGATTTGTGATTGTTTGTGATATGACTTGTGATTGATTTGTGATTGACTTGTGATTGATTTGTGATTGACTTGTGATTGATTTGTGATTGATTTGTGATTGACTTGTGATTGATTTGTGATTGACATGTGATTGATTTGTGATTGATTTGTGATTGACAAGTAATTGGCTTGTGATTAACTTATGTTTGACTTTTCATGGACTTGTGATTCAACTTGTGATTTGATGTACAATTGACTTGTGACTGACTTGTGTTTTACTTGTGACGGCTTGTGATTGACTTGTGATTTGTTTTGTGATTTGTTTTTTGATTGACTTGTGATCCAACCTGTGATTTTTTAAACTCTGCTTGCTTCAAGACAATAGCACCTTTGAAATACTGACCTCTTTGTTTTCTTTTTCTTTTTTCCCAAATCATCACAGGTCTGAAGGGGGGTACCACGTGGATGAAATGGGTGCTGTAAGATTTGTAAATTAACAAATTTTCTCAAAAAAAGACGGCTCTGCCAGAAAACACATTAAGTGAATTCCAGCCCTCACATTTTTTTTCTGTTGATTTCTGGATTTTTTGCAAGAATGGAGTCTATCAAACCCTTGTCCCAACCAGAGCTGAAATTTCCTAGGTTAAAGCGCCAGACCCGTTTAGAAGACGTGTTGGATACTTGCTCGACGTGGGCCCAACATGGAGATTTCTAGGGGTGTGCATTAGAACTGGGTACCGCGGATGTCAGAAACCGGTTCCAGATTATGGGATCGGGCTCCCGCAACCAACTTTTCAAATTACTAAGTAACTTCTCAGACAACGATAAAGAAAGCTTCTGAATGTCGTTTTATGGGGAATTTTCAAAATGAAAACCAGGCTACATGGAAAACCAAAACGGATGTTGCATTTATGTGCGTTTTAAATCTGCGACAGATGACGCTCGGCTGGCGAAAATTGCAGTTTACATGGCAAAGTTATAATGCCGTTCAGACAACTTCCGGGATTTGAATTTTGGGGTTGGGTTTCTTATACGGATACCTGGCTACCCGTGTTTTACTTCTATAGGGGACCTAGAGCCCATACTACCCTTAAATGCACACCACTAGAAAATTTAAATAGTGTGTAAGAGCCTCATTATGACGGGCAGAGCATACTTTTTGAAATTTGGGGAAAAAAGCTCACATCTCTGGTACTTCTTGGAACAACCTCGCTTTGAGAGTCACTTCTCATAGTTTAACAGCAAATTATCTCCCCAGTTTTACTTTTGATCATTCAAAAATCTCCAATCTCTGATATGTCCCGTTTGTATGTGTGAGGCCTGAATGAAAAAAAATATGTACATTTAATGTTGGTTATTCACTTAGTGTGTTTCCCATGCACAAAGTGCACTCATTTATGTATGTATATGTATACTCCAGCTATGCTGTATTAAAAGCTCCGAAAATAATAATAATAATAAAACCAGGCTGTTTTATTCCGTGCAATTTGTTTGTATTTGACAAAACTGTGTCTTACAAAAACAAAAGTCTTAAAAACAATAGAAATATGTCTTTTTGAAAAGGCCACAAAGTGAACATCCGACTTTTCGCTCTGCACACCAGGTATTTGTGAATGCTAGAAGTTCTTATTTTCCTTGAGCAGAAACTAACAAATTCTAGTTGGAAAAAAAAAAAAACCAGCAACAGCCTTTGTAGCCCATGGTTGTTTTTCTGTGGCAGTATTTGAAGTGTAGTGTGCCCACTAAAAGCGTAACTTGGTCAAAGTGGGTACATGTACATTTTTGGACTTATGCACACGCTCGTACATAAACTTCTTGTGAGACCGATAAAATGAAAAATGGACTGAAAACGGCAGAAATATCTTCATCACATTTGGGAGGGGGACAGGAATTGGACTTTATTCCCCTTTTATATACAGCTGTTCCGTGACAAGCGAGGTCACTTTCAACAAGATGAACTTGAATCAAATTCGGTCTTGGCAATGAGGTACCCTCGGAATGTCCCGGGTAGCACTGCCAATATTACCAAGGCTAGATGCGATTCATCTGGTTGTACAGACCTACACAGCCGCGGCGCGGGACTGGTTGCAAAATGGAGGAATAAAATGACCAACCAAGATTGGATACCAACAGCTTGGAAAAATTTTAGGGGGGAGGGGAGAGCCACTTGGATCTTTTGGGGCACTGTTCAAATCCTTATTTGGGAAAGAATGTTGCAACCTGACCGTCTGCTTTTTTCTTCATATGTCATCTCAATGAAGGTCAGTCAATGCAAAAAAGATAAGACATGAATCTGGGACTGAGAAACATTTCCAATTTTGTTAAGTTCTTGACTCTCCATAGACTTTGTACACAACGGCTGAAGTAGTGTCGGGTTGCAACACTCTTTCCGTAATTTGTATTAAATCTTTGCCCACTCGCTTAGCTTCAAAACAGCAGCAAGCAGTGGCACAAATATAAACAACGCACCTGCTACAGTGGGCATTTGATTAATATGCTTGGTGTTAAAGTAGCGCAGTGCTTAACATTTATAGCACAAGTTATTGCTGCGACTAACTTGGCTCAGATGGTTGGCGAAATAACTATCAAGCATTTCCATGAGATTGAGCCATTTTTGTTGCACATAACTATCCTTTTTTACGTGTGATTATTGTCTTGTTTTGGTTTTTTTGTTATGGATTTTTTCTTTTTTTCGCGGTCATAGTTATGAGCTTCCACAAATTGAAGCTGTGCCTGTATATGGGTCATATTAAGTTAGTTTGAGATAGGTGTACAGAATAAGTGTTCATAGAATCATGGTAATTTTTGTGGATTTTTCTTGTAAAATCTTGTATCGCACTGCACTTTTCCTAATAAATCATGATTTTTTTTTTCAAGATTATTCTATTCATTTTCACATCCAGAAAACCATTTATTATTATAAAGCCTGTATCTTTTCTTTCAAAATTAAAAAAAAGGAGAAAGCATTGTATTTGTAGAAAGTTGTTAAGCATTAATTTGTTGCTTTGACAAAGACTGCTAAAATCTGGAATAGAAAGTCGTACCCACTTTTTGTAATATAAATTTGTTTGAAATTGTAACCATTGGCCTAAGCCTCAAAACGCAGCTGTGAAGCTTCGTTGGTTGCACGCAAAATTTGACTTTTTGACTCCCAAAAAATGACGGCTCATCTATGGACAAGGTGCATATGAAGCTATCCACGATACGTACTACGACTAGGACCAAACCATTTTGGGGGGTTATTTTTCATAGTCTGTGGAAATTTGTATGCACTGAACATAATTTCAACCATCCTCTGAAAATGTTTAAAGCTAAATGTGCATAATTCTGCTCAAAAATCATTAAGTGCTTGTGTATAAAATTTAAAAAAAGTGTACTCATTTCAGTGAAGAGAAAATGTCATTTTTTGGGGGGCAAAATTTGTTTTCCGATTTTTGATGCCGTGTCTTTTTTCACATTCTTTTTGAATGGCAGATAGCAGAGCTTGTTAAATATTTTGTCTGTTCTATAGCATGCTTTAAATATATTTCAAGCTTTGACTTGTTTATGGATGTACATGTAGCTCAAACAGAGAAACTATCAATCAAAAAAAACTTTGGATGAGGATATTTTGATATTTGAAGAAAAGGGTGGGGGCAGCCATATTTTCTTAGAACTAGAATTTGTAACTGTTTAGAAGACTTAGACTTTTTAAGGGTGCCCATGTACTTGGGTAACTTTTCATTCGAAGAAGAATTAAACAAGCTTGATTTGTTTATGGTATGTAATTTCTAGTGTCAAAAAATATATATATGCACTCGTTCCCTTTTTTTGGCCTTTCACAAGTGCATGAGCTCATGCAGTTTAGGCCATCAGCCCAGGGGTTTGGTCAGTATCAAATCAGGGCATAAATGATTATAGTGCGCATGTGCAAGGTATACTGCCCCTAGAGTGGTAACAAGCATTGTGATGGACATTTTGAAAAAAAAACCGGTGATAACACCTAAAAAGCTGCCACTGCTGCAATGCTATCACATTTTTTCCCACTCTGGAGGTGTATACCTTTCCAAAAATCGCTGACGATTGTTCCCCTCATTTGATACCAGTTGCCAAAATTTTGGACCGAGGCTGATGGCCTAGTTATTTAATTTAAATTGTGAATTTCTCTTGCGAATTAAAAGTTGGAATAGTATACAATTTTCATTAATTTGTAAAGTATGGTTTTGTTTTTTTCATTTTCAGTTGTGAATCGGTGAAGATGGTCAATTCTTGTAAATATAAAATTTCACTTATCATCTTTAAGACAAATCCAGGGACGTGATCACGGTACATACACGAGGCCCCCGCCAATGGAGAAACCATTATGCTAGCTATTGTACAAAGCAACTGCCCGTGATGGATTATCTGAACAATAGCTAGCACAATGCTTTCGCCATTGAAGGGGGCCTTCGTGATAAAATTGATAGGGTGCCCGGATTGGCCTAATCATGTACTTTCTCCTCTTGGCAGATATTTCAAAATCAGTCTCTGTACTGATGACGTCACACCTTGTTTACACGTGTGCTTTCTTAAGGGAGCTTAGTGGGGACGACAGTTTGGTTGCCTCATCGAAAAGCGCCACGTAAACAAAGTGTGACGTCATCGGTACAGAGGCTTATTTAGAACACAGAAATTGACTGCGTAATTTTCAAATAAAAACTCTTGTGATATTGCCAATATGTTGATACTGCCCTTACTTATTAGCAATGCTAATATTAGGACAAGATAAGTTTGCGGGAGCACCATGTGAATAAATCTCTTTTGTGAGTATGTGTGGTTCTGAAAAGAACCGGAGGGACTCAGCGTTTCGAACAGTATGCTCTGCCCATGCTCTGCCATTCTCCTGACGACGGGCAGAGCATACTGTTCGAAACGTGGAGTCCCTCTGGTTCTTTTCAGAACCACACATACTCACAAAAGAGATTTATTCACATGGTGCTACCGCAAACTTATCTTGTCCTAGTATCTTTCCACCATGCAAACCTTGAAATCTCAATGCTAATATTGATGACTAAAATATGTTTTACATTTTGAGCATATATGTATGCGCCAATATTTTACGTCATGCATATTCATCACTAAGGCCTTATACAGTTGCTGATTGTGTATTTCTCATTTTTGTGTTTGCTATACTGAAAAGTGTACTATCGACAATAAGCTATTGCAGTGTACTTGGAAATTTCTTCTTTTCAAAACTTTTTTACCCAAAAAAGTTTTATTATTGAATGAAGAAGAAAAAAAATACACAAAAAAAAGAAGAAAGAAGAAACAAATCATCGTTTTCAATCTTTATTTTAAAAAAAAGTTTCAAAAATATCAAGTTAAAGTTGTTGCTTATGTTACATCATCAAACAGAACAAGTCATAGCAAACTAGCCAGACCTCAAAAGTGTCGCACCCCTCAAGAATGTTTACTTAATATGATAAATATAGTCTACTTTGACCATTGCGACTAAACAAAGCAGTTGAAGTGTTGAAAATAACTCCATAACTTATCCTCGACAGTTTCTCATGTGTACATACTCAATTTAGAAAAATGACCAAATATGGGAATACGTCTCGTAAGTTTAGCAAGAAACGGTCTCCAAATCTGAACGGCGCGATGTTGAGCTGGGATAATCTTGTTGCATGGGTCAGCGAATTCGGTCCCATCTCCACACAGAGCTGTTGTCGCACACACCGATGATGACCGTTCCGTCTCGCGACAGGCTCGTCTGTCGGATGGCAGACAGGCACTTGGGATGAGTTAACTTGGTGCACCTAGAGCACGGAATAGGAGAAAGTGCATCGCTGTTTTCAGTATCCTTTTAATGATGAGAAGTCGTATTATAATCATCCTCGCAGTTTTCATGAGGAGACAAGTGTAACATCCCTTTCCATACTAAATTTTGCCAAGATTAGTTGTTTAAAGGGAATGTACATCATTGGCTTTTGCTGTAATTGTCAGAAATGAACTATTTGAGGGGTTAGTATAATAGATCAAATATTGTTACACTGACATGTTTGAAGTTTTGTGTTTGAAAATGCTGGAAAAACCAAGACAAACCAAAAATGTTCAAGTAGTCTGGTTCCCTGACTCCACTAAAGATGAAATGGATCAATTTATAGATGCCGGAAAATTGTAAGGTAAGGGAACCAGTCTAGCTGGTCTGCAGACGTTCATGAACATGTAACCAATAGCAAACAAAATTTGGACTGAAACAAAATGGTAAATTTAGAGCAGTAGTTGAAAAATAGTTAGGTTTTTCCAACGGTGGTCGGCCGACCACCCTTGGAAATTTATACAAAAATACCACTTTTCTTGAAAATGACTTCACACTAGGTGCCATAATTTTACAGGATGCTTTAGACTGTCTTTACCAACATCCTAGTAAGGTATTTGGTAAAAATTTGGTTGTTTTGTTTTTCGATGTTTGCAAATGTTGTATACTCCCTTTAATTTAGATGCGACACTTTTTTTAAACAGTAGCAGCATTTTTTAAATGGAACCTGTACTGTCACACATGCAATCGGGAAAAAGTTTCTTACAACCAAACTCTTGAGGGCGCTCTGACCATACCATTTTTTTAAAACTCTTGAGGGCACTTTGCCATACTTAGTCAATTTTTTTTGTAAAGCTGGAAAAAGTACCGACAAAGATTTGGTCAAAAAATATTTCTCTGTGAAGTTCTGCTGTTGATTTTGCATATTTACCTTGCTTTGGAGGGGTCTTCTACATCGAGGTCCCAGACGTAAAGCTTGCCAACCTGGTTGCCGAGAGCCAAAATCTGAGAAACAAAATACACAAAGTGAGTTTTAAAAGGTTTTTTTTAAGGTTTTAAGTATGACGTATTTTTCATACATCGGTGTTTGCACGCAGTATTGCCTGGATCAAAAGTTGGTAGTTCTGTATTATCTTACAACTCTGCACAACGTATGCTGTAGTTTTGTTCAGTGGTAGGTATCGGTTATGTGCACTGAACACTGTTAACATGTGTGGCTTAATTTCGACGCATTGACCAAGTTAGACCATAATTCAACCAATTTCACTCAAACGCAGGCCTACTCTAATCGACTATATGGAATCGGATCGCAGGGTACATTTGCGCCACTGGTTACCAATAGCCGCATGCATATCATAATGCACAACAGGGAACCAGGATGACAAAAAGTAATGATGACATTTTGACCATCGTTTGATTAGAGGCGCGCATGTTGCTACTAGTGCATAGGTGTAAGTTAGTCAACTAAAGGTCTTTGTTTGAATTTGCTCTGTGCGCACATATCCTAAAAGCCCCCTCCTTGCTAGTGTGTCTCACATTGCTTATAAATTTGTCTTAAAGGGAATGTACATCATTGGCTTTTGCTGTAATTTTCAGAAATGAACTATTTGAGGGGTTAGTATAATAGATCAAATTTTGAAGTTTTGTGTTCGAATAGGTTGGAAAAACCAAGAAAAACAAAAATGTTCAAGTAGTCTGGTTCCCTGACTCCACAAAAGATAAAATGGATCAATTTATAGATGATGGAAAATTGTAAGGCAAGGGAACCAGTCTAGCTGGCCTGCACCCGTTCATGAACATGTAACCAATAGCAAACAAAATTTGGACTGAAAGAATTGTAAATTTGGAGCAGTAGTTGAAAAATAGTTAGGTTTTTCCAACGCTGGTCGGCCGACCACCGTTGGAAATGTATACAAAAATACCATTTTCTTGAAAATGACTTCACACCAGGTGCCATAACTTTACAAGATGCTTGAGACTGTCATTTACCAACATCCTAGTAAGGTATTTCGTAAAAACTTGGTAGTTTTATTTTTCGATGTTTGCAAATGTTGTATATTCCCTTTAAAACCACGAACCTTCTGTGCGTAGTCCATGCTGAATCGCATGAACCAGATGTCGCACTGGGCGTACTCAAACTTGTGTAGTACTGTGACCCTAGAGTCAGAAGGCTTGAGCGTCTCCAAGGTGTCGGCGAGCGTACCGGGCTTCCAACAAGCTATGCAGTTCTCGCAGGACTGTGTCAATTAAAAAGTAAAGAAAAACTAGCTCAATTCCATACGTGGGCCCAATTGCGTGGCTCTGTTTGCTCGAACCAAAAATCTTATCTTACTATTGCAGAAATGTGGAGTGGGGCCTAGTGGTTAGGGTTTGTGACTCATTATCAGAGGGTCAGAGGTTTGACTCCAGCTACTGGTCGTATGTTGTGTTCTTGGGCAAGCCACTTTATCCCCACTTGCCTCTCTCCACCCAGGAGTATAAATGGGTACCAGCATTAGCTCAACTCAAGTTCAGAGGTTTGAATCCAGCTGCTGGTCATATGTTGTGTTCTTGGGCAAGCCACTTTACCCCAACTTGCCTCTCTCCACCCAGGAGTATAAACGGGTACCGGCATTAGCTGGGGAGTAACCTGCGATGGACTAGCATCCCGTCCAGGGGGAATAGAAATATTCTCAGTCGTTTCATGCTACTGAAACCGGAGATAAACGCCGGCCTAATGGGCCACATTGGCTCGTAACAGACTTGACTTACTACTGCAGAAAATTCTGGGAGTAGTGTTCATTGAGTGTTTTGTGTTCGTACCTTTGACAGGACAAATTCTCCAAGCCAACGTACGCAGTCGACGTAGTTGCGATGGATGTCCCTCGTGGAAAAATCCGGGGTGTTGACGTGCAGCGTCTTGAATGGTCTAACATGACACAAACATATCAAACAAATTGGCGGAACTTACTTAAATTTACTGTGAGAAGAATATTGAACCTTGTGTTCTTGAGCAAGATATTTTATCATGATTTACTCAATCTTCATCTACAGTGTAAATACTGCATGTGAGAAGGCCAGAACAACTTGCTGTAAAGATTTACCAAGTGCACTGCTCAAGTGCACTGCACTGGCACCTTAGCAAATGTACTCCACATGGTACTACATTCTGAGCAAAATTACTTATAGGCCCGCTGAGCGGGGGTAATAATGCATTATTAACCTACCGGTCTGTCTTGGTGGCGCTGTAGTCGTACGAGTTTTTGATGGCTGTTTGGATGATGGGAGTCGATAGGTGCCACATCTTCAGTGAGTGGTCCATGCCACACGACATGATCCTTGTTCCGTCAATGTCGAAATCCTGTCACAAAAAAACAAGTCTCTTTAATCTCTTTAATTAAACCGTCTCTTTGAATTTTGCAGAAACTCTCCCACTAATCCTCTCACATCAACCCCAGTGAAATAATCCATTCACACATGCTTTATACTGTACTCTTGAGGGAAAATCAAGCCCCATGTAAATTACAAGTGGGTGAGCTCAACATTTGTCAATCCTGGTGGATCTGATGAGAGGGTTGATTGTAATTGTCATGTGATAGTCTTTGTTGTATCGGACTACATTTTCAAAGAATCTCCAATGTCAGTTTCCAGAGCAATATGTCTAAACCTATTAGTCCCTGTTCTGCTCCAAACTGTTCTTCATATTACTCTCTTTGTTTTTTTTTTGTCTTGTGTTTTTCCCCCATGTTTTTTTTTAATCTTGGCTGAAACTTGGAATATTAGAAAAAAATATGCCTATTTACTGCACTGAGCACTTCATCTCTATGTCCTTCCACACCGCCGAAGACAATGACTAGGGTGTCTGTCTGAATATTCCACAGTCGCACTGAATGATCTGAAAATACAAAGAATAAAGGGGGAAAAATTGCTGAAACCTGTTGACTGGGAAAGTAACTGAAGTGTTTCTGCATCGAGTCAATGTTTCAAACTTTGAAAATCTTTTGTTTGCACAATCTGTCTTAGGCCGGCCTCAGGTTGACCTGTGATTTGCTTGCACTGCGATGGAACTAGCCTTGGTCAAGGCGTTTGTTGATAGTGTCCATGATGGTATCTAGCCGCTAAAACCAGAAACACAAGCAGCACGCTATGCACTGTACGAAGCACTGTCGATGAACGACTTGACCAAGGCTAGTTCCGTCACGACGCAAGCCGATCGCAGGTCGACCTGAGGTCATCCTTAGGTTTCAGCAAAAATGTTCACCTTGAACTTTGATTTAATTTTAGCAGTATGCTGGCTCAATGAGAAAAAGAAGAGTCTATTGTGAAATAATAACTGATGCTTGAAGGTCAAAAGAGGGCGCTGTTTACCTTTACTGACAGACAGCAGCAGGTTGCAGTCCTTGGGATGAAACTTGAGTTCGTTGACGGCATTACCATGAGCTATGTAGTGCTTCAAAGAAAAACAGGACAGAGAAGTTGTGCAACAACCATATCCGTTGAAACCTTTCACATTATGAAATGTTATCTTCACAAACTTTAAAAGCATAACACAAATGATAAAACTTTGAGCTGATTGGTTAGATTTACCTTGACACACTGCATAGTGATTGGGCTGATGATGCGTATGGTACCCCGCGACCCGGCCACAGCGAGCAAGGGCAAGCCTGTCTTCTCCTCGTAGGACCAGGCACATGTGTAGAAACTCTCGTCGGACTACAGTCAACATGGTCAAGGATCAAATGTACTACATGTGTTTCTCATAACTACCTAGGCCTTTTTGCTAGGATGTAGCCTCAATCCTGCAAAATCCTCAAATTGGCCTCATGGAAAAATAGCATATAGCCTCAATCCTGCAAATTCCTCCGTTATTTCTTGAATATGGTCCATGGAGGGGTGACCACTGCCTGAATCCTGCAAAATCCTCCGGCTATGACTGTCAATAGGCTGAGGCAGAGGCAGTGACATCCTGGAGCAGTACGGAGGATTTGAAGCATAATCCAGGCCTATATTTATGCATGGCTGAGCAAAAAAACAACACATGGTCTAGCCCAAGACCTTGACAAAGTGCATCCCACGAAATCAGCAATGCACTTTTGCCACGTAACCTCAATCCTCCAAATTCCTCCACTTTGGCAAAGAGGACTTTGAAGGATTCAGGGCGGTTAGGGTTAAGTCACATAAAATTTATTGTGTGGAGAACAGTACATTTTGCATCATCAATGGTTTCCCGTGAAGTGTTGGGGGATTTTGGAGAAATTGTAACTATTTTTTGAAATGCGTTGAGAGTTTAATCTGATCTGAAAAGGATACATCGGCGTCAATGTAACTCTGTAGTAGCTTCATCCCTCCGCCGTCCACAAGCTCATAGACCGACACCCGATTGCTCCCAGCCGTGGCAAACACCAGGGCGTCGCCCTCTTTGAAGAAGGGGTTAAAGGTCACACCGAAGATGGGCTGTCCGTGGTCCTCTTTCAGGAACCCGTTGCACTTGTACTGGAGTTTGTTCTTGGTGGAACGCCAGCGGCCGCGGTTGCTTTTCCGGTTGAAGCTGCCGGTCGTGGACCCTGTTGGCGTGTCGGAGCGGGAGTTGCTCTCGACGGTCGGGGTGCTGGCTTCGCTCTGCCCATCGTCCAGTTCTAAAGACTGGAAAAGTGATCAAGTGAAACAAATGAATAAAATGGTAGTTTAGTACCATCAAACATTTTAGTATTTCTTATTAGTAACGTTCACCTCCCGAAATAGTCACAAAGGCAAAATCAAAATCAAACCCCAAAAAACACTTTTGGACTAATCCAGTTCAGCTTCAGGAGTTAGTCATGGTAGTCAGACAGACATGACAGAGGTTCATTTCATATTGTATCTTGTGTGTTCCACAATCAATTTGCCAAGATCGCAAGTGAATTCTCATAGCTAATTATCTTTGGAACATTAATGTTTTCATTTGGACGGATATAAAACATCTGAGCAAGAAAACTTTCAAGTTTCATCCCCCCCCCGCCCCCCCCCCCCCCCCCCCCCCCCCCCGCTTCCCGCAAGATGTCATTGTGCTACGCGTCCGGAAACTGGACAACACCATTCCCACCCATCAGATCGAACCAGTGTACGATTAACCTCCCAAAACAACATCGAAAAACAACGACAGAAACCACTTAACTTACATTCTCGTCACCAGAAGCAGTGTTTTGATTGCCATTCTGAGGCAGGGATTTGGGCCTTTTCAGGACTGGTGCCGTGTCGATCTCTTCTTTGTCCGACATGCTGCTTCGCGGGAGAAACTTTGTTTGTGTTTTGTGTTATGGCGCCACCTAGAGGCAAAAAAAGTAAATGTTGACAATTTTTGTGTTTCTTTCAGCTTCCGGTGCATGTAAACACGTGTTTACAAAGGATGCAGCTATTTATATCTTTCCAGGAATTATTTTCAGTTTATAAATAGGGAAACTGGCTACCGCTTTTTTATCGTTAAAACAAAGAGAACAACATAATTGTATTCAACCTTATCTATCTAATGTGAATTTCCTCAATTGTCCAATAAAATTTCACTAGTTCAAGGGAAAAAAAATAATGTGGCATTTCAGGCGTTCAGATTTCTACTGTTTTATTCCTCTTCACCAGGAATGCTTTTCAAATCTCATGTATTTTCCATTTTTTTGTTTATCACAATTATTTTCGACAATGAATTCTACACAGATCATGTCCAAATTATATAGCTACGCTGCCTATAACTTTTTATTTGGTCGAATAAAAAAAAATTCACTGGCAAAAATCATGCGACACAAATGTCCCTTTCGGAGTCGTTAAGTGGAAACCGTTTGTTTAAGAATCAAAGTCCGACTTTCAAGTTCGCAAATTACTTCACTTTTACCTGAAGCGCCCACAATATTGGCGATATTGCAAATTCAACTGGTACTCATGATCAGATTTCAAGTTATTTTTTATCCAACATCAACTTCGGCTCTTCAATCTCAAGAAGAGATCCGAATCAGTTTTATAAACAGTTTTGGACAGGCTACTATTAATTACCCCAAAAATGTAAGGAAGTATTTAGTACCCCAGTACCTGCCCCGGCCACACCCCTCAGCTCCACCCACCCCAGTCAGTCCGCAGCGCTGGCGATAATGACCCTTGCACGCTTCACCAAATTTCTCCCAAAACTCCGTTTTCATTTGTTCTATTTATGTACAGTTTTTAAGGTCATTTTCACCGATGTAACAATAATTATAATATACTACAGTAACGATTACGTCGGATATTATTTATGATTTGGTTTCAAAACATATTGTAATAATATTAATATCGTGTGATGATTTATACAAAATTGGGTCTAAAGGTCATTGCGCGTGCGCCGTTGGGTCACAGTGGATACACGAAATGCATGAACTGCATGACAAAAAATGCAACAGGAGTGAAATTGGAAAAAGCGAAGCGGACATTTTTATCTTCTGGAGAAGACGATTGTGGATTTTTTCGCCCTGTTTTCTAACATAAGTTCGCCGAGCCTGGGAATATGAAGAGGCGAAATGCCGAATGTGGAAAGCTAAGACGCCCTCTGAAACGAAACAAGATCGCAGAAGGCATCTACGGCAGGTGAGATTTGAGGCTGAAAAAAATGGGAAACGCGTGCAAATTTTGTTTGGCCGACCTGGTCAACACTCCCGTCGGTTGTGTACGGTCATGACGGTACGATGCTGTGGTGCAACGGATCACAATGCAGCACAGCACGCCTGACTGGAATGTCTTGAATGATCGTGCATGATTATCGTCCAATTTTCCCCATTATGTTGTCTAAATATTGTTGTTTATATCAGTCCTAATTTGCCCATGATCATTGGGATAATATTGACCGAGAATATTGTCACAAACATGCAAACAATGACCATCACTGACCATGTTGACAAGGCCATATTGTCCATGCCATGTCAATAAATGGGTTTTTCGTGGGCATGGTGGGGGGGGGGGGGGTGCACTTTTACCAATAGGCCCAAAATTCCATTTTCCCTTATTGTTGTGGTGGTGATGGTAGTGAATGTTGCTTGTTAAATGTTAGAGAAATAAATTTAGTGAAATTCAGCCATCATGGCCACCCGTTTTGATGGGTGCATTGTCAAGATTTTTAAGAGAATTTTCAACCCAAAATGATTCAAAACATTGCTGAATCCCTACATTTTGCTGGCCCACATTGTGCACATCAACATGTGAATTGCGTACATTTATGGAGCTTGATTGTTGTGACAAATGAAATGTGTATTTAATTGTTATGATGTCGGGCTATATCGCTTTTCTAGTCATGCTTGTGAAGAACAAAAACAGTATGGAATTCAAAAACAAAAAATCTTGAACAAATACAGGCATGCAACTTTTCCTCAGATCAGCTGATTTCCTCCTTTTTTTACTTCCCATGTATGCCATTAAAAATGGAAAACCACTGTACAAAATCTTGGAAAGATTTGAATTTCCTCTTTTTTTGTGACTTCCCAGTTGCACGCCTGCAAATATCTTAAGATAATTAGGGAAATGCCGCAGCGAAATGTGATTGATTTCGTTAACCCTCCTTTAAATTTTGTTTGATCAGTCACAGACAGTCATAAATTCAATCCTGTTCCCTGCCATGTCTTTTACACCGACTACTCACCAACAGTCAGATCATGTTTCTTGTAGGCACTGTGACAGTCAAATTCCATTAGCAGACAAAAGCAGGTGACGGGTAGGCACAGCTGGCTTATCAATCTCCCACAGCCAAAGTATAGCTATATCAGGTTTCATAACAATCACAGCCAGTCAATCCTGCTTTATGAAGGCAGGGAGCACTCAACTGTTGAAAACAGTCACTTGATTTATTTTGACTGCTGGGCTGACCTTGCTAAAATTGCCAGCCAGAGAAGGAGGGTTAATTTTCATCCCATAAATAACATTTCATTGTTAAAACTTATTCATTTACTCAAAGTCTTCAGTCCAGCCCAAAGACAACCAATAAAATACCACCCAGCGATTAAGTTGCATTTTTATTTAAGTTTCCTTTTTGCAATGTGTAATTTGAAGAATCAGTCGACATGGTAAACAATGTGTTGACAAACAACATGTAAGTGATTACAGAGTGAGTCGAAAAAAGCGGAACCCAAACCCCCAAAATTATATTTCATATTTAAAAAAATATGTAGCACCAAAAATAATAATGACTTGAATGCCAATTCCATAAGCTACTTTTAGTTGAAAAAAATACTGAAATTGCTCAATCTGTTCAAAGAATATCACCATTTAAACACAATGACCTTAAAACCTCTTTCGTTCAAAAATGCGATTTCAAAAATCGTCGTCACAATTGTCTTCAAACATCACCAGCGATAAAACCTCGGTTTAAACGTATAAAATATTCAACAAAGTCCTTTTGAAGGCCCGACTTTTTAAAAAAAGTGGATTTTATAAATCATATTGTTGGCCTAACCAGGGTTGTTAATAAAGATATTGTGTACTACAGTTGTTGAAACAAGTATTCTGTGTCATTTTCTTTGTTGTTCCAAACAGTAAGAATGCACAAAAAAATTGGTGTTTTTTTTATTAAACAGGTTTTAGGGTCATTGCGTTTAAATGGTGATTTTCTTTTGCACTGATTGAGCAATTTTCAGTAATTTTTCTTTCATCTAAAAGTAGCTTATGAAATTGGCTTTCCAGTCATTATTAGTTTTGGTGCTACATATTTTTTTTTAAATATGAAATAATTTCTGGGTTTGGATTTGGATGAATAGCGACCTGTCCTCACATGAGGGCGCTCTTTGCAAGGGGTCTATGGTTACCTTGGTTCCCTTGATCAAATTTCACTTGCACTCATCCGAGGAGACGAGTTGGCGCAGTTTCTTTCCTCGACTTCCACCTCTATGGCCCAGGTTCGATTCCTGCCCTGGTCCACATGTGGATTGGGTTTTCAGTCCCTACCTGATTCCGTGGGTTTTCCCCAGAATATTCTTGTGGGGTTTTCCTCCCACCTCTAAAACTGTAATTTCTTCTCATTGTCTCCTCTCTACAGCTTTCGTCAGGCTTGCGAGCTACAGTGCCTAGGGCGCTTTTGAGGAATCCTTGGTTTCATTACCAGAAATAAATATGATTAATGATCATGATTTCTTTTTTCCTTCATTGACTTGCAGTACGTTCTTGTACCTGAAGTTTCTGGCAATATGGATGTTTGTGCTCCTGCTGGACTTCATCTTGGAGTTTCGCTTTGAGTATCTGTGGCCTCTCTGGCTGCTCTTACGAAGCATCTACGACTCCTATAGATACCAAGGACTGGTAAGTAGCAGTGCTGTGGTCTTAGTCCATCACAAGTCCATCACAAGTCCATCATAAGTCCATCACAAGTCCATCATAAGTCCTTCACAAGTCCATCACAAGTCCATCACAAGTCATCATAGGTCCGTCAAAAGTCCATCAAAAGTCTGGTCACAAAGAAATCACAAGTCAGTTTACAAGTCCAGTCACAGGCAATGAACAGTAACAAAGGAATGCCTTTGCCAGTGTTCATTTTGAGTAGATTGTGACTTAACTTGGGAATGGAGGACTAGTGATGGACTTGTGATTGACTTGTGAGGACTTGTGAGGACTTGGGATAAACCTGTGATTTTCTTGCGAAGACTTGAGATGGACTTGAGATTGATTGACTTGAGATGGACTGCCTTCTCACTGGTCTACTCACATTCTCTTGAGTTAGCCACAGTGTGTTTTCGTGATTAGGATAGTTCCAGGTAGTAAGGGAATTTGGCTTGTGGTCATACATGTACATATCCCGATCTAAGAATTGTTTAATTGCACACTGTTGGCCCAGAATTGTTGTGCTAGTGATGTAGCACGGAACAGTGACTCCTAAAGCCGGCCTCGTGTTAGCCTTGCGACAACATAGAAGAGGTAGCAACTGACGTTGGGAGTCAAGCTGCCCCTGAGCTACGACCGTTAGGAACATCTATCAGTCACCAATTTTTGTTGGCGACCTGATTGCAACTGCACACAAGTAGAAAATTCAAAACGCCTGCACTGTGGCGGAGCTTATTCTAGATAAACAGGAATCAATATGGGCGATTCACAATACAGTGCGCCACCAAGAGTTTGCCACGCAGAGTTCATGCTTCCCAGTGCATTGTGGGAGATGGTCGACAAATTCGCAGCTCAGGACATTTGAAATTGTTTTTTTTCCGGTCAGTAGTTTCGTAAGCGCATGATTCAAGAATCTGTTTGTTCTTTTCTTGTTATCAATATGGTGTTTTTTGTAAGGCGGCAGAACGCTATGCCCCAATCTATAACATATTAGCTCAAGTTGTCTACTGGGCCGTGTTTTGCCGACCGTAAACTTGAAAAAAATGGGTCTCCATGGCAAACTCTTGGTGGCGCACTGCTTTGTGAATCGCCCGAATTGCAGTCATCCTGTGTGAAATTGTGACATCGTGCCCCCACCCAGATCATCTTATTTTGACATGTTCTGTCAACATGTGTACTACCAATTTGAAAAAGTCATGTGGTCATGTCTACATGTACATGTACATGTATGTCATGGCATTGTTGTTGCGTCGCGGGTGACTTATATGTACGTGTACATTACATGTAAGCATGGTTGCGATTATTCTGCGTCAAGATGCCGCTTGTTTCTGCGTTTTTTTTACCTGAGCGTGATTTTGTACTTAACGCCAATGGTTCCTTCCTGGCGCAAGCAGACCGCAGGTCACCCTGAGGCCGACTGTTGAACATATCGGCATAGTTAACAGAGAATGAAAGATGGGAAAGAATTCCATACTGGGCCACCACTCCTGAAAACCTCCTGCACTATGTCTATGGGCCATGACAGAAAAAGTTGAAGTATTTTAAGAATTTTTGCACTCCTTAAATAGTGTTTCTTCATCAGATTAACAACTTTCGGTACTTTTCAGGTCATATTAGGGATTGTGAGTGGTGGCCCAGTATGGAACTCTTCCCAAAAGATGTAAAAAATACATAGTATAGACGTAAACTCAAATTTATGTATCTTTTCAACTTGTCGACAGATCTGTTGATGTCCTCATTTTTTTAAACTCTCCGTTTATGCCATCAAAAATCCAAACGTCAGAATTTCCTGTTTTTGTGTGTGTTCGTTTCCCTGAAACGTTAACACCTACATACATGTATTACCTGCCTTCAGCACTGCTGATGTTCACGAAAGCAAAACATAAAACTACTGACGCTGTCCTTTTTTTAACACACGTCTCCTTGGTAACAATCACCGTGGTAACATTAAAAATCGTCTCCCTATCCATAAGAATATGTGAAATAACATGTAAACACATGGTCCGCATGCCCTGTTTATGTTACAGTTGTCTCATATCTCAGACAAAGCAGAACTAAACGGAAAAAAAAAAAAATTTGAGAGACAGTCATGCAAAATTAATATTTTCAAGGTTATGGCTCACATGTAGTTCGGCTGTTTTACGACACAAAGCAGACGGAAACTTATATGTTGTCAAAATCAGCTGCTACATCAAGGAACTAGTCATTTCTTCACCATTAACCGTACTTCCTGGTATCTTTTATTAAGTACTGGACCATTTCCGCCAAAATCGATCACTGACTCTGCTTCACATAATGTTTTGGACCAAATCCGCTGAGATCCACTACAAGCCCACCACTACAGTAGGTGGATTTTGATGGACTTGGTACTCATGGCTTGCCTACCAAAATCCCCCAAATTGGGGAATGTATTTTGACGGATTTGGGAAGGTTAGAGTTAAAGTTGTATTGCCAGTGCTATTTTCGAGTTTCATCGCAAAATAAATATCATCCTTTTCTATTGTTTGCTATTATTCTAGCAATACGAAAGTAATTCACTTTTGAATGAGTCATCGACCGAAAAAAAAGTCAACCCACGTTTATGTATTCAATTACTACCTCACAAAATTTCAAATTAATTGGGCATGATAAAAATTCCTTGCTTACTAGGTTGACTGGTTCCCCACCCACAATCAGTGGCGATACTGTACGGAACGGGAGCCAGTCTGCCCACAAGGCAGATTTGTTCATGCCCAAAATTTACAAAAAAATTTTTTTTAGAGGGTTACAGATGCCCAACAAGAAAAATTTGAGGCGTTTTGAGGTTGGAATAAAACGTACAAATTAAAAAATTATGAAGAGAAAAAATATCAAATTTTTTTAAAGAGCTTGATTAAAGCAATTTTAATCCTAATCCCTGGGCAATTTTGCGAAGATGCAACCTCAATCCTGCATACATGTAAGTGTAATCCTCCACCTGCCCCCATGTAAAAATTGCATAGCCTCAATCCTCCAAAATCATCAATTTTTTTCTTGAATGTGGTCCTTGGAGGGGTGACCACTGCCTCAATCCTGCAAAATCAACACAACAGAAGGCCTGGCCTAAGACTTTGACACGGTGCATCCTCCGAAATCAGCCGTACACATATTCTTGCCATGTGTACATGTAGCCTAAAATTCAATCCTGCAAAATCCTCCATTTTGACTAAATGACTAAAACAGCTGCAGACTGCTTGCTGACTTGATTGGCCTGAAATATATACGAATCAAATTAAATTAGATGGCCTAACGTTTCAATCCTAGCAGAATCATTATCAGAGCCAGTTGCACACTACATGTATGTATGTATTTCCCTCAAATAAACCATTAAACTTTGTTATTAAAAATGTCAGGCCTTCAAATTTTGTTGATCTGTATATTTCATGTCAGTCCAGTCAGTAAGCAGTTTGCAGCAATTTTATTAATTCTCATGTTGTTCAAACTGTTTAGCTTTGCTATAAAGTGATAAAAGAAACTGACAAAATATGAAATTATACAAACATTAGTGCACAGTTTCTGCACACAATTATAAAATGTGAAAAAGACATTGTTTAAACGGAATTTAAATTGCCACTAACAAGTCAAAAAAATTTCCATCAAACATTTACTCTTTATTACAATTTGTAAAAACGCCCGTCGTGAGCTTTGAAACCGACCGCCTTAAGCAACCCCCATTGACCGCCGCATATCACTTGGCCCCCAGTCGACCACTTCCGCCGATAATGATACATTACCTTCGCCACTGTCGTTATTAATATTTCACCGTTTATTCACGGCAACCCAGATCCGAGGCTGGCCCTTTGTTCAGTTGCAAAGTCACGTATCCCTTGTGCAAGCCATCGTTTCGTGCCGGCAATAATGGCTCGCTGAAAGACATCTGAGTGCAGGCTTTAAATGGCACGAGCCATACAGAATGGTTCCACCGTAATGTAATGTCCCCCCCCCTCCTTTTTCCCCCCAAATCATTTACTAGCTGCAGGGAATAACAAAAGGCAATGTCATCCAGGCCTGCATGATGGATAGCCTGAGCCATACGTTTACTCTGCAGCGTTAAAGGGAATATCAACATTTGCAAACATCGAAAAAACAAAACTACCAAATTTTTACGAACTACCTTACTAGTATGTGGGTAAATGACAGTCTAAAGCATCCTGTAAAGCCATGGCACCTGGTGTGAAGTCATTTTCGAGAAAAGTGGTGTTTTTGTATAAATTTCCAACGGTGGTCGGCTGACCACCGTTGGAAAAACCTAACTATTTTTCAACTACTGCTCCAAATTCACCATTTTTTTTTCAGTCCAAATTTTGTTTGCTATTGGTTACATGGACGTGTGCATGCCATCTAGACTGGTTCCCTTATACCTTACAATTTTCCGGCATCTATAAATGGATCCATTTCGTCTTTAGTGGAAACAGGGAACCAGACTACTTGAACATTATTTGTTTTTCTTGGTTTTTCCAGCATTTTCGAACACAAAACTTCAAACATGTCAGTTAAACAATATTTGATCTATTATATTAACCCCTTAAATACATGTACATGTAGTTCATTTCTGAAAATCACAGCAAAAGCCAATGATGTACATGTACACTCCCTTTAAACATCTCAATGTTTTGGTTTTTGTGTGTGTTTTTTTGCGTTTCCATGGCAAAGGTTAAAGGTAGAGTATATTTGCAGCTATCCAAAAGTAACTGGCCAAATTATTGTTGAAAAAACTTACTTGGTTTAAAGATAGAACTTGCACTAAACTCCCTGTGAAATAATTCTTTCTGGCATGCTGTCATTTTGGAGAAAACAATAACAGGTCGTTTCCAAAGATGTGTCTAAAGATGCAATTTTTGGAAGTTTCCGTCTAGTACATGTAGTTCGTGTTTAATTCGGTGAAGCTGTGAATGGGTGCGCGCCAGCATTGACACGATGCACGTGCCCGCAGTTGCTATAATTCGACGATTCAGTGCTGCACGAGAACGTGTCCCGGATGCTGATTTCATGTGCTATTCAAAACACGACTCGGCAACTTTGAAATCGAGATCAAAATTGAAATCAAGATCCTAGAATATTGTTTTCTCGGATTAAAAACATTCACTGAGCTGAAACTTCTTCAGGGTGCTAAAAGCACCCTGCTTTAGATTTTGAGCACTTTTGTTGCTTCAAACGAAAAAAGATTCACAAATGACATTAATTATATACTCTACCTTTAAATCAGCCCAGCATTTCAATCTGTATTCACCTACATGTATACATGTAGTGGACTTTTTTTTTAAAAATCTTTAGACGTTTTTTTTTTTACAACTATAACAGTTTATATTTTCCATATGGTGCTACATGGGGAGGGAAAACTGTCTTTGTTGTCGGTTTTCATGTGAATGGAGGATTTTTCAGCAGATGAAATCAGACACTATGCATAAATTTGTGCTGATGAAATTAGCTACATTTGCTGTACATGTACATGTAGCACGGTCAATCTTGAGCTGGCACATGCATGGTGTCAAATTTCAATTGCTAATTTTGAATGCGCTCACAGCACATATTGAACCAATTTGCACATATTGAGTTAAATGTGACAGCATCCCACGAAACGAATCTTAAGCACAATTCTTCACTTGCAGTTTTTCACATGCATTTAGGAAGAGCATACCGGTTATTTGCTCTATATTTTTATATCTCACTCAGTTTGGCTTCCAAATATAACGCATTCATTAAAGATATAGTCCATCATTTGTAATTTGCATTTTGTTCGTTTGAACAAAAGTATTCAAAATCTAATGAAGGATACTGAACAACTAACCTGATGAAGTTTCAGCTCAGCTTCAGCTGTATATTCCGAGAAAAACAGCATTCTAGGATCTCAATTTCAAATCAAAAGTTGCTGACTCATGTTTTGAATTGCAGCTATACGCGATGTCATGCACTGATCCGACGAATTATAGCAACCGCGCGTGCCTGTGCGTCGTGCCAATGCTTGCGCGCGCTGCGCCGAATAACAAAACGAACTACTAATTTAAATTTTCCTACGGTGCGTCTTAAGACGCACCGTTGGAAAGGCCTTCTTTCGTTGATTACTTCAAAATGATAGCTTGCCAGAAAGAATAATTTAACAGGGAGTTTAGTCCCCTTACTATCTTTCAACCAAGTATGTTTTTCAACAATAATACGCCAGTTACTTTTTCGGATGGCTGCAAATGATGGACTATAGCTTTAAAATGCGGACTTTTTTTCAATGAATTCCATTATTGCCTTTTACTCAAATGTGACAACTTGTGACTCATGGTATCGGATCGGGTCTAGGGCCGTGTATCGCAACCGGATACCCAAGTACCCGACCACTGATGTCAGGAACCGGTTCCAGTTTATGGGATCGGATACTCATAACCAACTTGATAAATACTGAGTATCTTCTCAGACAATGAAAAAGGAAGGTTTTGAATGTCGTTTGTAGGGAATTTTCAAAATGAAAACCAGGCTGCATGGAGAACCAAAACAGATTTCACATTTATCATGTTTATGTGCATTTTAACTCGCGACAGATGATGCTCGCAAAAGCTACATGTACACGTGTATAAAAACCTCTGAGACAACTTCCGGGATTTGAATTTTGGATCTAACCCTAACCTGCTGAATCCAACAGGATCCAACTATATCATAAACCTGTTTGAGCCTGTTGGATTAAGCAGTAAACCCCTTGTACAAATGTACATGTACATATTCAGAGTCGGATTAATAGGTACTGATAAATAATGCCAAGTTGGACTCTGTTGGATCCAGCAGACAACTAAAAATTAGGCACAGTTGGATTCTGTTGGATTGAGCAAGAAGTAACATGGACTTTGTTGGATTTAGCAGGGTAGTCCTAAGGAACCCTCTAGAGTTTCTTTGTCAGATACCAGGGTACCCATGTTTTACGTCAATAGGGCACGTGGTTTCTGTACTACCAGTAAATGCACACTGATAGGGTCTCATGTGATGTTTGAATTCACCGCGTTATTTCCCTGTTTATCTTGTAGGCGTTCTCCGTGGTCTTCATTTTCATCGCCTTCACCTCCGACATGATCTGCCTCCTGTTCATCCCGGTACACTGGCTCTTCTTCGCCGCCAGTACCTACGTCTGGGTGCAGTTCGTCTGGCACACCGGTACGTAACAAATTAACCCTAACCGCCCTGAATCCTTCAAAATCCTCTTTGCCAAAGTGGAGGAATTTGGAGGATTGAGGTTACATGGCAAAAGTGCGTTACTGATTTCGTAGGATGCACTTTGTCAAAGTCTTGGGCTGAAGCTTGTGTTGTTTTTGCTCAGCCATGCATAAATATAAGCCTGGATTATTCTTGAAATCCTCCGTACTGCTCCAGGATGTCACTGGCCAAGCCTCAACATATTGACAGTCACTGCCACAGGATTTGCAGAATTCAGGCAGTGGTCACCCCTCCATGGACCATATTCAAAAAACAACGGAGGAATTTGCAGGATTGAGGCTATATGCTATTTTTCCGTGAGGCCAGTTGGAGGATTTTGCAGGATTGAGGCTACATCCTAGCAAAAAGGCATAGGGAGTTACTCAGTCCACAAATGGTTGATGGAACTTACTGACCCCTTTCGACAGGACCATCGAGAGGGACACAACTCATGCACGTACTGGTTTGCGCATGTATGGCACAAAATACATACAATAGGGCTGTTCTGAAAGTACCGAATATGCGGATCAGCAACTGAATATTCAAAAGCTTTTTGCCGGTTTGAATATTCAAGAACACAATGTTTATGCTTAGCCAAGCATAAATTATGCCTTGATCATCCTTTACTCCCTAGGCATTTTTACTAGGATGCAACTGCAGTCCTGCAAAATTCTACCAACTGCCTCCATGTAAAAATTGCATGCAGCCTCAATCCTGCAAAATCCTGCGTTATTTCTTGAATGTGGTCCTTTGAGGCAGTTGGAGGATTTTGCAGGATTAAGGTTCCATTTTGCACATCCTGGCTAAAAATGGCAAGGGAGTTACAGTTGGTGAATATGTCCAAATCTCAGAATATTGTTGTTTAGCTTTGCACGATCACAGCATGTACATGTAAAACACATTCGTTTCACATGAAAAGAACTCAGAAGTGCGACCAACAACTATAACCTACAGATCTGTGGAAATTTCGAGTACAGTTCCGTGTGCATGTACATGTACAGCTCAAACCAGGAAATAGCATATTTTTTTTACACATGCACAAATAATATCAAGAACACAAATAATACTCTGGATTTTCTTTATGATTATGCAAGTGTATTTGTTCAATGGAGTATGGAGACCTGTCATGAACCACTGACTTTCGGTAGAAAAAAATATAAAGCATATCAAACACTTGTATTTTCCAAGGCCAGTAATACTAGAAAGGCTTTGAAAAAAAAATATGGGTTTTGAAGTTAATATCTGTCGACGTTTAAATATCCGTCTGTATTCTAACATGGAAAGTGTACACACGTACACGTACACATGTGAAATACAGTTCATTGTTCTCCTTTTCAAACCACAAATTATGATTGTTTTCGTCCCAGATGTTCCTGTAAAGGGCTTGTTTACGTCACAACTTTTGTTTTGATTTGCACTTTATTGAAAGCATTTTATCGATGCCTGTTGCAATTTTTTTTTTTAAAAACATGTACCAGTAAGTTAAATTTTTATGTAATCCATTTGTGTGGTTTAGTGCTGAAATAGCTGTAACATTGAGGTTTCTGCCTAAAATGACATCACACTTTTGCTCATGATTATGGAAATTTGCTTTAGCGTAAAATCCAAAACAGCACCAAAATACCCTTGAAAATGGCAAAACGAAAATTGAAAATAAGGTTTCAAATGGGACACAGGTGCATATTCAGGGATTACGTTAAAATGAATTACATTGCATTGGCCCTTTCAATTGTACAACGTACATGTTCACCTGTGCATACAGACGTACATACTACCGTATATACATGGATGTATTCGATTTAGTAAAATGGCATTGTTCTATTCTTCTATGTGCACATGCCCTTCTTGCACATACATACAGGTTATCATTGTGAAAGAAACACATACTTATGTATGTACAATGTACCGACCGGTATACCACTCCTTTAAAATGTACATGTAGATGACGTTTCAAAACATATTCAGTATCGTTTCATTGAAAAAAATGCAGTCTCTATATGTTAAATACTTCAACATTCCTGTCTTGTGCAATTGATGATTAAAACTCATTCACACGGCATCGGTGTACGTGTAATGCCATGCATAACCTCATCCCACACAACCAAATCACAAGAACCCATTGATTTTTCTTAAAAGAAGTAATAAAAAAAAAAGCCTCATTACTCCGTCCGTCTCCTTGAGATGAATTGCACGGTTACCATGGCAACCTCGTATCCTTCCCCGGCTGTATCTGATTAACAGAGATCTCCGGGGGTATCTGCAGTTGCATCGTTAAGGACACTGGAGGGTTTTACCGCGTCCCTCAACAAGTGCGGGGCTTAGAACGGTGCGATAAACATTACCGGTGGCTGACTATCTGTATAACATGTCTTTATAATGGCGAGTCGCTGTAACCTATATCCTGCCATTAAGTGACAAAATGTATGAGTGGATTCGAGTTGATATTTATCCGCGCCGCCGGTGCCTTGATGTACCATGCATGTTTATTGTATCTGACAAAATATATTTGACAAGATCAGTAGTGCCATGGGCTTTGGTACATGTATGTACAAGTACGGAAATATTTGTCTCGTGAAAAAAAGAAGCCCGTAATTCCTTGTCACCTATCTCTGGCTAGCAATTTCAACAAGGCCAGCCCAGCAGTCAAACTAAATCAAGTGACTTTTTTGATCAGTTGAGTGCTCCCTGCCTTTATAAAGCAGGATTGACTGGCTGTGATTGCTATGAAGCAAGATACAGCTATGCTTTGACTGCAGGAGATTGATAAGCCAGCTGTGCCTACCAGTCACCTGCTTTTGTCTGCTGATGGAATTTGACTGTCACAGTGCCTACTAGGAAATATGATCTGACTGTTGGTGACTAGCCTGTGTAAAGGCATGGCAGGGGAACAGGATTGAATTCGGGCGATTCACAATGCAGTGCGCCACCAAGAGTTGGCCACTAAGAATTCATTTTTCGCAGTGCATTGTGGGAGATGGTCGACAAATTCGCAGCGCGGGACATTTGAAATTATTAGTTTTTCCGGCCAGAAAGTTGGTAAGCGTAAGATTCGAGTATCTGTTTGCCCTTTTTTTTTCGTTATATCAATATGGAGTTTTTTGTAAGGTGGCAGAACGCTTTGCCCCAGTTTTCTACTGACACTCGTTCAAATGGGCCATGTTTTGTCGACCGTGACCTTGAAAAACGAACTCTCCGTGGCAAACTCTTGGTGGCGCACTGCATTGTGAATCGCCCGAATTGTTGACTGATCAAACAAAAGGAGATTTTTTTTAATAGTTAACATTGATCAGTAAATACTTTTCCATGGGGTGTTTTGCCTTTCAAACAATTAATAAAAAGTGACTAGTTTACAAAGTACTAATTTTTGGCACCAACTGCATGTATTTTCCAAACCCAGTTTTAGAAACAAACTCCGCATAAAGGTACATACATGTACAAGTATTTCCAGTGAGAAATTTTGTTAAGCACAACATGAGTTTTTCTAGTGCTAGGGTGTTTAGCCCTTTTCACACTAGAGCCTCTCAACCCGGGTTAAACTCAACCCTGGGCGAACCCAGTGCCACCCCGGGTTGAGTTTTTTATTTTTCAACCCTGCGTTCAACCCCACGTCATATCACAATTGTTTCGTGCCAACCAAGCTTATTTCGCTAGGTTACTACTGTTTTGAACTTTGGCGAGAGTTTCAACTCGGGTTGAAAATCTCAACCCTGGTCTGGAGCAGGATTGAGTTCAGCCTGGGTCGAAATCAATCTCGGGGTTGACGCAGGGTTGACGCAGGATTGAAATTCTTCAAGTGTGAAACGATGCATGTTTTCAACCCTGCGTCAACCCCATGTCAACCCCGAGATTTGTCTAGTATGTAAAGGCCTTTTGTTGCCTAAAGTTTGGTCAGAAGCTTTGCACAAGACTGCATTAGCCTTTTTGAGATGTGGTTGACACAATAGTAGCACACTATTTTATTTGGGTACATACATGTACAAAACAGTTCACATGTACAGGTACATGTAAATGTAAACCTAATCGCCAAGTAGCACCCTGCTGTTGTGTCTGCTGTACAGTATCTCAAAAAAGGCTAGTGTTGTGTGGTGCATCAATGTTGAATGTAGACACTTAAGCATATTTTGGGAGATCTGCTCCTATTTAGAGGCAAAATTGAACTGTCACAAATAGGCTAGATCGATTGCTTGTGGCCCAGTTAATAAAATTACAAAAATTTGTGTGCGTAGGATCAAGTAAATTTGGGGTTGGAGGTCATTAACAGTAATCTTCCCAAATCCTCCAACTTTGCAGAATCCTCATAAGAAGAAGACATGCCTTTTTAATTATGCACAAAACTTCAAGAGTGTTTCTTGTTTTCTTGTTACAGATCGAGGCATATGTCTGCCTACAGTGTCGCTATGGCTGCTGTTTGTTTACATCGAGGCGTCGGTGCGATTGCGGGAACTTAGATCAGCCATACCTTTCCATCTTGACCTCTGTCGACCATTTGCAGCACATTGGTACAAACAGTAACCCACCCACCCCCACCCTACTGGCACCCAACACCCCCACTTCCTCATCCTATCCCTCCCCGACTCCCCTCACCCCCCCCCCCTCACCCCCACCCACTCTCAAATTTGTATCCTTGTGGAGACATTCCTTTGTTCTCTTGTAGTAAAGTGTTCAATTTTGAAAGTGAAGTTTCAAAATGCTCTTATTTTAACCAGAATTAGTTTCCTTGGCTGAAATTTGGACTTAATATCCCTTTTCTAAAACTCTTCCATTTGCGACAAATCAACCCACCTTGGAAATTCCTAGTTTTTGAGTAAAACCCATATATCTATTTCGTGAAAACCTTGTGGAGACCTATTCATCTATAGAAATTGCCCTGTGGAGACCTTTACAATGTTTTGTTCCCTATTGTGTGTGAGTCTCCACAAGGATACGAATTTGTGGTCACTCTCTCTCCCACTCCCCCTCCCACTCCCCCACTCTCACTTCACTCGCACCCCACCCCTCCCCCACCCTCACCTCACCCCTCCCCCACCTTCACCTCGTCCCTCCCCACCCTCACCCCACCCTTCCCCCACCCTCAACCTACCCCCTCCCCCACCCTCATCCCACCCCCACCCTCACCCACCCTCACCCTAGCACCCTCCACACCTCGCCCACGCCCTAACCCTCACCCCTTCTGCCACACCCCAATCCTCACCCCTTCTACCACACCCACCCTCTTCCCCCACTTTCACTGTCCCATCCCCTGTCCACTTTTAAATAGAAATATAAAAACAATTGTAATATCAAATAAAAAAGTAGAAAACGAATGAAAAGTCAAACTGGGTTAAGTAATCAATGTATTTCAAAGAGTGTTTTCAAAATCTCTTGATACTACTTTTGGTTTTTCTCCACAGCATTGGTTACCCAGTAGTCACGCTTGGTTTCGGTTTTAAAAGTTACGTGGGCTACCGCATGCGACTGCGGAAGCAGAAGGAAGTGCAGAAAGAGAACGATTTTTACATACAGCTGCTGCAGCAGGCGTTGCCGCCGGAGCAGCAGCAACACCATCAGCTGCACAACGCCTCGCTGACGGCAGAAAAACAAAAAGGTAGGGCTGTCCTGCCAAGTTACAGAGCATTGTGCGATTATAACCCCTGATTGTGGGGCATATACATTCATTTGTCTGTTTAGCTAGATCGGCTCGAGGTAGTGGCAGGCAAAAAAACAAAGCGTAAGAATACAAATTTAGATGGTAACCCTAACCATGCTAAATGCAACAGAAAGCAACAATGGTAAAAAGTTGTTGCACACTGTTGCATTGATTAACGGCACATAGTGCCAAGGCGATACAACAGAATCCACTGTTGCATTTGGTTGCATTGAGCAGGGTAACTGCTTGGTGCCAAGGCTGGTATGCACTGGGTTCACTGCACAATGCAACGGAATCCACTGTTGCAGTTTTGTTGCATTTAGCATGGTTCTCACTTCAGTTGTGTTGGATATTGTTGTATTTAGCAGTGTACCTCAAGAATACCTGATGGGGATTAGGGTACAACATTTTCGGGATGGTTTCTAGGTTCACTACTTTGGTAGTCTGTGGAATATCTTCTTGCACAGCAAGGGTCTAAGATATGCTAGCAGATTCGGCGATTAATTATGCAAAACAAGACTGCGTCTTGACCTCGAGATTCTGACCATTGAGCAGGTGTCTTCTATATCGGGTCTTCCGTGATCTGTTGTTGTATTCCAAAATCATGGCATCCAAATTGACCATTCCACAGCTTAGTCCACATTTCTGTTTGAAATGATGTCACAGTCTGTAACGACTGCTCCGATTGGCTGCTGCGCGGGGTCGCATAAAATTTGACATGCTACGATATTTCAGATATTCAACCGCTGCTTTGCCAACGTGAATTCTGATCAAACTACTAATTTGGTTTCTCCCAACTAAATTTCAGTCAGGCCTCAAAACTTGCATTTGTTTTGATGTGGATGCATTTTGCAAAAGTTTTTAGACATTTTCTACAAGTTAAAAATACCAGGCAATTTGTATACTGTGTTGTTGTGAGAACCAAGTTTTATCAAGTAACTTTCATAAAAAGGGCATTCAAACCCTCTTTTATTTACACTTAAGTGGCCTTTCACCATGCCAGTGGCATAAAACAGCCTGAATCTGTGTGTATCGGCCTCTTTGACTTCGGTGACGTTTTCTCATTTCAGGAGCGATAGCTTCAAAAGCAGAGGAGCCAACGTCCAACGGAGTGGTCTCCCGAAAAGGTTCACCCGTCATCCAAGGAAACAAGGGTTCGTCATCGGACGGCAGTAGCGAAAAGTCCAGGGAGCCGCCGGCGTCGCAGCGCAAACAGCAGGCCAGCAACAACGCCGGCGTCGGGGGAACGACAGCGAAAAACCCTGCGGACCCAGAGTTGATAGAAACTAAGCTGCCGCCGCGCAGCGTGAACGATTATGACGGGTCCAAGGAGAATCTTGCCAACGAGCAGGTGCAGGCCAAGAACTTGAAACAGCAGCAACAAAGTAGCGTTAGCTCGGGCCAGCGGGGCAAGAACCAGCCTGGGAAGGACAACAGCGGTTCCACTTCCGGTAGTAAGAAGCCCAAGCCGCTAGCTTCCAAGCTGGACAATAAGGAGAAGGAGAAAGACACGAACCTGAACGCGGATATCGCCAACGGAGCCGTGCCCACGCCTCCTGCTAAAGACGAAAAAGTGCTGAGGTAATGGATCGGTTATGCATGCGTCGTCAAGTGGTTTAGCCAAAGGGTGATTCGATAGCTGTGAAATCTCAGTCAAATCTGCTTGCTTTTGTCCCTGTACCTCTGAGTTGCATGCCTGTTGAACGCCTGTTGCAAGTTTTGCTCCCATCTATTGACAGATACGGATAAGCAAAACTTAGGACTAGAACCCAATTTCATAGCGCTGCTTAACTGGAATTTGTTAGCCTAACATGCTTAGTTTTTCCCATTTCTTTCTCAGGTTGGAGTCCGACATCAAGAGACTGAAAGCGGACCTTCAGGCCAGCCGTCAAGTCCAAGCTGATCTCAAGACGCAGGTCAACAACCTGCTGTCTGACGACCAGCACGACAAGGCGGAGCTGGAGCAGATGAAGAAGGACTATGAGTCTCTCCAGACTAAGTATGCTTGCAAAGAACACTTATGATCCAACACTCTCAATGCGGTATTCGTATTCCCTTCAGAACACCCACTGCCATTAGGAACGCTCCAGTCGGCATTCCCAGCCACTAAAGGAAATCAGGGAACCCTTGAAAATCAATTTCCATTTTTCCAGTCGGGAAACCTCAGGGAAATTGGGAAAAAAAACAATCCTCAAGCTTTTTGCCAGAGTTCGAGGTTTTTTCAATGTGGTTTCTGAACCGATTCTAGAGTTGAAGCTGAAACTAAGAGTAGAACCAAGTTTAAAATAATGGCTGAACCCTAACTGTTCCGGGTATTTTGGCTAGAAACCCTGCCAAACGCAGCAACATGCAACACTTGTCTAAGTTACAAGCCTGCCCAGTGTAGCAAGATCCATCAGGTCAAAAGTCTCAAGACCAAACTGCCTCAGAGTCTGTAGTCACCGAACGCAGCAGGATACAACTGTGGCATTGTCCAATCAGATTAGCTCTCATTGTCTCAGAAGTGGCCGTTTATGCATCGGTGTTGGTAGCTGAATGCATCAAAGTGCACCAGACTTTTCCACCTGATGCACTGTGTTGCGTCTGGCAGGGTTAGGGTTAAGATTCAGCTGGAGTTTAAACAACTCTAAAAAAAATATGGCCCACGATTTTTCAACAAGTCTATCGTAACGATGTTTGGTCTTTTTTACTCTTTCCTACAGGTTACACAACCTCGTCACCCAGAAGCAGCAGGACAAGCAGAACATCTCTCGCCTGGAGCAGCAGCTCAAGGCTGAGCGGGACCAGCGGACCTCCTTGGAGACTCAGATGCGAGAGGAACGCAAGAACCGTAAAGCCAAGGAGGCAGCCGCAGCCCGAGCAGCTGCTATGGCTACCGTTGGCCGGTAGGTACTCCCCAAATAATTATAATAGTGGGTATTTATGAAGCGCACGTATCCACCAGGACTGGTGCTCAAGGCGCTACATCATTATTACCCTGGTCATTGGGCCCATGAAACCTTCCAAATACCATCTCAGCTCCCTGGGGAGTATACAGCTCGATGCAGCCTGTTAGGCACAAGGAAGCTAATTCAATCACAGTCATCATCTCTACCCTCACAGGCACCCATTTACTTCTGGGTGGAGAGAAGCAATGAGTGACAAAGTGCCTTGCCCAAGGGCACGCGCACCATGACCCTAGGCTGGACTCGAACCCACAACCTGCAGCTTCACCCGCAGACCATGAATCCATTGCCTTAACCACGAGGCCACAGCACTTCACTAGGCCACAGCACTCTGAGAGATAATTCTTTGGTTAAACATTCCTTTGACCTTTTGATTTTCCACTTTATCTCACTGTATGCCAGCGTATTTTCTGAATAACTCGGCATGCAACAGGGTATACGCGCCCTGTTGTTGACAACCACAGTGGCAGCTTCGTGCGGCGCAAAATTTACTTCGGTACGCAAAGAATATTCAACGAAATATGAGCAATAAAGGCAGTGTCATGAAATGTGTTTGTTGTGGATCAAGTCAGCCGGATGTCAGTAATAATAATAGTGACTGGCTCTTTCTTTAAGTGGGGGATACAAGAATATATATAACTTGATTTTATTCATCTATGTAACAATTTGTGAAATATGCTACAAGTCACAATATTTAAGTTTCCTTTCTTGACTGTGTTTATTCAATTAAATTTCTCTTAGATACGGTGAGTGCGGTGATTCCTGTCGGATGAGGATGCTAGACCAGGACTCGGAGATCCTCCGTCTGCGCAAGGAATCCAGAGACAAGGACGACCACCTCAGAGAGATGGAGAAGAAAACGGAGGTATGCTGAGAATGTCTGGAAAAACAAAAAGAGAAAAACTGAAGAAACAAAAATCAGTACAAACACAAAGCCTGTTCTGGATGCCTCCAGAAAAAACTAAAAGTAATTCTTTGAAAGACTGAAGAAACAAAAATCAGTACAAACACAAAGCCTGTTCTGGATGTCTCCAGCAAAACTAAAAGTAATTCTTTGAAAGACTGAAGAAACAAAAATCAGTACAAACACAAAGCCTGTTCTGGATGTCTCCAGAAAAACTAAAAGTAATTCTTTGAAAGACTGAAGAAACAAAAATCAGTACAAACACAAAGCCTGTTCTGGATGCCTCCAGAAAAAACTAAAAGTAATTCTTTGAAAGACTGAAGAAACAAAAATCAGTACAAACACAAAGCCTGTTCTGGATGTCTCCAGCAAAACTAAAAGTAATTCTTTGAAAGACTGAAGAAACAAAAATCAGTACAAACACAAAGCCTGTTCTGGATGTCTCCAGAAAAACTAAAAGTAATTCTTTGAAAGACTGAAGAAACAAAAATCAGTACAAACACAAAGCCTGTTCTGGATGTCTCCAGAAAAACTAAAAGTAATTCTTTGAAAGACTGAAGAAACAAAAATCAGTACAAACACAAAGCCTGTTCTGGATGTCTCCAGAAAAACTAAAAGTAATTCTTTGAAAGACTGAAGAAACAAAAATCAGTACAAACACAAAGCCTGTTCTGGATGTCTCCAGCAAAACTAAAAGTACCTCTTTCATTACCTATTGTTACAGCTACATCAAGGGATAGCCAAAAGTTGAGGAGTTGAGTTGTACATATGAAGATAAAAGCTGTTCTTGAGAAAAAGGGATCAGAACCTGATAACAGGGAGTGCTGTAGTCCAATGGTTTACCGTGTTTGACTTGTGCCTTGGTACTTCGGTTTTGAACCCTGATGGCAAACATGGTGCTTGTGTTCTTAGGCAAGACACTCTACTACAATTGCCTCTCTCCACCCAGGAGTATAAATGGGTAACTGCAAAGGCAGAGACCAGATTGCGCTGATCTTGAGCTGCTGCAGAAAAAAAAACTGGTCTCATGGCCTGATAAACAGGGGTAATAATTGCACTATGAGACGTTTGGTATAACACACTATAAAGTGCCACATTACTATTATTATTGTTATAAGAAAAACTGAGTACGGGATTTCGGATAGAACAAGAAAAAGAAAAAATTGAAGAAAAAAAATTGTCACAAAAACAAAAGCTGTTCTGGATGTCTCAAAAAAACTAAATGAAATTCTTTGAAAGAGTCAAGAGTTAAACATCTCTTTCTTATTGTAGCAGCTACTGCGCAAGTGCCACGAGACCAAAAACAAGACTAGGCAAGCCTAGTAAAGCTGGTCCCAGAGTGCACTCAATTCTATTTAATTCGGGCGATTCACAATGCAGTGCGCCACCAAGAGTTTGCCACGGAGAGTTCATTTTTCAAGTTTACGGTCGACAAAACATGGCCCATTTGAACGAGTGTCAGTAGAAAACTTGAGCTAATTTGTTATAGATTGGGCATAGCATTCTGCTGCCTTACAAAATAACTCCATATTGATAAAACGAAACAAGCAAACAGATACTCGAATCATACGCTTACGAACTTTCTGGCCGGAAACTAACAATTTCAAATGTCCCGCGCTGTGAATTTGTCGACCATCTCCCACAATGCACTGGGAAAAATGAACTCTTCGTGGCAAACTCTTGGTGGCGCACTGCATTGTGAATCGCCCGAATTGATTCAGAATGGATATTCACTGGAAGTCTTTTTTCGTGCATCTGGGATTTAGCCCATTCATTGGCATTACGGGGTAATCCTATATGATAGCACTGCCCGGCTCACAAGTGACAGTCGCTGAGTCAGTCAGTCAGTCAGTGAGATAGGTACAAAGAGACACTATGCTGGCCCTCTGGAATCAGCAACAAGACAGGATTTTTCAAGAAGCCTCAGGAAAAGCCAAATATCTTCTTAAAACGAAGGAGAATTCCAAGTCACGCATCTCAACTTTTCTTGACTCTCTGCAGCTGATGCACGAGCGTCAGGAGAGCCAGAACAAGACGGACCTGTTGATGTCAGCCCTGATGGCCATGCAGGACCGGACAGCCAAGCTGGAGACCAGCCTGAGCGCGGAGACACGTCTCAAGCTGGACCTGTTCTCGGCGCTGGGCGACGCCCGCAGGCAGATGGAGATCATGCAGAGTGAGTATATGATTATTCTTGTGATTGGTTAAGCGTCCCGCTTTCCTGAACTGGAGACTAGCCTGAGCGTTGAGACACGCCTCAATCTAGACCTGTTCTCATGTCTTGGTCTGGAGACCATCTGGAGACCTGGTTTAGCTGATCTAGGTTTTGATATCGTCTAGGACCTATAAGTCTCAGTGTCTCAAAGTCCCACTGTCCTGAACTGAAGACTAGCCTGAGCACTAAGACTCGCCTCAAGCTGGACCTGTTCTCATGTCCTGGTCTCGAGACCATCTGGAGACCTGGTTTAGCTGGTCTAGGTTTTGATCTCGTCTAGGACCTGTAAGTCACAGTGTCTCGAAGTCCCCATGTCCTGAACTGAAGACTAGCCTGAGCACTAAGACTCGCCTCAAGCTGGACCTGTTCTCATGTCCTGGTCTAGAGACCATTTGGAGACCTGGTTTAGCTGGTCTAGGTTTTGATCTCGTCTAGGACCTATAAGTCTCAGTGTCTCGAAGTCCCCATGTCCTGAACTGAAGACAAGCCTGAGTGCTGAGACACTGGGCCTGTTCTCAGGTCTTGGTCTGGAGACCATCCGGAGACCTGGTTTAGCTGGTCTTGGTTTTGACCTTATCTTGGACTTTTAAGTCTCAATGCCTTGCAATCTCAGTCCAAGACCAATACAACTGAAATCCTTTTTCCAGCCCGAATTTATCATCAATATTCATCAGGAAATGCATTTCATGTTTTTTTCTGACTTGATAGAGTTTCTAGCGCAGCCTTATTAAATTCAATATGTTACTATAGACTCCGTTCACAGGTACCCCCTCAACGGTTACAAAGGGAGAGTTGGGGGAGACCACTGGGCAGGACATTGAAACATATTGCCGACGACGCCTGGTGCTCACGTTTGTGCACATTCAAAATAAAACAAGTCGTGTGTATACTTTGTGCCATATGCGCAGGGATCAGTACGCGCACGCTGTGTATCCTGTCCAGTAGGGTCTCAAAAGCGTTAAATAAGGGCAGTTTACTGTTCGTGCATTTCCGTTGGGAAAATTGAGAATATTCTGAAAATAACATCACATTTGGTTGGTTGTAACTCTGGGATGCCATTCTGAAACGGCCAATAGTTTGTTTTTCAAAATTTTTATATTAATCTTTCTGTTGCTATCCTTTGTTTTTCTTTCAGCCGAGCTGATGAAGAAAGAGCGCGAGATCCACGACCTCAAGACCAAGATCGCTGAGCACATGGCCGTCATGCCGCAGAGCAACTACTCCGGCTCGGGCTCCCCGATCTCCGGCACTCCGCGCTACTCCGTCAACTTTGTCAGCTCCGAGGAGACCGGCCCCATCCTCCCCATGGGTGTGCCGGTCTCCCAGGGCATGGGGCCGCCCCCGGGCGTGGCCTCGGCCTCCTCGACCCCAGTCTCCGCGCCCCAGGGCTCCTCCTCCTCCCAGTCCCCCTCGCCCTCGGTCAGCCCCGTGCCGAGCCTTGGGAACGGGAAGTCGGTCCTGGATCCCAACGCGGCTGTGTACAGGCCCAAGAGCAACTAGAGGGTTTAACGATCTAGCGGAGAGAGTAGGAATTAGCATAGTATAAACAGGTGCATTTAGAACAGGTTGTCGTTGAGTTGTAAGGTTACTGATGAGTTGCTGGGCAGTGCTGCTTCTAGGCAAAAGTTTTAGCAGTTCTCTCTCAGAAGTTTCAAATGCATGGTGCAGCGAAGTATCGTAGGAAACATGTTTTTCTGGTCTTTAGGGGACTGTCTGTTTTCATTTAACAAAGATTGATTACCGAACAGCTACACTATTTCTAAAACCTGGCTTCAGGTTTAGTATTGGCTCTACGGACCTGAAAACACTAGTTTTGAGGCTGGAGCCGGGTTTGGAAATGGCACTACAACACAAACATATCCAAGGAATTCTACGATGCGACCCATTTTTTAAAATGAAACAAAAACACCACACTTCTGGCAAACTTCACGGCGTTACTTACAGTCATGCTAACTTAAAAATAATGCATGAACTAAAACCACTGATCATTTCGGAGTGCATGGGGACTTTTTTCATATGACAAGTTTAAATGAATCAAGAAAACGCAGAGGACAATTATTATGAAGTGTTGACCAAAATTGAAAACTTAACAAATGTCTTTATAAGACTGGTTTTGTTGGAAGTAGTCATGCTATTATCTGTCAGTGGGGAACACTGCCCAGCAGCACAATGGAGGAAGATACACCTCTGGTTGTTGGTTTTCTTCATCTTTGTAGATGAACGTTTGCATTTACTTAAATTCTTTCTGGCAATGAAACCAAGGATTCCTCAAAAGTGAACAGGCACTGTAGCTCCGAACCCTTAAAGCTGCCCACAGGTCAACCTGCGATTTACTTGCGCCATGACCCAACCGTCGGCATCAGGCAGAAAAGTTATGCTCCGGTCACAAAGCTGAGAAATCATGTAATTCTCGTGGAACAAGTGGCATCTCGACACAAAATAATCGCAAACATGCTGACACGACGATTCCACGGCATCGACATTCATGTGACTTCTTTAACAGTAGCTGTTAAAGCATGTTGATTACAATCAAACGACATTCCTCGGCCACACCTGTTCATTCAGCCGTTTTTTTGCCTTACGCTGATTGGCTGCATGATTCAATTGATTCCCGCCTGTCTGAGAACCCGTCACAGAAGTTGAAATTTTCTACTCTTGCGACTGTTGATTTTTTTTAGCGCCGACTGATGTCGAACATCTGTATATCGTCGCAGGTACACTCGGGTTACAAAAAAAAATCGGTGACTAGATTGTTCCCGACGGTCGTGGCTCAGGCGCAGCTTGATCCTGAAAAGTCAGGCACCGAACGTTCTGGGTTATCGCAAGGTCTACCTAAGGGCAACTAAAAGGGCGACTTAAGAAACCATAGGATAAGATGATGGAGAACATTTTTTGTTTTGGAGGTTGGAGGAAAGCCCTAGACCAAAAAGCCAATCCACATGTTGGCCCTACCAGGAATTGAACCTGGGACACAATGGTTGAGGGCGCGGAAAGAACCGCTGCGCCAACCCAACTCCTGTTTCGCTAGGTCGCTAGCCGTTCAGTACCCACTCTTATACTCGTGCAAAAAATGAACCACCTATATCCAAATGCAAACTAAAGATCTCTTCAAACCAATAGCCAGATGTGTCGTTTACCGTTCATTTTAGCCGGTACCCTGCTCTCTCCCCCTCTCAGTCTCTATCTCTTTAATTGTCGAGTAACGTAGTACTGTATTAAGATGGGCTCTCTACAGAAAACTAACCTATATACACGGCCTGATTGATGTCTATTTCATCAACGGCTATCGTATATATATTACCATGTGCTTTGTCTTAAACTCGACCCAACAGCACGCATGCGTGGGGTGTTTTCGATGAAAAACAAAGTATTGCTATTTTTGCCATTACATTGCTTAACTGTTGTTTTTTTGTTTTTTCTTGAAAAAAAACTTTGTCGTTGTTAAATGTGCTTTAGTAGAAGCGGAGTTAACAAGGTTTCAGAATACACGACGAAATGCAAGGCAAATCTGTTCCAGGCAACAAGACCGTATTGCGATGTCCTGTTTTTCAAATTTTCTCTTTAAGTTTTCTAACTGTTCTCGAGTTGATCAGAAGTTAAAACTGAATTCTCAAAACCTTTTCGGTCACTTTTCAAAGTCCCACTTCAGTTAAGAACGTAAATCTTTCTGGAAAAAAAAATTGGGTAAATAAAACTTCAAGAAACACAGAGGCAAAATGTGACTTGAAATAACCTTGAAAGCAACTAATATTTGCCAGCTTACAACGAAACAATTCTAGAAGAATTAGCTCAGGATTCGAGATTAAAAAAAAAGGAAAGTTTATCGTTTTTGACCAGTATTTTTATTCACTTACCAAGAAAAAGGTTCCTTCTTGTTTCCGAAACAAGGGTGCTTCAAACTATTTTAGTTGAATTCATTGTTGAAAAAATATGTGTACTATTCATGTTCCATGTTGATGTTTGTAATTGACACACAAAGACACTGATGGGTCTTCCAGGATTCACAGACAGGTCACACACTTCTTTTGGTTTTGGCACCTTTTCTGGCCTTAAAGACTTTTGAACTTTTTCAGTTCAAAAATGTAAAGTCTGTATTTTGAAAACCGTTTCAGCTGTCTGGACTGTGAAATTGAAGGCTTTCTTCCTCACATTTGGAAGAAGAGAAACGCCAAACTATCAGAAAAAAAAACAATTTTTCTGGTCTGCTATTAATTTTCCTTTTCACTGATTGTATTTCAAAGTTCTTTGGTCTGCCAAGAAGTGGATGAAAATTTGTTTCAATACAAGTTTTTAATAAATAGTCAAACTGCAGCAATTATTTATTTTTTAAATGAATTTATTTTCTTTACAAGAGCATGAAGAAACCCTATTCCGACAAAACACAAAAAGATATATTTACCAAATTACGAATACTATTTTGTTTTGAAAAGGTTTGTTCAAAAACTGTGATTGATTGTCCCTGTATTTTGTTCAGAATAATTTGTGAAAATGTCAACAAAGTTGTTTATATATGTTACAAATTTGACTTGAAAAGTTGAAATTGATACAAAAACAGACTATTTTTCAAGCATTATTGGGAAAAAAGATGTTTCCCTTTGTGAAAGTAAGTAGTATTTGTCCCCATATAAAATTGAGAGGTTTTGGTTGATTTCAACTACAAAAGGTGAAAAAGGAAACAGCAAAAATTTCAAACAATTTCTAAACTTTTGAAACTACAGAAACTGAAACAAAACCTTCCTGGTACTTTGCAAAAGAATCACTGGCGCCAATTCGATTGCAAATATTCCAATTTAACTTTGGATTAAGCAATGTCATCCTATTGCATAATAATTCTGGTGAGCAACAAAAGACACAGAAAAACTCAAAGCTTGAATTTTTTTTCTTTTTTTTTCATGAATTAAATATTTGATTTCAAGTCATTTCTGTCATTTGAATATTTTGGTTTGATTTTAATTAATTTTTCTTGTTACTTTATATTGTTCTGACTTTGAAGTGTCAAATGTCTGTAACAAAATATTGATCCAGTAAGCCCATCCCATTCATTGTTTTGAACCAATCACAACCGTGATTAGTGTACTCGCATATGCATAAGTGGGCGGGGCCTAATTATGGATCAATATATTGTACGTCTACCCAACTGCTCTCATTGGTTTAATTATGTGAGCCAATCCAGTAAGCCCCGCCCATTAATTGTTTTGAACCAATCACAGCCGTGATTAGTGACTTGCATATGCATAAGTGGGCGGGGCCTAATTGATCAATATATTGTTAGTTTACCCAGCTGCTCTCATTGGTTAAACATGTCAGCATCTTTGCATAAAGATCAGAAGTTATAATGGTGGAAGAAAAGGTGTAGTTATGTTCATAATCAGCTTATATTGACCTACGAGGAATATTTAAAAAGGTTCTCAAATAACAGGACAAGGAAGAATTTTATAGAACAAAACTTTTGACTTTTACAAGAGGAAAATTGAAGAAAGTAAATGCTAGATATTTTGGTAATTGCAATTTAGTTTCGTGAATTGTGAACAGATACCTCAGCTGAAAAGAAGCCTGAAAACAAACTTGCAAGCAAAATACCTCCCTTGCTAGGTTTGCTGCTACCTCATTTTTGCTTAGCCAGAATGTGATTATGTGCTAAGCACGTTTATGAAACCGGTCGGGCCGCTTTCATTACACTAATGTACTTGCTGGTCATCCATCAAAGTTCACCTCTGACCTTTATGCAAATACCATTGTTACCTTTGACCTCTGGTGCTCTTTCATTGGACATCAACTTTTTCTTTGTCCCCTGACCATTTTTTGCCTTCGTACGAGTCATTGTATTTCGCTTTTTGATGCTAAGCCCTGTGTGCAGGAACCCAATTTCATGGAGCCGCTAACCCCACAAGTTTTAGCTGGTAACCATCTGTAAAATACCATGTGAAAGTATAGCTTACTGGTTCCCAGTATTATTTTTGCTAAGTGAGTTAACTTACTGAGCAGTGTTTTGCCTGGTAACCATTAAAATGCCAAGCCATATTATTACTTCTCACAGGTTCCCGGCTAAGTTTCTGCTAAGCCAGTTTACTTCCTAAGCAGTATTGTGCCTGGTAACCGTTAGAATACCATGCAATAGTATTCTTCTCACTGGTTCCGGGCTAAGTTTCTGCTAAGCGAGTTGACTTGCTAAGCAGTATTGTGCCTGGTTTCCATCTTTAAATTACCATGCCATAGTATTGCTTCTCACTGGTTCCCGGCCTTTCTACACTATTAAAGCAGTATTGTGCCTGGTTACCATCTATCCAATTCCAGTCACGCTATTGCTTTTCACTGGTTCCCGCCTATTTGCTTATCAAATTGGTAAGCAGTATTTTGTGGTGGTTAGCTGGCTCATGTGATCGTGTTCTGCTCTTCTGCCTTCGCATTGTACGTGGATTGTGTATTGGTTAATAGCAAGGCTTGTCTTTGCCAAATGGTGGCAAAAAGTTAACATTAAAAAATTGTGTGTTGCAAAAAAAACAAAAATGAAGTTGTGGGTGTCGTTCCTTTATATTTTCCATTTAAAAGGACCCTATTCAGACATCTTCATTGAACACCTCAAGCAATATTTTTGAAATTGATCTGCTATCCAGCCTTACCAATAACTTTTGAAATTATTGCGCAAGCAATAAATATTTCTAACACATTTTGCCTTAAATTTTTGATGAAATGTTTCCGTTGAATGGCACATCAGTCCAATGAAGGAGTGGTTATGTGTTCTAGGGACCCTGAGGCATCTTCCCAGCAAGTTTCAAGAAATTTCATTTTTTGGCCAAAATTGAAAAAAATGTAAGGGGTTAGCCTTACTTTTTTTTCGATTTTGGCCAAAAAATGAATTTTCTCCAAATTACTCAGGAATGCTTAAGGATGCTTTGGGAGCATGATTTAATATTCAGACCGGCAAAATTTGCTAAATTTTGGCCAAAATTGTGACATAATTGGGTAAAATTTCATATATTTGACCTATTTTACCTCAAATTGTGGACGTAATATTTCCTTTTTAAAGGCCTATCTGTCCAATGTAGGAGTGGAAACGTGTTCTAAGGACCCTTAGGTATCTTCCTAGCAAGTTTCAAGAAATTTCATTTTTTGGCCAAAATTGAAAAAAATGTAAGGGGTTAGCCTTACTTTTTTTCCGATTTTGGCCAAAAAATGAATTTTCTCCAAATTACTCAGAAATGCTTAAGGATGCTTTGGGAGCATGATTTAATATTCAGACCGGCAAAATTTGCTAAATTTTGGCCAAAATTGTGACATTATTGGGTAAAATGTCATATACATGTATTTGACCTAATTTACCTCAAATTGTGGACGTAATATTTCCTTTTTAAAGGCCTATCTGTCCGATGTAGGAGTGGAAACGTGTTCTAGGGACCCTGAGGTATCTTCCTAGCAAGTTTCAAGAAATTTCATTTTTTGGCCAAAATTGAAAAAAATGTAAGGGGTTAGCCTTACTTTTTTTTCGATTTCGGCCAAAAAATGAATTTTCTCCAAATTACTCAGAAATGCTTAAGGATGCTTTGGGAGCATGATTTAATATTCAGACCGGCAAAATTTGCTAAATTTTGGCCAAAATTGTGACATTATTGGGTAAAATTTCATATATTTGACCTATTTTACCTCAAATTGTGGACGTAATATTTCCTTTTTAAAGGCCTATCTGTCCAATGTAGGAGTGGAAACGTGTTCTAAGGACCCTGAGGTATCTTCCTAGCAAGTTTCAAGAAATTTCATTTTTTGGCCAAAATTGAAAAAAATGTAAGGGGTTCGCCTTACTTTTTTTCCGATTTTGGCCAAAAAAATGAATTTTCTCCAAATTACTCAGAAATGCTTAAGGATGCTTTGGGAGCATGATTTAATATTCAGACCGGCAAAATTCGCTAAATTTTGGCCAAAATTGTCACATTATTGGGTAAAATGTAATATACATGTATTTGACCTATTTTACCTCAAATTGTGGACGTAATATTTCCTTTTTAAAGGACTATCTGTCCGATGTAGGAGTGGAAACGTGTTCTAGGGACCCTGAGGTATCTTCCTAGCAAGTTTCAAGAAATTTCATTTTTTGGCCAAAATTGAAAAAAATGTAAGGGGTTCCCCTTACTTTTTTTCCGATATTGGCCAAAAAATGAATTTTCTCCAAATTACTCAGAAATGCTTAAGGATGCTTTGGGAGCATGATTTAATATTCAGACCGGCAAAATTTGCTAAATTTTGGCCAAAATTGTGACATTATTGGGTAAAATGTCATATACATGTATTTGACCTATTTTACCTCAAATTGTGGACGTAATATTTCCTTTTTAAAGGCCTATCTGTCCGATGTAGGAGTGGAAACGTGTTCTAGGGACCCTGAGGTATCTTCCTAGCAAGTTTCAAGAAATTTCATTTTTTGGCCAAAATTGAAAAAAATGTAAGGGGTTAGCCTTACTTTTTTTTCGATTTTGGCCAAAAAATGAATTTTCTCCAAATTACTCAGAAATGATTAAGGATGCTTTAAGAGCATGATTTAATATTCAGACCGGCAAAATTTGCTAAATTTTGGCCAAAATTGTGACATTATTGGGTAAAATTTCATATATTTGACCTATTTTACCTCAAATTGTGGACGTAATATTTCCTTTTTAAAGGCCTATCTGTCCAATGTAGGAGTGGAAACGTGTTCTAGGGAGCCTGAGGTATCTTCCTAGCAAGTTTCAAGAAATTTCATTTTTTGGCCAAAATTGAAAAAAATGTAAGGGGTTAGCCTTACTTTTTTTCCGATTTTGGCCAAAAAATGAATTTTCTCCTAATTACTCAGAAATGCTTAAGGATGCTTTGGGAGCATGATTTAATATTCAGACCGGCAAAATTCGCTAAATTTTGGCCAAAATTGTGACATTATTGGGTAAAATGTCATATACATGTATTTGACCTATTTTACCTCAAATTGTGGACGTAATATTTCCTTTTTAAAGGCCTATCTGTCCGATGTAGGAGTGGAAACGTGTTCTAGGGACCCTTAGGTATCTTCCTAGCAAGTTTCAAGAAATTTCATTTTTTGGCCAAAATTGAAAAAAAATGTAAGGGGTTAGCCTTACTTTTTTTTCGATTTCGGCCAAAAAATGAATTTTCTCCACATTACTCAGCAATGCTTAAGGATGCTTTGGGAGCATGATTTAATATTCAGACCGGCAAAATTTGCTAAATTTTGGCCAAAATTATGACATTATTGTGTAAAATTTCATATATTTGACCTATTTTACCTCAAATTGTGGACGTAATATTTCCTTTTTAAAGGCCTATCTGTCCAATGTAGGAGTGGAAACGTGTTCTAGGGACCCTTAGGTATCTTCCTAGCAAGTTTCAAGAAATTTCATTTTTTGGCCAAAATTGAAAAAAATGTAAGGGGTTAGCCTTACTTTTTTTCCGATTTTGGCCAAAAAATGAATTTTCTCCAAATTACTCAGAAATGCTTAAGGATGCTTTGGGAGCATGATTTAATATTCAGACCGGCAAAATTTGCTAAATTTTGGCCAAAATTGTGACATTATTGGGTAAAATTTCATATATTTGACCTATTTTACCTCAAATTGTGGACGTAATATTTCCTTTTTAAAGGCCTATCTGTCCAATGTAGGAGTGGAAACGTGTTCTAAGGACCCTGAGGTATCTTCCTAGCAAGTTTCAAGAAATTTCATTTTTTGGCCAAAATTGAAAAAAATGTAAGGGGTTAGCCTTACTTTTTTTCCGATATTGGCCAAAAAATGAATTTTCTCCAAATTACTCAGAAATGCTTAAGGATGCTTTAAGAGCATGATTTAATATTCAGACCGGCAAAATTTGCTAAATTTTGGCCAAAATTGTGACATTATTGGGTAAAATTTCATATATTTGACCTATTTTACCTCAAATTGTGGACGTAATATTTCCTTTTTAAAGGCCTATCTGTCCAATGTAGGAGTGGAAACGTGTTCTAGGGAGCCTGAGGTATCTTCCTAGCAAGTTTCAAGAAATTTCATTTTTTGGCCAAAATTGAAAAAAATGTAAGGGGTTAGCCTTACTTTTTTTCCGATTTTGGCCAAAAAATGAATTTTCTCCTAATTACTCAGAAATGCTTAAGGATGCTTTGGGAGCATGATTTAATATTCAGACCGGCAAAATTCGCTAAATTTTGGCCAAAATTGTGACATTATTGGGTAAAATGTCATATACATGTATTTGACCTATTTTACCTCAAATTGTGGACGTAATATTTCCTTTTTAAAGGCCTATCTGTCCGATGTAGGAGTGGAAACGTGTTCTAGGGACCCTTAGGTATCTTCCTAGCAAGTTTCAAGAAATTTCATTTTTTGGCCAAAATTGAAAAAAAATGTAAGGGGTTAGCCTTACTTTTTTTCCGATTTTGGCCAAAAAATGAATTTTCTCCAAATTACTCAGAAATGCTTAAGGATGCTTTGGGAGCATGATTTAATATTCAGACCGGCAAAATTTGCTAAATTTTGGCCAAAATTGTGACATTATTGGGTAAAATTTCATATATTTGACCTATTTTACCTCAAATTGTGGACGTAATATTTCCTTTTTAAAGGCCTATCTGTCCAATGTAGGAGTGGAAACGTGTTCTAAGGACCCTGAGGTATCTTCCTAGCAAGTTTCAAGAAATTTCATTTTTTGGCCAAAATTGAAAAAAATGTAAGGGGTTAGCCTTACTTTTTTTCCGATATTGGCCAAAAAATGAATTTTCTCCAAATTACTCAGAAATGCTTAAGGATGCTTTGGGAGCATGATTTAATATTCAGACCGGCAAAATTTGCTAAATTTTGGCCAAAATTATGACATTATTGTGTAAAATTTCATATATTTGACCTATTTTACCTCAAATTGTGGACGTAATATTTCCTTTTTAAAGGCCTATCTGTCCAATGTAGGAGTGGAAACGTGTTCTAGGGACCCTGAGGTATCTTCCTAGCAAGTTTCAAGAAATTTCATTTTTTGGCCAAAATTGAAAAAAATGTAAGGGGTTAGCCTTACTTTTTTTCCGATTTTGGCCAAAAAATGAATTTTCTCCAAATTACTCAGAAATGCTTAAGGATGCTTTGGGAGCATGATTTAATATTCAGACCGGCAAAATTCGCTAAATTTTGGCCAAAATTGTGACATTATTGGGTAAAATGTCATATACATGTATTTGACCTATTTTACCTCAAATTGTGGACGTAATATTTCCTTTTTAAAGGCCTATCTGTCCGATGTAGGAGTGGAAACGTGTTCTAGGGACCCTTAGGTATCTTCCTAGCAAGTTTCAAGAAATTTCATTTTTTGGCCAAAATCGAAAAAAAATGTAAGGGGTTAGCCTTACTTTTTTTTCGATTTCGGCCAAAAAATGAATTTTCTCCAAATTACTCAGCAATGCTTAAGGATGCTTTGGGAGCATGATTTAATATTCAGACCGGCAAAATTCGCTAAATTATGGCCAAAATTGTGACATTATTGGGTAAAATTTC